TGTGCCAATCCCCTCAGTTGCAAAGTAGACACGGGCATGGGACGCCCACTTTGGTAGTGGTAGAAGTTGCTTCTGTTCCAAAGCGATGTGGGGAAGGAGAATCTACCTGGATGGGTCCCCAATTTTTGCGAATGTCCGAGATTTCCCATGTGGCTGTGGTTCTTGAGATTCCTATGGAACCCCCCCCCAAAAAAAAAGAGAAGGTGTTGCGAATTTGTTTGAGATTCCTATGGGGGGGCAGGTCCAAGGAAAGCCATCTACCTGGAGGGGAATTTCTCTGAGAACTTTCCGATCTGAGGACCTGAGTCCGCCGCCGGCTCCTGAGGCCTGGGGCCGTAGCGTAGGGGCCCCCCCAGAGGGGGCCGTGTTTCCTTCCTTCCCGTAAGAGGTGGTAAGATAGGCGGGGGAAAAAAAACAGTGTTTGGGGGTGGTGATGTCTGATTATTTTGTTTCTTTTGTTGGTGTCCCTTTGGTTTCCCTTCAAGGCAAGTTCGAAAAGTGTTCGAACCATAAAACATATTATATCAGTAGGGTCGCAGGTGTTTGTCAATGTGCCCATTTGCCTGGGCAACCCATTGTGGGGGTTCCCTTTCTTTCGACCAGCCGATTGAGATTTGACTCTGCTTGGTTTTGAGGCGCCCAAGAAGCAGAGTTCATGAGTTTTGTGAGAGCTGATCCCTGAAGGTTTGGGATTCAGGGGTTTCCAGTGGTTCGTATTTTGTGGGGAGCCGGGGGGTTCACAAGAACAGTCCACCGGCAGAGATCCAGAGATCCAGCTCCTAAATGTGTTTGTTTTTTCTTTTCTTTTTTTGTGTGTGTGTGTGTGTGTCTTTTTTTGAGTTGGCACCCCTTGGTGGATTTGCAGGGAAACCAAAGACTGGGCATGTAAACTCGTAGGCTCCGTCGACCTGCAAGGGAGCAACGCAAACAAAGGACAAGGCCCAGGTGGAATGTTGACCAAGGATTCATAAACCCCTCCCATTATTAGGGGCGTGAAAACCCCTCCAAAAGTGGTCTGAATCCAACCACTGAAAGGGGACCCGATGAAAATCAACCAGTTCTGCTTACTGAGGGGTTAACATTAGGCTGGACAATCACCTGTTTGCATTTGAATGGCACGCATCCGAATTTGGATGAAAGGAAACCCACTTCTTTAAATTGCTTCTCCTTGGTACAGAACATGAACCATAAACTTTTCTGTGGCATGCGAGGCCCATGTTTCAAGGGTGTAACAACGCGGGCGCGAACCGCAAATTTCCCTTTAGACAGGGGGTACCAACTCATACGGGTGTGACTCGTTTAGGAACCACCACCCCCCCCTTCAATAAAGAATGGTGCTCCTTTTGCCGCACGGGCAATCGCTGAGAATAACTTCCCTTTTTGTGTCTACCATATCTCGTGAATTCACTTCAGCAAAATCACAAGAAGGTTACGGTCAAGAAGCCATACCGATGCCAAAGCTTTCAAAACTACGGGCTCCCTTTTTCGTATTTGATCAGTTTTGTTTATCGACGGCGCGCTTGATTGGTTATTTCAAAAGCAAACCAAAGCGAAACTGCACCCATTTTGAGCAGTCCCCAAATTGACCGCACTCTCACTTGGCATTCGCATGAGGATTATCTTTTACAAGAAAGCTTCTGAGCACCCTTTAGGAATATCGGGGTGCTGTTGGTATTGGCGGCATGACCAATTGGATAACGCCCTGCTGATGCGTCTTGGAATGTGTGAGGGGATGGCCCTCCCCCAGACTAAGATTGCAGCTCCCAAGACCCCAAGATGGAAGGCTTGCATCCATGTTGGCCTGAGGGAGTGTACCTCTGTGATACCTGTGAATCATTGAATGACGTGATCTCCCAAGTGTCCAATGTTTTGGGTGGCGGTTTGAACATTGCCTTGTGGTTGCAAATGTGTATTGATACCTCCAGTGCTACTCTGTTTCAACTAAATCCACCTACCTGAGCCCTCAAACTACCAAAAAAAAAGAGAATTCACGGCTTTTGTCGTGTAGCAATAATCCATTTTAATGGGAATTTTGAGGGTCCAGGCACGTTGCTTTGCCCGCGCAAAAACTCGCCGTTTTCACCGGTCGTTGCAGCCAACCGTCTTCCTCGTCGGAAACCGCTCTCTCGCTGGATCCGCCAGGAGCGGGCGTTTTCTCGGCGCACGGAAGCCGGCTGTGGCGGAGGAGGAGGCTGGGCAGGGCGGATCGGTTGGGCGGCAAATTTGACGCGCTTCGATTGCCTGCGCTGAACTTGGCGTGTTGATGAAAACCAAAGGGAGAACCAACTCCTTACCTCTTAAAAACACAGCTTTTCTCAACTTTTTGGGTAACATGGGCTATACGTCTGTAAAAGATGAAAACTTCCCCAGGGCTTGGAGTTTTAAGGGGTAAGACTCACTCCCCCAACTTCTTCACTGGGAGGGAGACAATTTTCCCCAGACTTTGGTTTCCCCACTGGCGATTTCTCTTGGGAAGACGCGTGAGGCAAGCGACCAGTCATGGTGGTTGTTGGGAAACAAATTGTTTTTTTTTTGCATTTTCGCTTCTTGTTTGGTTGAATGTGGTTGAATTCCAAGCACTCAACTGCTAAGTATTTAAGTTTGGGGTACCACCTGAGCCTCCTTTTGGGCGACCCGCGAATTCGGGGTTTCACGGCAACCGGAAGCAAGGGAACTAGGTCCCCCAGCTAGGTGCCCTTTTACCGTTTCCTTCTTTTTCTTGGGGGGGGTTCCCCTACTAAAATAGACTATACAGAAAAAAAGGGGTACCAACTTATTCTAACCTCTCTTCTGGAGGACCTAGGAAAATCAAGCATTTGGGGATGTCTTCTCAAAAAGGAATCGCTTTTGGAGGAGTTTCCGGTGAACCACCCACGGGGGATTTCCGTTTCTGCTCTCACTGCGGTTTTGTCTGCACCCCCAAAGGAAGCCACAAATTTGCGGGAGGCCCCGCATTTTGAGACGGCGACCCACTGATTCTCTTGGCTTCTTGGCGTGGCGGGTCTTGGCCCCCGCACCAAGATGCCATCGAGCATGTTCCGGCGGAAACGGAGAAGGAGATCCAGGCATGCGGGGGATGGGGCGTGTCTCTTCTGAAAGGGCGTTGAACTGACTAATGAGAATGGGGTTGGGTAGGTCAAAACCAAGTTCAGTCATAGGAGCAATAGGTGTGTATTGGTTTAGCCCTCGTAGTGTCACGTTTGGGGTTGTTCTGAAGGGATACCAACCATTTTGGGGGCTCCAAACCGGGAGCCCGGGTTGAAAGCCTTCACAGCTACGTCAAGCCCTGCATGCACCAAGTTGCGCTTTTCTCACTTCCTGAGTCCCAAACTTTAAACACTTTTTGGGAAGACCGTAGCGCTGAATAAAAAGTTCAGGCTCTTTTTGGGCAATCCACAAAAAAGACGGGAGTTTTTGTTTGGACAATCAGAGCAGTGGAAGTGATCAAACCCTGGTTGGCCGTCTAAAGCGATTTGGTACACATGATGACAGTGACACATTGGCAGAACCGCAAGTCGGTGCACATCACAAAGTGTATGGCACCCCGTTTTCCATGAATTCACCGCGGGGTTCCGACCGCTGATCTATCTCTCGGGCCACCTAAGGCGGGATTGAGATCCCCATAGGTTTCCGGCTTGATCAGTTTGGTTGAACACAGATGGCATTTGTAGTGCGGTTCTAGTGATTTACCAGTTCCACGTATTTTCCAAAACGAAATCTCGGACGGTGGATGCCCAAAAGAGCCGAGTAACCGCAAAACCATGGTAGGGTTTCCCACTTTTCGTACTTGCACTGGTTCAAGGCGATCACCAGTCACGATCACAAGGGGCAACACCTTCCATCAAGGAACTACGACCCCCAGACCTCCAGTTATGCCTTCCGGCTACTTCCAAACGCCAATTCATTGTCCTGGATTTGTTTGTTCTTTCTTTGCCTTCCTCTCGCTGGTCAAAGGATTGGCCTTGGCGGTGGGCAAGGTTTGGCTGTAGCAGTCGTCGCCTCTTCAAACGGCCAACTGTCCGCGTTCGGATGCTGGGCCTGCCTGCCACGGCCGGAAAGCTGGAGCTTGCAGCGACATGTTCAGCCCAGAAAGCGAGTAGAGAAATGAGCATGCTCCAGCGATCATGGTTTTCGCATGTTCAAGGTTGCAATTCTTGCTCTCCTGCAATAAACTTAACTGTTTTTGGTTTTTGGAACCTCCCTCCGAACCACACCCATTTTGGGTTCCAGGAAAAACCGGCAGGCGAGTAGCATGTGTTTGTTGTTGTCCTGTTTGTTGTGTTGTTGTTTCTGTTCATGTTTAGTGGATGCAACACATAGAATTATGCTTGCTCACATCCCATCGCAAAGTTGAACATACCATCCGGAATGGGGAGTTCGTATTTTGGGGAAAGCCTCACTTGCAGCCTCCCTCCCAGTTTTCCGGATGCTCGTCGACAACGTGCTTGGCGCGGGGTGTTGAGGCAAGCACCTGTAGTATGCCTGGGCGGGCACTCTAGAAGGCGATCCCGGATTTGAATTATCAATCATAGGTAAACCCTGGCCCCATTTGGTTCTGGCGCAAAATTAAAGAGCCAGGGTTACGCAGGTTTTTGTCTTTGGTTCCATGAACCAAGGTGCCATTTTGGTACATGTTTTTGACCCACAGCCATTTGGTTGATCCTTCCATGAAGTTTTCAAGTCACATGAGCCATGGTCGAAACATCAGCAGGGGTATTTGTTTTTCTTGGGCATTCGCGGCGCGGCGCAAGCTGCAAGCGAGGCCTGCACGCCCCTCCGCGATGAAGGCGTTGAGGAGGTTGCAGATGAACCAACTGAGGCGAGGATATGGATGTTTGCACACGTCCATGCATCCAAACGTGCCACGCAGACATGCTTCCATTTGCCTAAGAATATGTTTGTTGTTCCCTTGTTGGTGTCGAGGGGAATCGATTTCACTACCGGCATATGTTCATTTGTTCAAGGAGGCAAGACAACGCGAATGGAAGCATCGCGCCAAGATCTCGGAGGACGTGTTGGTATACTTATAGGGGCGACCCACTCGGTATGTCAGGTAAGTGGTGTGAGCAAGCCTGGTCAGAACACCCACTGAACCCAAACTTATCACTTATAACCATGGCTTAAGAGGGTTGTAACCAGGTTTACTAACCACTTACTAAGTATCAAATGCCCCTTTAAGTAGAGCTCGCCGACAGTTCGAGCCCGCAAGACTTTCCGGGGGCTCGCTTATGCGCAGTACAGATCGCGATCAAGAAGCCATTGGGCGCCACAAGGTGGCAGGGGATGCGGGTAGCACTCTAAAATCCATGTATTTGATTTCAAGGGTTGCCCAACTGGGACAGTGTCCGTGTCATTTTGTAGCCCCATTTCATTTCAGGCTGGCAAAAAGAAGAGTAGTATGAGTGCCGAAACCTACTGATACCGTACTGAAAATGCCCACGGCGGATTCATGAATGACCCATTGGAAGGCTAGATCAATCGGACTGGTGAAGCCAAAGCCCCCTCTCCACTCCCTGCCAGGGAATTACTGTATACTTTTCATTGTTGTTTGGTCATGAGAAGTGGATAACTTCAGTTGTTCCTTTGCTGGTTTGGATGGATTTGAACCCGGCTCTAACTGGGAACCACATCTTAAGCACCAACGCACCAATCCAAACCGCCGATTGGAGGGAACTGGATAGCTTCTTGGAAGCCACACCGACATGTTCCCCCATCGAGACATGGCCCAGGTAAGCATTCCAAGCCCAAACCCCAAGGCTGAGGCGTTCATGGAAACTCCGTGGATTGAAAGCCGAAAGCCCATATATATATATATAAAGGACTTGACACAGATCATGTATCCTACGAGGGGGGTGGTGGCTTACCCTGGTGAGTCTTGCTTGTCGATTCTGCTATGAGTATTCTTGATTCTTGCGAGCGAACGAGAATACTGCATGAATGCCAAAGGGGGTAGCTAAGTCTCTTGCTTCATATTTGGGAAACGTGAGCGTAAGTAGCATGTATATGTTGTTTCTCCTCTTACCCGTTGCCTCCTCTTCTTGCGGGGGAAGGGATGGAACTTACAAGCAGCGGGTAGGGAGCTACTTCTACTGCTGCTACTGCTACGACATCCAGCCGCCAAGACTGCCACTACCACCGCCTGTACCACGTCCTAGTACTCCTATTACTCCTACTACTCCTACTCCTACCCCTACTACTACCACAACCATCAGGACGACGACTACTGCTACTGCTGCTACTGCTACTGCTACGACTACTACGACTACTACTACTACTAGTACTAGTACTACTACTACTACTACTACTACTACTACTACTACTACTACTCCTCCTACTACTACTACTGCTACTACTACTCCTCCCACCACAACTACCACTATGTTGTTCGACTGTTACTGGCAAACGTACGTGTTGGCGGCTATGATCTTCCCCAAGGTCACTTTCGGAACCTCTTGACATCGTGGCAGCTCTGCAAGTATGCCCCGCCTGACGCATTGCGTCTGCCAGAAGCAACTCTGTCCGGCAGAAGCCAAGAGAAAGATTCAAAGCAAAAGCATAGCCCCAACTCCCCAACCCTAAGAATCCAACGACCTAAGACCTACACCTAACCCTAAAAACCCTAAAGGCCATACAGTAAATCCCAAACACCATAAACTCTAAACCCTCAAACTCTAAACTCTCCAACTCCCAAACCCTCAGAACCCTAAGCAGAGACCTTCAAACCCTGTGGGCAATTCCTAGTAGCTACCACCACCACCACTAGTAGCTACCACCACCACCACACCACCACCGCCGCCGCCGCCACCACCACCACCACCACCACCACCACCACCACCACCACCTGCTTCGCCTTCCCAGGCTGGCCCGCGGGAGCTGCCAAGCACGCCGACGGGTTCGCTCCCGCGGCCCAAGAGGAGTGCCGGGGGCGGATGGTTTTCGTCTCGAAATTGGAAAACCGACTTGGAAGCTCAGGGAAACCAAGGAGAAGCGACCGCCTTTTTCGGGGTCCCTTGATCCTCCAAAGGAAGCAAATCGCAAAAGAGGATGAAAAGTGAAAAGCGCAACCAGAAGCCAAAAGGAACCAATCAATTGGAGTGCCCCTGGGTTTCACACATTGGCAAACACATTTTCGGGGAGGGATGACGCTTTTTTGGCGCTGGAGCTGACGGCAGGGTCCGACAAAACATGGCTGTCCTGCTGGAGAATTGTGAAATATAAGAACCTCCTGTTTTCAAAGGTGAATACCCACTAAAATGGATGGTTGTTCAAAATGACCCCAAGCGGTGGAGACCAAACCCAACCATTGTCCAGAAACCATGGAAAGGTTTGGTGCTTCACTTGGTTGTGTCACGTTGTCCTTTGCTGTGTTGGTTTAAGCTTAGCGAGAGGGTGTGAAGAACAAGCTTTTCGCTGCATGCCGGTAAGGGAGAATAGAAGATCGGAAGATTATATTTCTTTGGGTTCTTGGCCAAGACCGGAAGCAAACGACAGCGCTGAAGGCAAAGACTCATCACTTCTGTTGAATCGAGAAGGTTTGAGCAAGAGAACCGAGTGTCAATCACTGGGCTTGGAATGTCTGGTTGCAACCTAACTTGTGTATCCAAGGTCTTCCAACTGCTAGGCCTTCTTTTTTGAGGGTACCCGTTTTAGTTGGTTTTAAAGGGAGGCCAAAAGCACCACCCACGATTTTTGGGGCGTCCCCTCAAAAAAAAAAGAAAAGCACGAGACCTATTTTGTCACCCCCCGCTTCGTGTGCTTCGTGTGCCCTTCCCCCGGAGCTCCCGGAAAAAAAAATAATAATAAAAAATCGCGTCGGGCTGGCAGGAAGGGCCGCTCCCGGCGGCGAGTTTCATCCACAAAGACACAGGAGGGACGTGTGCCGAAGCGCTGGGCGCGGTGGGAGTTAGCTGGGGCTCACTTCCTGAACTTCCAGAGTTCCAGGACATGTTCACATTTTTTTCAGGATTCTTAACTCCAAGTGGAAGGTGCCAAACCGCTTCCCTCCATTTACCACTCGCTCCTTGAGTTCTTCGGACTTTGACAATGTTTGGGGTTTGGACGATTTGGTTGAACGCCACGATTTACGCTTTTGGTGGCCAATTTCGCAGAAGTTCCGTGGAAAAAGCGCCATGCCGGTTCGAGTGCGGACCTGGTGCGTGCCGAAATTGAGCACAACCACTCACGTGCCCACATCCGACTTTGGCCATCTTGGTGTTCTTGTGTTGTTCTCAGTTAAGGAAGCCCAAAGAGAGGGTCTTGCAATGGAGAACCCCCCAAATGGATGTTGCTTGTTCTTTGGTTTCACGTTAAACAAGAAAATATTAGGACCATAGCTGTCCTTTTTAGGTTAGTTTGGGCAGATGGCAGTTGCAATTTGTTCGCTAGCATGTTTTCCAGCAGGAGGCATTCGCGTTTAGGAACCTCTAGCACGCGTGCAAGCTGTTGCCTTTGTGGGAGGTGAATCACATGTTCATTGATACCAATGGAACCTCCTCTCGAGTGACAAGGAGTCCCAGGTACTTAAAGGGGCATTGTAGGTAGAAAGTGGTTATAGCAAGTGGTTAGCAACCATGGTTATAACCCACTTACCACTTACCACGGTTATGAGTCTTCTAAGCGGGTTACAACCAGGCCTACTACGATCTCCCCTTTGAATAGTGATCCTTGTTACCTTGGTTTCCTCCTTGCCACAAGACACACCCACATGTGTGTTTCAAGTTTCAACCCTAGTTGCACACTTTCAACCTTAGTTGCATCATTTATCCAGAGCTGCTTCTCACCTTCCACGCAGCCCACCTTAGAGGGAGCTGATTGCAGGTTTCTTGAGGCTGCTTTGTTGCTCATTGCTCAGAGCTGCCGCGACTCTGGAAAGCACGCTTTCCCTGCTGAATGCTGACATGTGTTTCGAGCCGTGACCCGAGGAACGAAGGGTTTTGACTGTATACGTGTTTTTTCCTTTTTTTTAAAGTAGTGTACAAGCAACAAGAGGCATGTGACGAGTGGAACTTCTTCTCATCACAAGTGTTCCAGGCGCCCACCTTCTTCAGCCTGCCATGTTCATGATCCTAGGTTGGATTGCAGGATGCTGGGAGGTCATGAACAAAACTCTTATTTCAGTTTTGTGCAGTGCGGTTCAGCCAGATGCGCTCAGCGACACAGATGGACGATGCTGAACACTACTAGGAAGGCAAGGGCGAATCATACACAGATTCAGGTACAGGTTTTGCGAATGTGGAGACAAACATATACCATCAACATAAGTTTGCAAGGCGATACATAGGGCTTAGAGGTAAATTTGTTTGTTGCGGTATATAGGGCTTAGATAGATGGTAAATAAGTTCTTTACCTCTGAGACATTCTGAGACATGCTCTTGACACATGTTCAAGGAGGTCGACGTGCAGACGGAGACCTTGAAGGACATGCCTGTCGAGAAAGTCGTGAACGTAGAAGAAGACGGCATCCAGCAGATCATCAAGTATGTACCCATGGACGCTCGAAGCGGAAAGACGGGTTTCCAGGTTTGCACCGAGAGACATGGGGAGCTCTGACGAACTTTCCCACAAATTTTGCATGCCCTCTTAGGCAGAAAGGTATTTTGACCACGCCTTACATACATCAAACGTGTGCTACCTCGATTGACACGAAAAGGGCATCTTGGGCGCGTCCCGTTTGGCCGGTCAAACAGCAACCCCCTTTAGACTCCGACTGTCGCAAAAAGAGTCCAGGTGATATCCCCAACGTTGCACCCCCCTCACCTTGAAAGGGCAAGCGCCACAGCTCGGAAGCTTTCTGGGGCACAATTCGCCCGCCAAATGCCCGCCCAGGAAAGAATCATCACCGTGCAGAAGGAGGCGAGCCGAGATCGACCGGGGGCCTCCGGGACCGGGCCAGCTTTGAAGTCATGGAGCTGAAAGCCTGGCGAGCCCTGGGTGGATTTGGCAAGGTGACTTCTCCGGAGAACTGCTTGACTAATTCGAATCAGATGAGTAAATGAGTAAATGAGTAGCTGCGCAAATGCTTTTGCAATTCAACAGGCTCAAGTTCGGTAGGGGGTCCAAAATCGGAAGTTTGCGCTGAACTGAGTGGCATCGATCTTCGGTCTCTGTGTAAGAAAATTCGCTCTGGAAGGTTTTGGAGCTCTTTCTTGTCCCGCAAAAGCTCGAGACTTGCGAGAAAATGATTGGGACCGGCGTTCGGAGAACTGGGCACCACATGGTTTTTTCCTTTTTGGATCCTGTGGCCTGTGTCTTTTTCGACGCTTCTGGCCCTCTAAGGCAAATGCGGATACCAGCTCAACGGCTCCCTAAGCACCCAGTCAGCGATTCATTCGAAGGCCAAAGGCAGCCCCTGCCAGGTGCCGGTGGTCAAAGAAGTCTTCCGGACAGTTGAGAAGATCAAGGAGCGTTTTTTTTTTGCTAACCAAGCAAGAAGCGCTTCTCCAGTTACCCTCCCACCAACTAACATGAAACCTGACAGGGGGTCCCTTTAAAAGGAAACAAATCGTGTTTTTTCCAGTTACCGTCCCACCACCAATGGACATGAAACCTGACGTTTGGGGGTCCCTTTCAAAGGGACAGGTCTCCCAGCCCCCCCCCCCCCCGGTCAGATTGGTGGCAGGGTAGCACGTACTATATATAGTAGCTAAGTGGAAGCCATCCATGGTAAGATCTGATAAGGATCCCAAGCCTACCATACTCTACTGCTATTGGGTTGGACCTTTAGACTTTCACTTTGTTGATACTCCTCAGATTTCCTTTTACCCTGCGGAAAGAATCTTTTTGCTGGGGATCTACAGCACCCAAGCCTAGTCTCAGTTGTTCTGTGGCACTCTGTTTCCTTCTTCTTCTTTTTTTCCGGTGGCTGCCCCACTAAAACTGTTCTTCCCCAAAAAGAATTGGTTCCCTTTTTTTCCATGGTCACTGAACAACTGAGATCTGGCTATATTTTACAGTGACCAATCATGATTGTTGTTGGGAAACATTTTACTTTTTGCTTATTGTTGTTTAGTGGTTGAAATCCAACCACTTAGTGGCTTCTCCAGTGCTGGGAAAAAGAAAGAACTGGCTTGGGGCCTCTCGAGCACCTGATGTCCTTTGGGCCTGTGAGAGGAGTGGTTTTCCATTCACCCTCTGCAAGAACCAGGGGTTCAACGCCCCACCAAACCACCAATTAAGTGGTGCCTGATATTCATGGTATCTCCGAAAACAACCAGGAATTGGACTGCAGGTTCTAGTCTTTGGTTCCATTTACCAGGGCAACTAGTGCAGCACCCCAAGAGGCTTTGGGCTTTGGGGCACCTGACAAGGGGTCCCTCGAGGAAACTAATCTTCCAGGAACCCTCGCACAGGTGCCATGTGAGTGGGAGGAAGGGTACCTCTCCCATTTTGCCGTGATCCATCCTTACCTCTTAAAAACACAACTGTTCAACTTGTTTGGGGTAACATGGACTATATGTCTGTAAAAGATGAAAACTTCCCCAGGGCAAAAGGAGTTTTTAGGGGCAGGCATCCCAGCCTTTTTTTTGTGTCGTTCCGTGCTTCGTTTGCCTTCTCAGCTGACAGGGTGTTTCTGCCTTCCTACGGGGCGAAAAGGAACAAATTTGGCCGGTCAACACCGACGGGATCCCATCTTGGGGTAGGCGAATTCACACCCATTTTAGGCTATTTTTAGGCGCACCACCCCATTTTAGAACCCATTTTAGTGGTTGGATTGGTTGATGTTCACTGGCTAACCGGGGTTTTGACCCATCGCCAAGTGTCGACCCAATTCTCTTCTTGTCAATGAGTTTGACTTTGTTTCTTGCATGAGTTGTGCAAATGTAGGAGCTGACTATGAATCTAATCAGCAGAGAACTAAACAGGAGCGATGCTTGCTGCATAATGCACAATTGCGTGGCTGAGCGAGAGAGGGCTCTAATTGTGCTTTTGCAAAAAGCCGGGCAGAGTCGTTTTGATTGGGCAGGAGGTGAAGGTTCCCGTGGAAAAGATTGTGGAGAAGGAGGTGGTCAGGGAAGTAGAAGTTGTGAAAGAGATTCTGGTCGAGAAGATTGTTGAGAAGGAAGTGATCAGGGAGGTGCCGGTTGAGAAGATCATTGAAAGGCATGTGATCAAAGAAGTGCCGGTTGAGAAGATAGTGGAGGTGGAGAAGGAGGTGATTAAAGAGGTGCCAGTTGAGAAGATCGTCGAGAAGGAAGTGATCAAAGAGGTGCCCGTTGAGAAGATAGTCGAGGTCCAGAAGGAAGTGCAGATGGAGAAGCTCGAGCAGAGTCTGGCTGAAATCCCCGAAATGCCTGTACAAGGAAGCAAGAAGACGCCTGAGAGGGCATCCTTTGTCGACCAGGCGCTCGGCCGAAGATGGCTTTCAGGGTTGGTTGAGGTAAACCTTTCCACCTTGCGCTGGCAGATGTAAGAGAGGGGGTTTATCAGGTGAGCGCTCAGGATAGATCTGCCGAAATATTGCGTAGCATTCCAACAGCATTCATTCGAGTGCGCAGTATGAAAAGTTCAGAAGCGTTCCAATTACCCTCCCTTCCACTAACATGGCACCTGGCAGAGGGTCCCTTGAGAAGGAAATTAGCCTTCCAGATACCCTCCCACAGGTGCTATGTTTGTTGGAGGAAGGGTATATTTCCTTCTTTAGTTATATGTCGCATTCCAATTCATATGTCCCCGCTGCGAGTTGCACCTCTTAGGCTAGACAGAATTTGAGGTGCGTGTCCTGCGATGCTTGAGGCTGGGGATTTCGGGATTGGAAGCTTGTCATCCAGTCCTCAAAGGCGCGTCAATTGAAGCAACGAGCCATTTTTCTCGTGTGCGTTCTTTCATACCCTCCCAGCAATTCACGCGGGACCTGACGGAAAGTTCTGGACCAGGTCTTCCTTTTAAAGGGACCGCGTGGTTCCAGGTTCCTGGACTTTAGTCGCTTTAGTCGCTCGGGCCTGGGCCTCGCGACTTAGTCTTGGCCAGTCCACTCGATGGGAAGTGAGAACATGACATCGCAGAGCTTCTTCTTGCTTTGAATCCACCAAATCTTGTTGAAGCATTCATTTCATTGGGACAATGAAACGAGAAAAAGATGGCCGAGATTGATATTGTGAACTACTTGTTTAGACGTGTCATAATGTTTGTGTATCCATCGCTTTCCTTAGTTGCTAGTACGGACGAGTAAATCAAACCCTCTTCTATCACCATTGGCCCTTGATGTCCCAGACCTTGTTTGGGATGCAGGAGCTGGGCCTTTGTTCACAAATTTTACGGAGGCATGTCGTCAAGCAAGTGCATGTTGAACGCCCAACGCGAAAACCGTGGTCTTCCCCCAAGGTATTCAAACGATTTTACAGCCCTAAAGATACTTTGGATGGATGAAATCCATTTCGCACCACCTACAACACCCTGGAATGATTCGATTCCCCTGCAAATACGAACCAATGGTTTCTTGGGTGGTTGAACCTGGATTTCGGCCAACCTTCGACGGCAACGCAGGATGTTCAGACCGACGGCTTTCACCTCTCAGACTGGATGGGGAACCCAATGGAACGCACGGTGGAAGTCTTGCAGGAGGGCGTCACTCAATCGGTGAGGTTCGTGCCCGTTGCTCCGTGTCTGCATATAAATGCGTGTGTGTGTGTGTGTCCTTTTTGAGGGTAGCCATTTTTTGTCGGTTTAAAGGTATATTTAAAAGGATAACCCCCATTTTGGGGTCTGCAAAACACGCTTAAATGAGTACTTGTCAAAATAGGGGACCCAACAAATGTTCGGATCGAGCGGATTGTGCCTCTGGTTTCCCTTTGGCGCAGTTTCGCAACGGCCCGTTTGGGCTTTAATGTTCAGATTTTGGGGCAAAGACCCTAGAAGCATTTGTAACAGTTGTAGTCGTATGCCCTTGCACCCATTGTGGTCTTTTGCGGGGTGGTTGGCACTGTGAACTTTGGAATCAGGCAACTGTGTCCCCATACGATGTTTGGTGATGCAGGTAGCTTGCCACACACGCACACACCCGAATCGCGCATGTTTAGGAGAAGGAAGTTATCAAAGAGGTGCCGGTTGAGAAGATCGTTGAGAAGGAAGTGATCAAAGAGGTGCCGGTTGAGAAGATTGTGGAGAAGATAGTGGAAGTGGAGAAGGAAGTGATCAAGGAGGTACCGGTTGAGAAGATTGTAGAGAAGATAGTGGAGGTGGAGAAGGAGGTGATAAAGGAGGTGCCAGTTGAAAAAATCGTTGAGAAGGAAGTGATCAAAGAGGTACCGGTTGAGAAGATTGTAGAGAAGATAGTGGAGGTGGAGAAAATAGTGATCAAGGAGGTGCCAGTGGAAAAGATCGTTGAGAAGGAAGTGATCAAAGAGGTACCGGTTGAGAAGATTGTAGAGAAGATAGTGGAGGTGGAGAAGATAGTGATCAAGGAGGTGCCAGTGGAAAAGATCGTTGAGAAGGAAGTGATCAAAGAGGTGCCGGTTGAGAGGATCGAAGCGAGCAAGGAAGGGCCAGCTGACATGTCGTTGGAGAAGGATATTGTCACTGTTGAAGGGTCTTCCGTGCCCTTTGAGGAAGCGCATATGGAACTGAAAGAGCAGCTTTCCTCCAGCAAAGCAGACGATGCGGACTTGGAGGCGATGCAGCAAGCAATACCTTGCTTGTGTGATAGTCAGGTTCAGATCTTCTTCGAAGAACGCATATATCATGCTTTTGACACAGTTTCATTGGTTGATGACGCGTTTTTGAGTTTCTCCAGGAACGCAGAAGTGTGACATTTCTTTGTTCCGTTGCTTGAGTTTCCCAAATTTGCAACTTGCAACGTCCCAGCTCAAAAGTGGATTTTGACACCAGGGGGGTGCTGCAGATGTGGAAGAGGACGCGGAGGACGGCATGTGCCGCGCGGGGCTGTTGATCCATTTGTATGGCGAACTCTCCAAACCGCGAACACGAGCCATTCCGGCCCCAGGATGAACTATTGAATGGCGGGTCTTCATTATGCATTTATGAGTTTGTCCTAGTTTTATGTATGGTCGTGAAATTTTCCATGCTCCTCATCAGTTTGCGTTCTTTGCTGCTTGGGTTGAGGCAAGTTTCAGGATATCCTGCCCACGAACATGAAACTTGATGACTGGATTTTTCCTCAGGTTCTATGTGGGAAGATTCTGGAAGCATGGTCGCTTGAGAGTGCCACTCGCCGCAAACCAAGGCAGCGGGAAGCGATAGTAAGATGTTGAGCGGCGTGGCAGCGACCTGAGTTGCTTGTTCTCTGCAGACTGTGAATCAGGGTTGTGAAATCAAGGAGTTGATTCCCACTTCTGTGATACAAGGGAATCTCCCCCTGTTTATGGGGTGTTAGTCTTTGGGAAGCCCTGTTTGTTGTATCACAGAAGTGGTCATTTCCCACAACCCTGCTGTGAAGCAACCAGCTTCTTTGCAAGCTCCGATTTGAATCCGCTTGCCACCTGGTCGTTTGAACTGATCGAAGCTTCAAGGAGCCGAGCGAGCTCGCGAATCTCAATCCATGGTCCAGGTAAAATGCCAGGATTGGTTGAGGACAACGGCTACTTACAAGCTTTCCACCAGCGCCGGTTGTAAAGTGTGGGTTTTTTTGGTGGTTTTTCTGGTAAAAAAAAGCAGAAGATGTGAAAACCGCTCGACAAGAAGTCATCGGAAGTCATCAATAGGCATCTTGCGTCCGATGATCTGGAAGGCAGTTGGAAAAGGCCCCATATTGGTCACTTCATTTGGGGGATTCTCATGTTTTGGTTCGTTAGTGAGAAAGCCAGCTATGGAAATCAGCCGCTCAATGGTATCACGCCCACACCGCCCGTTTCCCTCTGTCGCTCGCCTGGCTTTTGCATGTCCTTGGAAAGGCCTAAGGGACCCCCTGAATTCCCGTTGAACGTGAAATTGAAAGGAAGCCCAAAGGAATTGACTGCTGTAATGAGCTCATTCCTAATTGCTCATTCACACCCCGCTTGGGTGAGTTTGGCAAATTGACAGCGGGTAACTGCAGAAACATCTCACAGACGGGGTGGTTGCCGCCTCTTTCCAACCAACGTCAGGTAAGCAGATCATAAAAAAAACCCTTGTTATAGCCATGGTTATAGCCTGCTTACCGGAAGTTGGTTGAATTCATCCAAGTAGGAAACCCGTAGTTTCTCGGGCCCGCAAGCTATAACTCACTCACTTCCATTTGGTGAAATGAATATGTTTTATTTTCCCCTGTTGGTTTTAAAGGGAATCGATTTCACTACTGGAAATACTGATAGTTTTGCCAGGGGACGAAAATGCAAACGGATCCAGCGCCAGGAGCGGCCTGACAATCGGCCGAGCCGCACCAAGCATGAGAGACGCTGCGCCGCACAAGCCACGAGACGGGGAGTCAGGGGAAGAGCCGAAACTTTGGAGCCAGCTCACCATGAAGATCCTTTAGGGATCTCTGAATTCAGGTCTTGGATTGTTTTTTGGTGTTTTGCAAAGCCTACAAATCAGATGAAACAACACCCGAAACCCGAAAAACATGTGGCAAACCGTGCAGATGAGATGCAGCAACACCCAGACCGCTGAGTTTTGTTCTTGGGCCTGGAAGAGTCGAGAAGAGGAAGTGCAAAAGGCTGTGTCTCAGACAGCATACTTAGTAAGTGGTTAGTAAGCCTGGGTATAACCCACATAGGAGACTTACAAGCATGGTAAAGGGGTTATAACCAGGCTTCCTAACCATGTACAATGCCCCTTTAAGCAGGCTGACCCGTTTTTTCCAGTCGGTTCCTTGAGTCCGGCCGCACGAATTTTCCTCCAGCGCGTTTTTGGGTTTCCACAACCACATGGCCACACGGCGCTGAAGGGAAGCGGGAAGTGCGCACTAAGGATTGGAGAATACCGACGAGGCGGGGCTCCTCTTCGAAGCTGAAACTCCCATTCATGGTTGTTGTTGGGAAGCATCTTACATGTTTGCTTATTATGTGTTTTAGTGGTTGAAATCCAACCACTCAACTGCTTTTTTTTGCTCCCCTTCCAACGTCAACCAAGCATTTGTTTGAGAAGTTTGTCCTAGTTTTCAAAAGTCATTGTCATTGGGTCATGTCTAACTACCCCCTAGCTCACTACTCCCCCTCCTGGAATTAGGGGGGTAGTTGGACATGCCATGACATGGCCATGCCTCCAACCAAAATCTTCGGGACCTTTGGCACCTTCTGGTCCCCCCCAAACCCCGTGCCGATACAATCGAAGCATCGCAGGTTCAATCTGCCATCCGCCAGGCAGGGTTGGGATTCCGAGAAAGCCAGAAATTCGCAAATCCACATGTGGCCCTGGGGCGACCCCTGTTGGCGGGTTTTCCATCCCGTAATCTGTTTGGTTCTTGTCCAGTTAGATATCTCATATACTAGGGCTTAGTATATACATATATTGGGCAACAGCGACAAATCTGTTTTCTCCTCTTCAGTAGATTACCGAGGTTCAGAAAATGCACTAGCAGGTCCGCTCTCACATATGTTAATGGGAGGAAGGGTAACTCATATACACGAGCTTATAATATATGGACAAGTTATAGCGACCTCATGAGGTTTGCTACCTCGACCTCATGCCTTGTTCAGGCATCCCGAAGACTTCAGGTTAGAGAATGAGCGGACATACGGTATTCCCCATTTTGGGAATCTGTCAGAACTGGGACTTGCCAGGGCTTTCTGCACTTTATGGCAGTGGCTCAAAATTAAAGAGCTAGGGTTACGCAGGTTTTGGTCCATGTTTCCACTTACCAGGGCAACCCATTTTGGAATTCCGTTTTTTTGAGCCATACCCTTATGAAACGGGCCAATTCTGGACTGAGCATTCCAGAATCCAAAGACCTGGTGTTGGTCCCACTTGAAAAACCGCCTCGAAGGGCGTCTCAGTGTTGAGGGCCTCCGTTTGTTGGGGGAGTGTCGCGTGGAAGTAAAGAAAATATCGAATCGCCCCTTCTCATTGGCACCCTGGCCATTTTTTGAGCCTCGCGCAAAGAAAAATAAGTTCTTGCGCCCTTTTTGGTGGGGGATTTGAAAAACCTGGCAACAGCAAAAGCTTCCATGTTTGTCTGAGGGAGTGTAACTATCTCAAAAGCAACAGTCAGCGCAGGTTTGGGGCACTCATGCGTCAACCCTTTTGACGTTCTCAAAGAACACCGAGTAGATCACACGTCGTTTGGGATCTGAAACTCTGGCTGGTGCTGAGAGGCTACTTTCTGGAGCCCCTTTATGTAGTTGGGCATGAATACTAGAGTGTCTCAAATTAAGAGTCACACCTCTGTGTGTGTTGGGCTTAGTGAGGGGACCTTTGAGTCACACCTCTGTGTTGGATTTCGTGAGGGGACCTTGAATATGAGTCACACCTCTGTGATGGATTTAGTGAGGGGACCTTTGAGTCACACCTCTGTGTTGGATTTCGTGAGGGGACCTTGAATACGAGTCACACCTCTGTGATGGATTTAGTGAGGGGACCTTTGAGTCACACCTCTGTGTTGGATTTTGTGAGGGGACCTTGAATATGAGTCACACCTCTGTGATGGATTTAGTGAGGGGACCTTTGAGTCACACCTCTGTGTTGGATTTCGTTGAGGGGACCTTGAAATTATGGTTGGTTCCCTTTTTTGTTTCCCTTTAGAATCGTCTAGAGACGTTTGTACATGCCCCTGTCATATTCAGACCCCCAATTAAGGCCCTGTGGTTCATCTCTGCCCGAACGCCGTTGTTTGGTGAGGTGGGTGCCCTAGTTGGATCGCAAGCACCAACCGCAGGGTAGACTACGCTAAGTTCGAAACCCGGTTTTGTTGTTCCCTTGTACGGATAGACAACATCCACGCACCAGTTAGGTGGCATAGCCTTGGTATTTATAGGTTTCACCCACCTCCACTTGGATGTTCGGCCAAGTTCGTCAGTGGTTAGCCACCTGTGTTATGAGCCACTAATGACAAGGTTGACTCCACTGATCGGGCTTGGCTGAACAACTTGCTATCTTTGCCGAATCACCCTATGTTCAGCCTATGTCCAGCTAAGACCTGGTTATCATGGTGTATTTGGGACCATCTTGGGGTAATTTCCCCACTGGTTAAAAGAATCCCAGAGTATGGGGAAATCCTGAGCTCCATCCGTCCATCCATCCATCCATCCATTCACCGTACGTTTAGCCTATGTCAATAGCCTATGTCAATAGCCTATGTCAATAGCCTATGTCAATAGCCTATGTCAATAGCCTATGTTCAGCTAAGACCTGGTGGTTTCCCCACTGGTTCAGTTTCCCAGGGTACAGGAAAATCCATCCGTCCGTCCGTCCGTCCGTCCATCCATCCATCCATCCATCCATCCATCCATCCATCCATCCATCCTGTCCAGCTAAGACCTGGTATAGGGAAATCCTTAGCTCTCCGTCCATCCACTGCTGGCGCTTTGGATGTCACCCTCCGCGCCAGGAGGTGACTCAGGCCGTGGCGGCTCTGAAAACGCGGGGCATCAGCACCGAAGACCTGGACCGGCTCACCGTGGAGCAGAGCGTCCTCCAAGCCGTGCGCCTCGCCTTGGACTGCAAAATGGGTCATGTGACCTCACTCACCCATCTACCTCCCTTTCCGCCTCCGGCTTACCACGGCATAAACAAAAAAACACAAAAAGAAGAGCCCGAAGAGGTGGATGGGTGGGTCTGTCTTCTTATCCTGGTTTTAGGGGTTTTTGGTGAGGCTACCCGTTCTTTGGTTTGGTTTTAGGAGGCTTGCTGAGGGTACCCGTTCTTTGGTTTCAGGAGGGTTTTTGAGGGTACCCTGTTTTGGCCTGGTTTTAAGAGGAGACTCTCTGTTTTTGTGGAGGGTACACGTTGTGTTGGGCTGGTTTTGGGGGTCATGAAGGGTCCCCTCAGTGGAATTCCTGTTGGGATTCTGGATTAGGATTGGCCAGTTTGGGGCGGAGGCTGAGGATCTGAGGGTTGGGGTGGCGGCGACAGCTGGTTTTTTGTCCTTCAGGTCAGTCTTGGGTTTTCCGGAATCAAAACCCACAAGAGTTTCCAAACTGCTGGGCGGTTCTCGGATTGGCCAACCCTCAGTTTTGAACAGCCCAGAATGGGTCTCTATGTTTTGTTGAGGGTACCGCTTTTGGGGCTGGTTTTAGGAGGAAACTCAAAGGAGCATCCATTTTGGGCGGCTCCCCGACACGCCCAAATGGATATGTGTAGGGATTCGGACCCCCAAAATGGGTCTATCTGGGTTTTCCAAAAAGGGAAGCCTGAAAAAAACCAATACTGATACACATAAATTAGGGCAGGGACGGATTGGTTGTGGAACCATTTGCGGCATAATTGTCTGGTATGCCAACTGACTTGCGCGAGTTTCCCCAATACACCTAGGCTTCAACTTGTTTTCCTTGTAGGGCCGCGGGTTTCCTTTAGCATATGTTTGCCCCTTGAAACTACCACAAAGAGGTGCCCTTTCGGCCATCAAAACCAATGCCAGTGTCCCAGCACTTGGGCGTTCTTTTTTTTTTCAAAATGGCCAACTAGCTCTCTGAAGATATCCCTGCTGGGTTGGTTGCACAATTTGTTTGAGCAGGGAAACCAACAGGAATTCCGACCAGCTTCCCAAGTTTCTGGACTTTAATGCTTTTTGGGTTTGCGCCATTTGAGGGGAACAGGAGAGTCGTTCGTGTTTTGCCAATCACAATCCCAGTTTTCCAAATAGCCGAAAGCGGATGGGCCATTGTTTCTGTCCAAGCCCTTTTTTTTCCTGCTGGTGCTCAGGGAATGTGGGAATGAACCCAGGAATTGGTCCCCGAATAAAGGAAACCACCAGTTGCATGGTTTACAAGGGTCATTCCAATTCTCATTTCGTGCATCTCTCGCACCGATCGCAAGTTTTGCGCCAGGTGTATTTGTTTCGATGTAAAGCCCTCCTTTTTGGGTGTAGTTGATTTCGATGTGAAAAGCTCCAGCTGTCTCTCGATCGCGAGGCAAGAGGTTCAAGCAGCTGACAGACGTGCCCGAATACGAACCATGGTCCTGGAGCAGTTGAAGGATTGGATGACCGACGTCTCTGACGAGGCCGCTGATCCCTCCGAAGGAAGGCTTTAAGGATGCGAGGCAAGAAAAGGTTTTTGACTTCCATTTGGTTAAGGTTGTGTGTGTTTTCCCCCTGTTGGTTCTAAAGGGAATCTTTCACTACTGTTTTTTTTTTTTTTTTGCAGGGGACTTTAGCAAACGGAGGTTGAGCATGATACCAACTCAAAAACAAACTAGGGTTCCTCTTGGGTGCCCAGGTGAATTTAAAAAGAAGAGGAAGAGGAAGGCTTTAAGGATGTTGTGGTTTAAGCATGTGTCAAGGAAAGGTGGTTCTGTCGTGGTTTCAAGGTGTGGCTTCTTGTGTGGCCTCTTCTTTATTAAATAGTTTGTTTTCTATCAAACAACGAGGATGTTTGGTTGCTTGAATATGGTTGCCCAAATCCGGGCAGCGCACTGGAGTTCATCTGGCAGGCAATGTTTGCTTGCCTGTTGAACAGGCTTTTGATCCAAAGCCATCCCACCTAACCCAGCAGTGTGTTCAGCATTGGATCAGGTCCGTCATTTCACGTGTAGCAACTAGCCACTTTGCAGCTTCCGCCGTATGGGTCCTTGGCACATCTTTGCCGGGCAAAATCCAGTCCAACAAACTGATTGAACAAAAAAAAACATATTAGGGGTCAATAACGAAAACTTAATTAAGGAATCAACTAACAAACATACTAGGTTGAGGTTGCCACACGTCAGAGCAAGGACTGTGGCCTGCCCCCTTGCCACACGCAGGTGGAAGCGGCACCGGCCAAGCAGCCTGCGGCGTGGATCTCCGGAGCTTTAGGAAGCGCATTGACGTAGCCCAGAAAAGTGAGAGGCTTTGGGCGGGGTGTGGCCGGGTTCGGGCTTGGTTTGGGTGACTTCCATATGTTTTATTTGTTCTTGTTGGTGCAAAAAGGATTTGTTTCACTACTGGACATATTTTTTGTCCATTGGTCTTAACCAAATGGAAGGTGAGTGGAACGGGGTGGTACAGGTTGGGAGGTTGGTGCAGACTCAAACAGGATTTGGTGGATTTGTGCTGTGTCGTTTTGAGTTTCCGCATCAACGCCATCACCCAAGAAAGCTGTTTCATTTTTGGGCGGCTTGCCCATGGGTCGCCCAAGTTTGGCGGCAAAAAGGATACGCCTTTGGTGCGCATCATGTGCTTTGGGATTCACGTCCACCAATCATATTGATGAGGAAGCGATGTTGTTCCGAGTTTTTGTTTTGCTCCTTGCAAGAACTGATTGTCGTTGTTGGCAGTCGGCCGGTGCACGGTGCACGGCCGGTGCACGGCGCAGGGTTCCGCAGGCACGTTGGCTTGATGCAGGGAGGGGAAAAATGGTCGAGCAATGGATGATCGACAGGTTTTTCGATCTGGCGCCTGACATTTTCTCCGACGAGGCCTGGACGGTGGAGATGCAGACACGCTACGGCTCCATCTCTCATCGTCTCTGCCCTTGGGGAGGCCATCTCGTGCGAATAAGTCATGACTATGTCCACGTGGATGGTGACGAGGTCGGCAGCTGCCTCATAGTGAGGCCCGAAGTTTCAGAATTGTTGTTGGGAAACATTTATGTTTTTGCTTATTGTGGTTTAGTGGTTGAACATCAAATCCACTTAACTGCTAAAATTTCAAGATGTTTGCTCCCCTTCCAACGTCAGGCCCGAAGTTCGAGCATTGCACAACTGCGCAGACATCTGCGCCCTCCCGGGCATGCAGCTCCAACAGCATCTAGCGCCAGGCGATGCCATGCTAAGCAACCATAACGAGCAAAAGGTGGAAGTCTCTGGCTGCGAGAGGAAGGTCGCCTAGCTGGATGTGATGCGGGTCAAAATCAATGGTCTGTTTTAGTGGGGATTGGGATGTTCATCCCCATTCTCTTCAGGCATCATTATCTTCAAAGAATGGGCCAAAGCCCTGGAAAATGAGTGGTTTCCAAAGAGAAGGATGGGTGAAGAGAATGGGGGATCAAACCTTCGATGATCTGTTTGTGTCTTTTTGGGTTTGTACAAGCCATGAACAACTGAGGTGGTTGGCCTTTTGGCCAATCCAAGACAGACTGAAGTGAAGTGGGAAAGTTTGAAAGGCACTCTTTCAGGGTTGTCGTTGGGAAACATTTTACATTTTTGCTTATTCTGTTTTAGTGGTTGAAGTCCAACCACTTAACTGCCAAAACCTATTTTTGCTCCCCTTCCAGCGTCAACCAAGCTGTTCCCTCCTTCTCTCTAGAAATCAAGTGAGTGGAGCACGAGTGACCGAGTTTTCAGTTCTGCTCAGAGCCTCGTGTGCGGTTTTAACGCTTGGCCTCAAGATGCTGTGTGCGTGCATTTACGAACCACCAACAAACATGGGGAGATCCACTAAAGCTCCATGTGAAAACCTCCAAAGCCTGGAAAAACATCCACTGAGACGCCAAAAGAAAATTGGGGCATCCACCAAAACGAGGCTAAAACCTGGAGAAGTCATCCACTGAGAAGCAAACGTGGGGAGAAGAAATCCACCAAGACTTGAAGCGTCAGGAAGGCCCTGGCATGACAGTCACAGTGGCCGTTCGCCTCTTCGTGGCGCTCTTCGGGGATCCGTTCCGGCCGCTCTTCTGCAACCTCCGGGAGTGCGGCGAGGTGTCGGTGGCCCGGAACCAGCTGCGGAGGAACTTCCCCAGGCCGGGTGGGGTTTGGGGTGGGTGGATGGGTTGGGTGGGGTGGGGTGGGGTAGGGTGGGGTAGGGTGGTGGGTTGGGGTGGGGTGGAGTAGGGTGGGGTAGGGTGGTGGGTTGGGGGGGTTGTGGGGGGGGGGGGGGTTGTGGGGCTTCACAGGCCAACCTGGTAACCGGGCAACCGAGCAACCACGGGCCAAGCAAGGCGGCTCAATTAGAAGGGAAACCTGCATGATGTCATGATCTTGTTGTTCACCTTGGTCTTTCAGTAGTGCTCTTTTACCCGTTTTTGGGGGAGGGTTCCCCTACTAAAGAAGACTACAGAAAAAAAGGTACCCTTATTCTAACCTCTCTACTGGAGGACCTAGCCACACTGTTTGGCCGGGGGGGGGGGGAGGTTTTGCATGTAGACATTGATTGGAAGATCGTTGAAGTTGACTCTGAGGATGGGAGATGCCACCTTGGCTGGGTTTGACATCAACGGACTGCAGCAGGCGATGTTGGTTTCCAGGCCAGATGGCACGAGCACCTTCCGCCTGGCCTACGCTTTTCACACCCCAATCCTGGCAAAAGCCCACTGGGTGCCGGAATCTCGGACCTGGTTTGGATTTTGGGGCTTGGCTTTTGGCTTTTGGGGGCGGTGGCTAAAAAAGAGCAACTGAGTCACAATCAAAACCCGGATAGATGAAGGTTAGTAAGGGACATTCCCAGCCAGAATTGGGTGCGGCCGTCTTTATAGTTCTTCGCATTGGATTGCACAGTGACCTCGGCTCAGCCGAGGAATGCTTGGCTCTTGTGGTGAAAGGCCTCAACCATGTGGTGCACCAAAACTTCAATCGTCCTGGCATCCAAAAGCTCCGCAAGATCGACGCGGACTTTTACGTGATTCTCAGCCTGTGCCATTTCAAGCGTGGACCGCCCATGCTGCCCCACACTGGGCCAGAGGAACCCGACGTGACCATCTGCGGTGAAGACGGGCTTCAGAGCTCATGGACCCGTCATGCGGTGCAGACCAGCCGCTTCCGGGCGGCCGAGTACATGCAACTCTTCATCGAGCGCCTGGGCTACAGTCTTCGCTTTTTCGGTACCTTGGACGGGCAAATGCTGGTGCCATATCAGTGTGCCGTGCGAAGGGACAAGTGGCAGAGGCTCCGCAAGGATGTCTTGAACGCCTTTTCCTCGCAGAAAGCCGCCTACCGCCGCATGAACGGAGGCGCCGCTGCGCCGGAGCTGAAGGAGGGCCGCTCGGCCAACTTCAAAGTGGGGCCTGTGAAAGTGGGCTACGGTGTGGCAGCTGAGCTACCCCAGCTGGTTGTGCGCCGGACTTTCTTTGGTGTGGAGGAGTTGATTGACAAAACCCTGCTGCGGCGGGCCAAATCCAGCCGCCACCTTTGCACTTGCGATGGTGACACCACTCAATTGTCCGAAGGCGAAGCCAACCGGGTGGTACCGGTACATTAGGTGTAAAGCTTGGTGTTTGTGTGGCACGATTTTGCGTGTATAGCTGTACAGGCATGCTACGACGTGCTCCTGGAGAGTGGTGGTTATATGATGTTAGGATGTTATATATCCCTGCCTCCGTGAATATGGGCCCCTTGCAGGCGTATTACGCGCGGCAAGCCCCCATACAACGAGTTGACGTACAGGCTCGTGTGCCCTTCCTCTTTTGTATGGTTGGGCCCTACCAAATGCTTCAGCAGCATTTGATGATTCGAAACGATCGAAAGCAGAAACAAAATATGACACAATCGTAAAATTCATTTTTTTTGTGGTTGAGACATGGTTGTGGGTCAAAATCCCGTACTCCCAGTGAACATCCCAATGTGCACTAAAATCGGTTCTAATCTGGATGCACCTACCCCAAAATGGGATCCTATTTGTGATCCACAGCCACATTAGCAGCGTTCAAAATCCCGATAAAAAACCGGCTGTAGCGCAACGCGTGGCGAAAGCGTTGCGAAAGCGTTGCGAAAGCTGGGCGAAAGGGATCTGAGGAGTGGCGAAAGAGATGGTGAATGGCTGAGTTTGAGAATGGGAGACATCTATAAAAGCTCTGCAAAAGGGTTTTTGGTTTACTGTGTTTTACCGAAAGGATAATTGAGGAGTGAATAAAATTTTGAAAGGTTATGAGAGGGTTGGTATAGGTAGATATAGAATATAATGTCGACTATATTTATTATTTTATTAATTTGATTTAAATAAAGACTAATATGGTTTTATTTTAATTATTTTATAAATTAAAAAAATCGATGATATTTAATATATTTAAATTATAGAAAAAACAATATAATTAATTTATATGTTATTTATTATATTTAATAATATAATATATAAAGAGATATTTGGTTTAATAAAATACTTATAAACCATAAATTAAGATATATATAATTATTGAATTATATATTAAATATAAAATAATATATATATATATTAAATAATAATTATAATATAAAATTTAAAATATAAAATACAATTTTAATATTATTAATATATGTAGGTTTATATTAGTTGTTAAACATTCTTTTATTAATTAATATTATTATTTTTTTTATTAAACTAATTTTATAAATATATATATATATATATTTAAATTAAAATTAGTAATAATGATTGGATTTGGGGAATTAATTATATTGTTATTTTATGTTTTATTTGATATTATTTTTTAAATTGTTATAATTTATTTTTAATAAATAATATAATATATATATTTATATATTGGTTTTAATTATTATTTAATAAATATAATTTAAATATATGAAAATTATTTATATATATATATAGTATATTTGGGTTTGTTTTAAATATCGAATTATACTCCCGAATTATACCCGTGAAATATACCCTTTAAAATATAGGTTATAAAATATTGTTATGTTTCTATTATTTTATATTATTTATTGCCTCTATAATAATTATTACCAATGCTACTCAATACTATTATTATCACTACCACTACTACTACAACTGTTTCTACTACTACTACTAACTACTAGTACTACTGCTGCTACTATTACTAATACTACTACTACTACTGCTACTTCTACTATTTCTATTATTATTATTCCTGCTGCTACTACTGCTGCTACTACTCATTAATATAATATATATCATTCTGAATCTATGATTAGTGTCGTTTTGCACCTAGCCGAATTATATCCATAAATACCCGAATCATACCCGGGCAGTGAGCTTCCCCTACCCAGGCTAGTGCCAAATCTTTTTCAAAACGTCCGTACCACTCCAGCCGCTGCTACTTATGCTATAACTACGACCATTACTTCTGCAATTGTTATTATTACTACTGCTATTACCATTATTATTATATTCCTCGTTCTGAGTTTATAATTAATGCCGTTTTGCATTTAGCCGAATCATATCCATGAATCATATCCGAATTATACCCATACAATGAATTTGCCTTGCCAAGACCAACACTAAATCTTTTTAATATTTCCGTGCCATTATACTACTATTACTACTACTATTATTACTACTACAATACTACTAATAGTACCCACAAAACATATATGTCGCCCACAAGGTCTTCTTATGCTATATGATCGTCTTGCCAGGTGTGTTATTTGCCAATATATCCGGCTTTTAAGAATTGGTTTCTGCCATGGACTAGGGGACCCTTGCCGTTGGAGACCCGCATCTTGGTAAGGACCTTCCTTGACACGACTACTCAGAAGACTTAGGCCTGTATATACTAGATCGAGAACCCTAAGACTATTAACAAATCGCACTACTAATTATTAGGTTTAGGGTTTTTAGGGTTTAGGTTTAGGTTTTTTAGGGTTTAGGTTTTTAAGGTTTAGGTTTAGGGGTTTTTAGGGTTTAAGTTTAGGGTTTTTAGTGTTTAGGTTTAGGGTTTTTAGGGTTTAGGTTTAGGGTTTTTAGGATTTAGGTTTAGGGTTTTTAGGTTTTAGGTTTAGGGTTTTTTAGGGTTTAGGTTTAGGGTTTTTAGAATTTCGGTTTAGGGGTTTTTAGGTTTTTTAGGGTTTTTAGGGTTTAGGTTTAGGGTTTAGGGATTAGGGTTTAGGGTTTAGGGAGGGCTTTCAGGGTTCAGGTTTAGGCTTTTTAGGGTTTAGGTTTTTAAGGTTTAGATTTAGGGTTTTTAGGGTTTAAGTTTAGGGTTTTTAGTGTTTAGGTTTAGGGTTTTTAGGGTTTAGGTTTAGGGTTTTTAGGATTTAGGTTTAGGGTTTTTAGGTTTTAGGTTTAGGGTTTTTTAGGGTTTAGGTTTAGGGTTTTTAGAATTTCGGTTTAGGGGTTTTTAGGTTTTTTAGGGTTTTTAGGGTTTAGGTTTAGGGTTTAGGGATTAGGGTTTAGGGTTTAGGGAGGGCTTTCAGGGTTCAGGTTTAGGCTTTTTAGGGTTTAGGTTTTTAAGGTTTAGATTTAGGGTTTTTAGGGTTTAAGTTTAGGGTTTTTAGTGTTTAGGTTTAGGGTTTTTAGGGTTTAGGTTTAGGGTTTTTAGGATTTAGGTTTAGGGTTTTTAGGGTTTAGGTTTAGGGTTTTTAGGGTTTAGGTTTAGGGTTTTTAGGGTTTAGGTTTAGGGTTTTTAGAATTTCGGTTTAGGGGTTTTTAGGGTTGAAATTAGGGTTTTTAGGGTTTTTAGGGTTTGGGGAGGGTTTTTAGGGTTTAGGTTTAGGGTTTTTAGGGTTTAGGTTTAAGGTTTTTATGATTTTTAAGGTTTAGGATTTTAGGATTTAGGTTTAGAATTTTAGGGTTTAGGTTTAGGTTTTTAGGATTTAGGTTTAGGTTTGCCTATTGTTTGCTTATTTCTAGGATTATATTAGAGAAGAACTTTAGAAAGACACTTTAGAACCTAATCCATACGATATTTACTACTTAAAAATTTTGATTTATTTTTAGCTAAACAAACTATAATAGTTACTAAATTAATACTAATATTATAAAGCTAAGAAAAATCATCGTGTTCCACGAAAGGGAATAGTGCATAAAACTTAGGTAGGGGCGGAGAGGGGGGGGGGGGGGAAAGATCGGGAATAGATGATTATTCTGTTTGTTACGATTTTAAAAGCTTTCGAAAACCCGTTTCTAAGCAATCGCAAACAATAAATATGTTACATTCATAATATTATTATTATTATTATTATTAATATAATTATTACTAAATATTACTACTATTATTATTATTACTACTAATTATTACTATTATTATTACAATTCTACTACTAATATTATTTCTACTACTATTCTTATTATTACTACCACTACCACTACCATTACTATTATTACTATTATTATTACTTACTATCATTATTACAAATTAAAATTTATTCTTAAATTCCCAATATATAAAAAATCAAAATTTTATTTGTTCATTACTAATTTAACATTAAATATTATATAATATCAAATTCCAATATTCAATTCATACTATAACCAATCAAAATTAATTTTCCAAATCCCAAAATTACCATAATTTACAAATTTTATTAATACCATTATTTTATCAAAAATTCCGCAAATTAAATATATTACTATTAATAATTTTCTTAATATTAACAATATTAAATTTTAAATTCATAATATTAAATTCAATTTACCATTCTTAAAATACAATTATTATTATCAATATTACATCTTGCCAATACATAAATTCGATTCTTTATATTTCCCAAATTACCAATATTATATAAAATCATAACAAAATGCCCATAACATTTTTATGATTCATTTAACCAACAATAAAATAATTCCCTTAATCGAAAATAACAAAATAAAATCTAACCTCCAAATCCAAAAATCAACATTAAATTTTTTAAAACCTGAAATAACCTCAAAGATTACCTAACTCAAATATAAACAAAAACACTCAATATATATTAAATTAACCATATTCATTTATTCAACCGAAAACCAACCACTAAAAATATTCAAAATTTCAATTCAACATAATACCATTTTTTTTTTAAAAAATATGTTTTTCAAATAATTTAAAATACATTAATAAAACCATGTTTTTGTTTCAAAATAGTCAAGATTCCTTTGTTTTGCCTCCTCTCCAATTTTGTTATACGCTTCTCCGTTTTCTTCTCCGTTTCTTCTCATTTCCTCCATTTCCCCATCCTCCTGCATTTCTCTTTGGTGAAATTAACATTATTTTGTTTTCAGTCAATTCATTTGCGATCTCGTTGGTTATCATTAGCAGCACCTGGACCCACATTTCAGGTCCGTGCAGATTCGTTGCAATCAATTCCATTCTGGATGCGCCTGCAATTCCTGCGTGATGCGCTTGGCTAATTCGCTGGCGCCGCCATTCCCGGCTGAGTTCCTGATTGATGCAGTGTCCCACGGCAAGAATTCCACCAGGTTCCCCAAAAGACATTTTCCTTTTTGCACGATCATGTCCTAAGGGAGAACCCACCCGCGCATTCTGAGCAACAAACAAACATAACGACCACCGCAACAACGACGACAATGACGACAACAAAAAAAAATAGCAAAATGCAATAACCAGCAGATGAAAGCAAGAGGACAACAAAAACAAGCACCAGTGCTTGCAATCACTAGGAAAACAAAAAGTCCACCTCGGCCTGGCCGGAGCTTTCGGGGAATGGATCATCTTTTCGCCTTGCCGCCAAGAGAACTGAGGAAACTCCTTGAAAGAGTTAAGTTGAGGAAAAGCCCTTAGGCGCGGCAACCGCGTTACGAGGATGACATGTCCTGCAGGCAATTTGATGGAAGCACCGCAAAGGCGAATGTAACTGGAAACTTGATAGAAACGAACCCGAACGCAGATTACTTGCCTAGAGCTACCACCGTGGTATCCTTTGTGACTCTTGGGGACACAGATCTGGAGCATGTGACCTGCTAAAAAGCCACGAACCCGAACGCAGATTACTTGCCCAAAAGTTTCTGGCGCGTTGATTTTTCTTTGCAACGCATTCTTTGCGACAGCCTTTACAAGCTACCCCAACATCTCAAAGCCGAGGACACGTAGGGTGCCCCGCAAACAGCATACGAAGGCTTACCCAGCAACATCCTCAAAAGGCGATGCACCCCCCAAAGACACGCACGAAGGACATAGCACAACATCTCCTAAACACATGTCCCCCAACATCATCTCCTGCCACAAAATCATCTCCAAAGTCATACATCGCCCAACACAACTACCTGGAACCCGTTTTTCTGCCGAAATGACCAAAACAAAAGGTACAATGGCAGTAATAAGGGGTCCTTTGCAGGTCCAGGCCCCCGAAGACATTTGCACAGAATCCTCCGCAGAGATTTAGGACATCCCAAGTGGATTGGAGATCTGCTTTCGGCTGACCACCGAAATCGGGCGGCTCCCGGAGCCCCCAAAGAAACACAAACCACACTTGTTTGCTATTGACCCCTTTGCCAAAAGCAGTGGACGACCCCAAAATTTGCTGGTGCGCAGTAGGGAATGACCCCTCTGGGTCTTGAGAATGAATCGGAAGGGCAGCTCAGCCTTGCCTATCAAGAACCAGCAAGCCAACCACTCCACCTACCAACCCCACGATCCAAGCCAACCCAACATCTTTCCCTCCCACCCTAAAAACCTCACCTGAAACAAACCTCAATCCACCCCATTCAGCGCACACCAACAAGAACTTGGATATTCGACCAACTCAGTAGGTCATAACCATGGTTCTAAGAAGACTAACCCCCAATTACCCCAGTTAACACCATGGTTGCTGCAACCTATAGTTTTTAAGTTGGTTGAACATCCAAGCAAAGTGCAATCATCTTGGGATTCTCATCTCCGCAAAGTATAGCTATTTCGGTTAAAGCCCCCGGTCCGCCAGTAACCCCCTGTAACCCCAACAGCCCCCAGTAACCCCTAGTTGCCCGAGCTAAAACCACGGTTCTTATTTCTTCGCACATTTTCACCATGGTTATAAGACAACTAACCCCTTGGAGCCCAAGGCCTCATTATTTGAGAGGTTTGGGGGTTCGAGGCCCTCATATTTACCTAGGGAACCCTAGTTACCCTCGAACACCACAGATATAACTTCTTCGCCGGCAGCTTCCAGCAACCCCCACTAACTCTCAGCAACCCCCAGTTTCCCTAGCTAAAGCCCATGGTTATATGGTTAGAACTTCCTTCGCAAATTTTCCGAAGAACCCCCCAGCAAAACCCGCTGTGACCCCAATAGCCCCCAGAAACCCCCAGTTACCCTCGTTAAATACCACGGTTACAAAACTTGCTTCGCCAATTTTCACCATGGTTATAAGAAAACCAACCCCTAACAACCCCAAGACCTCATTATTTGAGGTCCTGTTAAACACTCAGTTGTTCAGTGACCCTGGAAAAAAAGGGAACCAATTCTTTTTTGGGAAGAGGCAGCAACCAAAAAATGGAAAAAGGGAGCCACTGAACAACTGAGAACAGCATGGTTACAACAAACTAACCCCGAACAAGCCCAAGGCTTCATTATTTGAGGGCCTGGTAAACAGAACTTGCTTCGCCAATTTGCGGTTACAACGCTTGAGGTGACACAATTTACTTGAGGTGACGCAAATGTGGTTTACTTCATTCCCCTGAAGGAATCCGATCCTGCTCCATTTTGGCATGGTTACAACCTTTGCTTCGCAGATTCTCCGCCCAAGCGTCTTGTCCGGATGCCATCGCAGCAGCAGCTTCCGCTTCAGCAGCGCCTTCTCGGCGCTCTCCACGCCGCGCAAATCTCGGGCCTCCAGTGCCACCAGGCCTGACACAACCTGAAGCCGACGGCTGAGAAGCCCCCTCCTTGGCTTTTTTCCCGTTTATTATATACATATATATATATATATGTATATATACATATGTATATATATATATATTTCTACATATTTGTTTCTATTGTTAGTAGGTTTGGTTCTTGATGTTGAAAGCTCAAGTTGGCGTCGCGCAAGTTTACATACGTGCTTTTAACATGTTTCTGTGAAGGTGTGTTGCATGTTTGTGCTTGTTGTGTTTGTAGGTGCGTGTGTATTTATGAATATGTCTGTGTTGGCAAGGTTGTACTATCCGGTAGCTTCGTGTAGGCTTGGTTTCTTGCATGTCTACTTTTTTGGTTTTACGTACATTTCCTTGTGTTCAGTCAGAGTCCGGGACACCAAACCACTTCCCATCCCCTTTTAGATTCTGCTTGGGCAAACTCAACCAATGGTCGCCAGTTGGTTTCCAGATTGGCGGACGATGTTGTAAAGGATGTTGTCGTTTATGGTTTTTGGATGGTTCTGTCCTTTTTCGGGGTACCCCTCATTTATCGGGTTTCAAGGGACACCAAAAGGAAACCGCCATTTTGTGTGATGACTGTTTTCGTTTATTGTTTTTTTGCTTTTTGTGGGGAGGGGTGCCAGAAAAAAACACACCCGTATAGAGGTTCGTAGGTGTTCACAACGGTTCAGGTATTTCAGTCAAGAGGCTTGAGAGAACTTTGTGTTCATGCAACCCAAAGATTGTAACTCAGGGGTTTCCCTCTGAAGCATGGGTTCACCAACAAAAATATCCACCCCACACCACCAAAAGGCAACTTGCATTAAATGGAAACGCAAAGAACCATGCAAGAGTTGGGAAAATCATTGGTTCATTACAGCTTCGCTGAGTGACGTTCTCAAGATCCTTTGAATAATGCTGAGTTGGCAACTCTGAGTCGAAAGAGGGGACCTGCCTCGGTGGGCATTGGCTCCCCTTCGCCTTCAAAGAACATCAAAACCGGGGCTAGCCTCAAACAAGGCAGGCAGAAACCTGCAAACACACACATCATGTTGACATCATACTAATCAACCACTGATTGTTATCATGCGGGGTGTCCCTGGTTTGAGTGGGGACTTATCACTTTCCCATATTAATAAACAGGCGGTTATTAATCCGGGGTCAACATTTAGACACACACACACATAGAAACACTCGGACACACACACACACACACTGCTTATTTCAAAGTCACATCTGGAGAAGTGCAGGTAGTCATGAATGAGGAAACCTCAGTTCCTAGCGAGTCGTTCAAAAGTAAACGGAAAATAGAAAATGGAAAAGAAATCGGGGAAAAGAAACCCCTGGCCTCGTCCAGACTCTTCGGCGCAGCCTTTTGCGGCGCAGCATAGGCCGCCTTGTCCAGGTCGGCGCCTGAGAAGCCAGAGCGGGGCTGGCTTGCTCAGATGCCCAGTGGACTTCCCACGGGGGAAAAAAAAACACGGAGTCCTTTTTTGGTTTCCGGAAAAAGTGGCCATGGACCAAAAAGGGGGCGTCCTTTTCTGTTTTTTGATTGAGTTTCCAGGGGAACCCCAAACCCCCCAAAAAAGTTGGAAAGAAAGGGGCGGAATCCACTGGGCAAGTGGAAGTCTGTTTGATGGCCAGCCAGCCATAGCCCTTTCAGGCGTTCATTTCAGGCGTTCGAGGCCTTTGATAGGGGCGTTCATATTTCGGCATTGTTGTTCAATGGCACAAAGGGCTGGGAAAATGGACGTGGGCTTGGGCATGCGGGCTTGCATCCTCACAGTGGGCTTGGGGCGGAGCGCCCGGGAGCTAAAGCAGTTGAGAAGCCCAGGCGCTGGGCTGGATGGCAAGCCAAGCTAAACCAGTGGAATTTACGTTTTACGTCTGACCAAACTAGCCGAAAAAGGACACTTCTGGCCGTGCTTTTAGACATGTGGAGAAAAGGCCGGTTTGCTTCTGTGATGCCAAAGTGAGGTTCCCATCTCCATTGGGATTCTCTTGGAATCCACAATCACGGCCGGCCCAAGGAGCAAAATCGATTCAAATGGGTCCACGTTCAATGCCTCACTTATTTCCAAGGCTGGTTGCAATGTTAGGTCAGGCAACCAAACTCCCAAGGCAAACCTAAACTTTCATTTGCTTAAGCCCTCTGGAAAAAATGAGACGATATGTCTAGTAGTGATAGATTCACATTGAAACCTACAAGCGACAAAGCCAAACAGATTCTTAAGCACATGGTCACATGGACGTAAATGACATTTGCACAAAGGCTGCCCTGCGCGCCGTCTATTCCAAAAAGAAAAAAAGGCTTGACTTTAAGAGGCAGGGTACTTAGTACGTGGTTAGTAAGCCTGGTTACAACCCACTTACCACCCTAGGGTTGCTCTTGTTTTTTGTAAGATGGGCTTATTCAACAAGCTCGGAATTGTGTCTTAGCGCTTTTCAGGATTTGGGTGTGGCGACAAACACCCATTTGAAGAGGATTCCCCCATGGAGGCAAACCCCATTGTCCCCCATTGACAACCCCATATAGACATCCAGGGCTCGTGTGTTCCCTTTAAAGATCACCCCACAAACAGGAAAGCAATCTGCAACGTTGAATCGCCGGTGGTCTGACTTCCCTGAGCGCATGGGCCAAAACAAGCCACTTTTTTTTGGTGCTTGAAATGAGAAAGTGGCAGCCAAACCCAAAAAGTGACGATCAAGTCCGAGTTCCGGAACTCAGGGAGTGAGTTCTGACTAGCCAACAGGAAACCACCCAAAAATCAGCCTGCTTATCAACCCACTAAACGGAGACTTCAAACCATGGTTTGTGAATGAATAACCATGACACACTTACCTCACGTACCACCTACATCGCCCCTTCAAGTAGCCCAAAAAAAGCAAACCCACCACCAGACCCCCCCCCCCTTCCCGCCGCCGCGGCCGACGAGCCGACGCGACACCCCTGTCCCCTCGTCCCTCGAGCGCGAGCCGAGGCGTCGAGCCGAGGCGAGCCGAGGCGCTGAGCTGTCGGATCTGCATCTCCGCGGCCATGCGGCTGCGCTCAGAGGCTCGGAGCTTCTGCTGCAGGGCGCCGCACTGCCTGCGGATTTGGACCCGAAAAGCCCGGTTTCGGGTGTCGGGGCGGAAAAAGACGAGAAATGGTGCCGGAACGACTCCCGGAATGGAGACCTGGGGCTCTTAAAGGGTCAGGGTACGTCTAAGTGGTGAGAGTAAGCCTGGTGAGATAATCCACTAGAAGACGGGCATAACCATGCCTTTTTTGGGTGATTACCAAGTGGTTAGCTCGCCAAGTCTTGGTGAGCGGAAAAGGCCAGCTGGGTTTTTTTGAACACCCACGAATGACTGGGGATCACCCAGTCATTTGGAGGAGAACAAAGAAACAGGTGGCCCTTTCCACTTACGAACTTGGCCGACAAGCATGGATGCTCGATTCGCCAAGTAACCTTCCCGAAGGGATACATGGGGGCTAAAGGGGCGATGGATTCGCTACGTCAGGTAAGTGGTAAGAGTAAGCCTGGTGAGATAACCCACTGAAGGGAGACTTATAGCCACGGCTTTTGTCGGTTATAACCATGGTTGTTGCCCAATTACTAAGGACACTGCCCCTTTAAGTATACAACCACTAAAGGGCATACACCTTGGGGGGTAGCTGTTTTGGGGGTAGTGGAAACCATCCTTACTTTGATGGTCGATTCGCCAAGTAACGGTAGGTGGAAAAGGCCACCTGGGGTATAACCTACGAATTATAAGTCGTTAAACTCCACTGAACCGGGACGTATCAGCGGGGTGTAACTTGGGTTACTAGCAACTCATGTTCACTTGGTGAATCGAACACCTAAGTATGGATGATGGATTCGCCAAGTAAACCACTCCTCGAAGGGAAACATGGGGTATACAACCACCATACAAAGAACCAAATTGCATACACCTTAATTTCTCTCGGGGGCAGTTGGTTTGGGAGTAATGGACACCATCGCCAAATCTTGGGAAGTGGAAAAGACCACCCGCGCCGGGGTAGTAGCACCCAGCAAAAACAAGGTCAACTCGACTGAACGGGGCCTGATTAAACCAGCCTAGAGCTTGGGTTACGAACACCCAAGTACAGATCTGAGGCCCCCCGTCCCCCCCATGGTGGGGCGGGAAAAACAGAAACAAGAAGGATTAATCACCCCGTCCAAATCCCAGCAACACCCACCCTTGTTGGGGTCCAAATGGACCTCAGAAACACCCACCCTTTTTGGGGGCTACATCCCAGAAACACCCACCCTTGTTGGGGTCCAAATGGACCTCAGAAACACCCACCCTTTTTGGGGGCTACATCCCAGAAACACCCACCCTTGTTGGGGTCCAAATGGACCTCAGAAACACCCACCCTTTTTGGGGGCTACATCCCAGAAACACCCACCCTTGTTGGGGTCCAAATGGACCTCAGAAACACCCACCCTTTTTGGGGGCTACATCCCAGAAACACCCACCCTTGTTGGGGTCCAATTGGACCTCAGAAACACCCACCCTTTTTGGGGGCTACATCCCAGAAACACCCACCCTTGTTGGGGTCCAAATGGACCTCAGAAACACCCACCCTTTTTGGGGGCTACATCCCAGAAACACCCACCCTTGTTGGGGTCCAAATGACCTCAGAAACACCCACCCTTTTTCCAAATGGACCTCCCAGAAACACCCACCCTTGTTGGGGTCCAAATGGACCTCAGAAACACCCACCCTTTTTGGGGGCTACATCCCAGAAACACCCACCCTTGTTGGGGTCCAAATGGACCTCAGAAACACCCACCCTTTTGGGGGCTACATCCCAGAAACACCCACCTTGTTGGGGGTCCAAATGGACCTCAGAAACACCCACCCTTTTACATCCCAGAAACACCCCACCCTTGTTGGGTCCAAATGGACCTCAGAAACACCCACCCTTTTTGGGGGCTACATCCCAGAAACACCTACTTTTGCATCAAATGACCAGAAACACCCACCCTTTTGGGGGCTACATCCAGAAACACCCACCTTGTTGGGGTCCAAATGGACTCCAGAAACACTCCACCCTTTTGGGGGCAACTCAGAACACCCACTTTTGGCAACACAAAACCATCCACCCTTTTGGGGGCTACATCCCAGAAACACCCACCCTTGTTGGGGTCCAAATGGACCTCAGAAACACTCCACCCTTTTTGGGGGCTACATCCCAGAAACACCCACCCTTGTTGGGGTCCAAATGGAGCTCAGAAACACCCACCCTTTTTGGGGGCTACATCCCAGAAACACCCACCCTTGTTGGGGTCCAAATGGACCTCAGAAACACCCACCCTTTTTGGGGGCTACATCCCAGAAACACACCCTTGTTGGGGTCCAAATGGACCTCAGAAACACCCACCCTTTTTGGGGGCTACATCCCAGAAACACCCACCCTTTTTGGGGTCCAAATCCCTGAAACACCCACCCTTGGGGTCCAAATCCCAGCAACACCCACCCTTTTTGGGGGCCAAATCCCAGCAAACACCCACCCTTTTTGGGGGCTACATCCCAGAAACACCCACCCTTGTTGGGGTCCAAATGGACCTCAGAAACACCCACCCTTTTTGGGGGCTACATCCCAGAAACACCCACCCTTTTTGGGGTCCAAATCCCTGAAACACCAACCCTTGGGGTCCAAATCCCAGCAACACCCACCCTTTTTTTTTTTGGGGGCTACATCCCAGAAACACCCACCTTTTTGGGGTCCAAATCCCAGCAACACCCACCCTTGGGGTCCAAATCCCAGCAACACCCGCCCTTTTTGGAGGCCAAATCCCAGCAACACCCACCCTTGTTGGGGTCCAAATGGACCTCAGAAACACCCACCCTTTTTGGGGGCTACATCCCAGAAACACCCACCCTTTTTGGGGTCCAAATCCCAGCAACAGCAACACCCATCCTAGAAACACCCGCCCTTTTTGGGGTCCAAATCCCTGAAACACCCACCCTTGGGGTCCAAATCCCAGCAACACCCACCCTTTTTGGGGTCCAAATCCCAGCAACACCCACCCTTGTTGGGGTCGCAATGGACCTCAGAAACACCCACCCTTTTTGGGGGCTACATCCCAGAAACACCCACCCTTTTTGGGGTCCAAATCCCTGAAACACCCACCCTTGGGGTCCAAATCCCAGCAACACCCGCCCTTTTTGGAGGCCAAATCCCAGCAACACCCACCCTTGTTGGGGTCCAAATGGACCTCAGAAACACCCACCCTTTTTGGGGGCTACATCCCAGAAACACCCACCCTTGTTGGGGTCCAAATGGAGCTCAGAAACACCCACCCTTTTTGGGGGCTACATCCCAGAACCACCCACCCTTGTTGGGGTCCAAATGGACCTCAGAAACACCCACCCTTTTTGGGGGCTACATCCCAGAAACACACCCTTGTTGGGGTCCAAATGGACCTCAGAAACACCCACCCTTTTTGGGGGCTACATCCCAGAAACACCCACCCTTGTTGGGGTCCAAATGGACCTCAGAAACACCCACCCTTTTTGGGGGCTACATCCCAGAAACACCCACCCTTTTTGGGGTCCAAATCCCTGAAACACCCACCCTTGGGGTCCAAATCCCAGCAACACCCACCCTTTTTGGGGGCCAAATCCCAGCAAACACCCACCCTTTTTGGGGGCTACATCCCAGAAACACCCACCCTTGTTGGGGTCCAAATGGACCTCAGAAACACCCACCCTTTTTGGGGGCTACATCCCAGAAACACCCACCCTTTTTGGGGTCCAAATCCCTGAAACACCAACCCTTGGGGTCCAAATCCCAGCAACACCCACCCTTTTTTTTTTTGGGGCTACATCCCAGAAACACCCACCTTTTTGGGGTCCAAATCCCAGCAACACCCACCCTTGGGGTCCAAATCCCAGCAACACCCGCCCTTTTTGGAGGCCAAATCCCAGCAACACCCACCCTTGTTGGGGTCCAAATGGACCTCAGAAACACCCACCCTTTTTGGGGGCTACATCCCAGAAACACCCACCCTTTTTGGGGTCCAAATCCCAGCAACACCCACCCTTGAGGTCCAAATCCCAGCAACACCCGCCCTTTTTGGAGGCCAAATCCCAGCAACACCCATCCTAGAAACACCCGCCCTTTTTGGGGTCCAAATCCCTGAAACACCCACCCTTGGGGTCCAAATCCCAGCAACACCCACCCTTTTTGGGGTCCAAATCCCAGCAACACCCACCCTTGTTGGGGTCGCAATGGACCTCAGAAACACCCACCCTTTTTGGGGGCTACATCCCAGAAACACCCACCCTTTTTGGGGTCCAAATCCCTGAAACACCCACCCTTGGGGTCCAAATCCCAGCAACACCCGCCCTTTTTGGAGGCCAAATCCCAGCAACACCCACCCTTGTTGGGGTCCAAATGGACCTCAGAAACACCCACCCTTTTTGGGGGCTACATCCCAGAAACACCCACCCTTTTTGGGGTCCAAATCCCTGAAACACCCACCCTTGAAATCCAAATCCCAGCAACACCACCCTTTTTGGGGTCCAAATCCCAGCAACACCCACCCTTGTTGGGGTCCAAATGGACCTCAGAAACACCCACCCTTTTTGGGGGCTACATCCCAGAAACACCCACCCTTTTTGGGGTCCAAATCCCTGAAACACCCACCCTTGGGGTCCAAATCCCAGCAACACCCGCCCTTTTTGGAGGCCAAATCCCAGCAACACCCACCCTTGTTGGGGTCCAAATGGACCTCAGAAACACCCACCCTTTTTGGGGGCTACATCCCAGAAACACCCGCCCTTTTTGGGGTCCAAATCCCTGAAACACCCACCCTTTTTGGGGTCTACATTCCAGAAGCACCCGCCCTTTTCGGGGTCCAAATCCCTGAAACACCCGCCCTTTTTGGGGTCCAAATCCCTGAAACACCCACCCTTGGGGTCCAAATCCCGATTTTCACGCATAGAACAAGTTCCTGACAGGACCCCCCCGATCGCAACCAGGCTGCTCTTGGAGTCGCGCGATCTCAGCCGCGGCCTGCCCTGCGTGAACGAAAAGAAGGCAACTAAACCACCGGACGTCTTCTCCAGTGCTCGCCGTTCAGTGATCAAGATCGGGAACCCAAAGCCAGCAAAGACAGGGTAGAACTCTTCAGACACAAAGAGTACCCCATGTTCCCGTGAAGGCAATAGTTCCGATGCGGAGATAAGTAACATAATCTTTGCTGAAGAATCTCATGCTCAAACAATCCCGAATCAAAGGGGCGCAGGGTGCTTAGTACTTAGCAACGGGTAAGAACCATAGTTATAACCCACTTACCACGGTTATAGGTCTCCTCAGCGGGTCATAACCAGGCTTACTAACCACTTACTAAGTATCCTGCTTCTTTAAGACGCACTCAGGTTCCCAACTCAACGACAGTATCCGCCCTGCACCAGCCCAAGTTTGCAAAAAGGTATCCTAAGGGACGGCACCCTCTGACGCGGTTGGGTTCCTGATGGTTTCTCTTTCAACTTGGCGAAAAAGGGCTTGTTCTGTTCAGACTCGCCAAGCGAATAGCGGTTCCTTTTTGGGTTCACTGTGATAGACGCGTTCAAAGATAAGATAGCTTTACGCAGGACAAAGTAGAATAAGCTGCCTGGATCGAACATGGCCAATTTTGCTTTTGCTGGATTGGTTGTCCAGGCACTGCCGGGACAAAGCCTGGGAGAGCTTGCTTTGACTCTCACATCTAGATTCATGGAGCTGGCATAATCCCTTCTGCGCATGTCTTTGATTTCGCCAAGAGTTGTAGATCGCTGATGGCTGCAAAAGTGCTGTTGCTCCAAATGAGTCGCGGGATCTCAACCCCTTGCACCAGTGATTTTGGCGCCAACCACAGCTATCTCTGAACATGTGCGCAACCAAAACGCATTTAGTCTAGGAAACCGCCGAATTGGATTAACCGGAGCTTCCACGTGCAATCAGATTTACCAAAGGCGGGCCAGGGAGGGGTGGGGGGAAAGCTCTTGTTGGATGGTGTCTTTTCGGGCGACCCACATACTGTGGAGGGACGAAATCCATTTCGCACAACCTCAGACACCATGGATTGATTCGATTCCCCAACGTGAATACCAAGAAACGTTATGGTTTCACCCATGGTGTCACTTCGTGGTGCGAAATGAATTTCGCAACCATCCACAGTATCCGAACAACAACTCCCCTGTACATACCAACAAACAATGGTTTCCCATGCTTCTTAGGTGGCGCGATTCATGGATTTCGTCCATCCCCAGTCTCATGGGTTGCGAGTTCCGAGGAAAAAAGAAGAAGCAAAAATCACCCCGCCTGAGGCAGCTTCAGCAACTTCCCGAGCAGCCCTTTCCAGCTCCAGCTCCCTCTTCACGCTGGCGATCTCATCATTCCTGGGTCCAAGGACATATTCCGCCTGGCCTCTGCATTTTTTCATTTTTCTGTTCAAAAACCTTTTGTGGGTTCAATAGAATCCCCTTGATTGCGCAGAAAGTTAAAGTCTAAAGATCCAACCGAATAGCAATCAAACCATGGGCAGCTGTAGTTCACCAACCTGAACTAACTTGCTGGTTTGATAGGCAGGGAATGAGTTGGACTGACCCCTATAAACCATCCCCTATGGATTAAGGGAATCCCTAGGTTCACTCTCAACACCTCGTAAGGCCAGGAGCTCATGGAGCTCGAATTGAGTCCCCTTCCTCAGAGAATGCAAACAAAGTTCAATCTATGTTTGGCAGTTTCATTGCTGATGTTGCGGAGACTTTCCTGGATCTTGCTTCTGAGAAAACAACCTCACTTCCTGAGCCATAATACCAACATTGTCGTTTTACAGACTTAAGCCACAAACTCCCTTTGGTTTGAAGGGAAAGGAAGACATATGCCTTCGAGCCCCCTATTTTGACGCATGTGTCCTTTTGATCTCCCTACTGTCTACCAAACATTTTCCTACCAAAAATCACAGAGCCACGGGGGTCACTGGACACCTCATCCCTCCGAGACTCTTCTCCCGGACGCCCGTCACCTCCTCCAGCTCCTCTTGGCCTGGGCCCGTCCCGGCGCGGAAAGCCGCCAGCACCTGCCAGGCGGGGCGAGAGCCGTTGGTTTTCCTTGGACTTTGGTGCCTGGAGTCTCCTTCTGACCCTTAAAAAATGGGTCAATGACCCCAAAAGTCTGGGAAATGACCCCATTTTTTAAAGGGTCATGGAGACTCCAGGTGCTTCTTTTTTGGGGTGAGTGGACTCGGGTGCAATTTAAGGAATGTTTTCCTTCAGTGGACTTTGGTACTTTTACTTCTAGGGGTTGATTCCTTATCCATTCTGTTCAACCATCTTTCCAAAAACTGGACCCTTTTTTCTGGGTTTCAAAGGAGGTTTTTCTAAGAAGGATCCCGGGAAAGAATGGAAATGAAAGGTACCCCTAGACTACTTCTTTTTGGGGGTGAGTGGACTTGGGTGCAAATTTTGGGGAATCCACCGACTCCAAATTGCCAAGGGTGTGGACTGAGTTGGGCAAAGTGGGCTGCCGACTTTGTTGCTTTGAGGGAACCGCCTTCAAAAGGACTTCGTGCCAGTTCTCGATAACCAGACTGGAAAGCGTTTCATCAGATCTTGAGGGTCCAAGGCTTAACCAGTTCGTATCAAGGGGCTCATTTGGCGCCGGGGGGGGGGGGGGGTGAGACCCGGGGGAGGGGGGGCACCAGTGAAGTAGCCACACAGGGGGAACGCATCATACGCGATCGTCGTTGGGATGGGGGTGTTGCAGCTTTTTTCCACGGCGCCTCCTCCTCGTAGAGCCGCGTCAAGACCCCAGCGGCATCCAAACCCTCGAGGCGAGGCGTGTTGGAAGCGGTGGACCTGCGCGAGTCGACCTCCAAATTGTTGGACCTCTAGTTGGCGTCTCCTTCTGACCCTTAAAAAGCGTGGAACTCGAAGGGACACACCCCAAAATAGGGGGGGGGGGGGGAAAAAGGCGGTTGAAGGGTCAATGACCCCAACATCTTGGGTCTTGATCCAACTTCTCAAGGGTCAGAAGGAAACTCCAGGCAGTTGCTTTTGACGAACTCGAAGGGAAACACCCCCCAAAATGGGAGGGAGGGGGAGGGGGTTGAAGGGAAAAGGATGCCCATTGTGGATTCTCATGGGGTAGCCTTCCCGCACCCGGGGTTCTGGCTGCCTTGAATCTTGGCCCAGCTGTTGGGCACTTGGCTATATCCTTACACCCCTCCCACAAACCTACTGAGTCCCTTTGGTTAAAGTGGTTGCATTTTCCGGGGACTCCAAAATACATTCGGTTCCTTGCCATTCTTCAATCCATCAAATGGTCATTCTGAGGTCACCTTAATGGATGCAGCATGCCATTGCTCCTCCTACTGGACTATGACATCCCCACCCGAACGGCCCCACATGCGGGGTCCTTCATTGGACGCATGCCTCCCTTTGTGCACTTCTATGTTCCTTGGGACGGAAACTTCTTTACCACAACCAAACCGGGAGCCCTTGATCACGAGTGGGGGGGGTGTTCAATCAGGGGTCAACATTAGTCACTCCTGATTCGTACGGTGCTCCGGATTTATTGGATGAAATCTTTCCCGGGGTGCCATTGAGTGGAACTCACTTCGCCACTGCCAAAACAAGGTCGATAGTCCAGGAACTCGACCCTTCCTGAAGGCACGCAAGAGGTGGAGGTCCATTTATTCATGGGCAACACCAGCACAGCAACTCCAAAAAACCATCTCCCCACAAGGAAACTCACTTTGAACTGGCAACCTGAAAAATATACGGGGAGTGCCTATACGGCTTTGATACCCTAAACAAATAGGGATCAACATGTTCTTTGAAGGGACACCCGATAAAAATATAGGCAACCCAGGCTTCACTTATATACTTGGCTTGGATGGGGGGTTGACTGTTTGAAATTCCCGTGCGATGGCGCGACCCTTGACTCTCCCACAGACGAACACACCTCCAAAACAGGCAGGCGCCCTAAATAGAGATTGCTCTAAACTGTGCTGTCAACCGATCCCCTGCTAAAACTTCAATGTTTCGTGGGTGAAATATGGACACCACACCAACGAAAACCTCAAGACCTAAGGTGATGGCTGGGAACCAGCAAGTAAACTTGGCGGCCTTTGGAGTTCCATGTTGACCTGGGAGGGATGGTTTTTGGGTTCTGCCAGGGAGCTTAGAACAATTCGGTACCATTTACTTGTTCTGCCCTCTAAGCAAATATCCGTTTATTTTAAAGGTATGGCAAAATATCCGGGTTTTTCCAGGAAATACCGGGTTTTTACTTTTTTGCGTTGTAATCAGAATGGTCTTGCGTGAGTTATGATTGTGGTTCCCTCAATATAATCCTTTTGTTGGCTCTCTTACATCCAGTCAATCGCTCCACGGCCGCCTAGCGATCCCATCCAAGCAAGCTCATTGAGCATGGCACCTGTTGCAAGTCACCTGCTGAACTCGAAACAATGGTCAATCCACAATTTGTTGGGAAGGCTTCCCAGATCGTGGCTCGGGAAGTTTAAAACAGCATTGGAATATGAACTTTCTGACAAGGGCAACAAGTAGTCCCAGTTTACCGCAAGCGGTAGCTGCACGTGTATACATATTTTGTATGGCACTGAGCAATCTGCTTGGGACTGTTTGCGTAAAGCTCGCGTCGGATACATCTGGAGGGCCGTCTTGCAAATGCTCACTGTTTGACAACCAAGTCCCGTGCTAGAGCATTGATCCCGGAACTTCTCGCAGGCTTGTCTAAAACGTCGCAGGAACATCATTTTTGGAGCGAGCCAAAAGAACCTAACCCACTTTGAACACTGGACAGCAGGTAGTAAAATGAACACATGAATGACTGCTTTTCGCAGGGTCACCTTGCAAGCTTATTTCGGGCAGCTCGGGCCTGGAAAGCTGCTTGAGCAGAGGCTGAAAATCCCATAAATTGCGTACGGGTTTGTACGGTATTTTTATGGGATTTGTACGGTTTTTGTACGGGTTAGGAAAACCTGGTTTTCGGGCAAATATGGGTTTGTATGGGATTTTTATGGGATTCGTATGGGATTTTTATGGGTTGCCTTTTTTTTCGCACGCGCTCGGCCTTCCAGAAGCTTTCCAGCAAAGAAAAGCGGGCACACAGCTAGATTGCGCGAGCAGCGAACTGGTTTTGTATGACATTGCGGTAGAACGTCCGAAGGTTTTCGGGCACAAGCACGTACTACGCAACATGTTTGGCTTGGACTGTGCTTCCCATCGAATCAAAGTTAGGTGCTGGAAGAAAGTGCGACTTAGGCGGAGGCCAGCTTTGTTGGCATTTGGCTTGTGCGCCGAGCCGAGTAAAGAATGCAAGTGTCACTTTGGGATACTGCCTGATGTTTTAAAAATACAAAAAAGTACCAAGATGAGCATGATGTGTCAATCACGCAGAGCTACTGATGGTCATGTAGTGAGCTGCACACTTGTACATTCAAGTTGGTTGTCCCGCTGCATTGTTGAGTTTTGGTTGACCACGCCCTCGCGTCTACCCCTGCCTTTTGAGCTCCAATCTTGAGGAGCAGGGGGCTATCGCGCACTTGGCGGTACAAAAGGAAACCACAAGAGATTCCCAAAAAACATCTAGAAACCCAATATACAATTTGGCAGTGAAAGAATCCTGGCGGCTCCTTTCAACACCTGCTCGAGATCCGGCACCTTTGCTCTGTTCTTCAAACATCCGACATTTCGCTTGCGAAAAGTGCCAAAATAAAGGATGTAAGTGAAATACCAGGTTTTTCCCTGGAAAACCTTTATTTTTCCAAAACTTGCCCAAAAACCAGGTTTTCCCATTTGACCCTTTAAAATTGAAGGTTTTTCGCTTAGAGGGTGTAGTCTATTTTAAAATTTTAGTAGGGGAACCCTCCCCCCCAAAAAAAAGAAACGGTAAAACAGGGTACCCACTTTTTGCTGTGGTCTATTTTACTAGGGGAACCCTCCCCCCAAAAAAGTTGGGAGAGAAAGGGCAGCAATTGCTGGGACCACTCCGCCGCCGTCTCCGGAACCCGCTCCCTCACCACCGCCCGCCTGGTCGGAGCGCTGGAGCTGGGCGAGGCGCAAGTCTTGCGGAGCCCGAAGAGAGCTCCCGCGCGCGCCTCCAGCTCGGCAGCCTCCGCCTGCAGGAAATGGCGGTGGTTGTCCAAAAAAAGCGGATCCCGTTTTGGTTGGTACCATGGGTCAATGACCAACCATTGTTTTGGGTAGTGACCAACCATTTTTCAAGGGTCATGGAGACTCCAAATACAGGTCCGTATATGGCTGTGGTTGTCAAAACCGTTTTGGGATCCCATTTTGGTTGGTAGGTGAATTCACCACCATTCTAGAACCTATTTTAGTGGGGGATTGGGATGTTCACTGGGGGTACGGGATTTTGACCCATGGCCAAATAAGCACCGCTCCCATAGACAAGTTGAAACTGCCTGGATCGCCAGTTGCAGCTTTTGGTCCGTGAACTTTACCCCAAAAACCAGCAACAGTGACAGAAAAAAGCAGCAACTTGGCTATCTAGGTGGGTGTTTGTTGAAACTGAGTATTATTTGCTCTTCTTCTTATTCTTCTTGATTTGGTTAGGGTCTTTTGGGTTGTTGAAACTCCGTACTTATTGTTATTGCGCTTCATCCTCATTCCTCACTTGGCCAGTGCCCAAGCCAAAAGAAAGGACTACACTTTGTGGGTCACCACTAAACTAAAGGATCAACCAAGAAAAAAACTGTCTTCGTTGAGAGGTTCCTCACTTGATTGAACAACATGGCGCCCCTCCCATCTGGAGGGTGACATTCGAGGCACGCAGGATTCCCGCATGGCGTTTTTTTTCCCGGCTCCAAGTACCTTCCAAGGAAGTAGACCCCTTTTTACCCGCCCAGCCATCCTCCTGAGGTACCAAGGGGCCCGTCTGGGTTTTGATGGGCCAACAATAAGATGCGCCAGGAACCTGCGGAACCTGCGCCAAAACGCGGTGGGCAGACTGAAGGGTTCAGATCAAAGCACCGAGGGTTGAAAGGCTGTCGCTGTCGAACGCGGCTCGGGAATATGGGATCCAGGGAGGAGTGGGATATCATGAACGATTCCTGGCTCGATGTGGCAATACGGGTCCTTGTGTTTCTGAAGGTACCCCTGTTTTGTGGTGTTAAAGAGAAACCAAGAGGAAAACCACCATGTTGGGGTTGCCCCCCCTCCACACGTGGTTCAAAGCTATTGAGAGACGGGGATAAATTTTGATGCTAGAGAACCGGCAAGCTGGGATCCAGAGTTCTCACGGCGCATGTGGAGAGCTCAAGCCCACAGGCCCATCTGCATTTCTTTGCACGGACACTTTGTTCGAGCGTGGACAAGGCATAGAAAGGATCACCCTGATATCAGCAATCGGCGAGGGAATGTGTTTTTTCTATCTAACTCATGGAGGGCTCAGTCAATCTAGCCAACAGGGCCCTGTCTATAGCCAGACCGTGCTGAACCATGGCCCTGCAAGCCTCCTGCCCCCCTTTCCATAAGGAATAGAGGGCGGCGTACAAAGCAACTGCCTTCAGCATGGGCAACGTGGCCTCGATTCCCTCAAAGTACCCTTGAAACAGAGGCGTGAAGATGTGAGCGAAGTGGAGATCATCGAGCGCAGTAAGGTGCCACAGCTGTGCCAAATCATAGAGGGGGTCACCACAAATACCATCTGCAAAGTCAATGATGCCTGCGTACTCCAAATTGCGCACGTCAGCGTTTCCGCTCAAATCCACATGGGCGCGCACGCGGCAGTTCGCGCCGTCGAGGTCGCAGTGCACAAAAGATGGCGTGACCTGAGCAGTGTGTTCCTGCGCCTGCCTGCGAAGCTCATAAAGCAGGAGTTTCTCTTCCTCCATCTCTGGCGTGCAATTGTCCTCGATTTCTCGATCAAGGAAGTCGTGCCAGGACGCGGCGTAGGATGATGTCAAGAAGGGGTCCGGCGGATCAGTTTGCATATATCCAAAGCCGCTCGCCTTGAGGTTCTCATGCATGCGCCGAAGGTCCGCCCCCACCAGCCAGGCCGTCCTCCAGCGATTCCGTGCCCCTGGCCCGCTGGCGTGGTCGCACATGAAGGCAAAGAGGGCGTCATGTGTGCCAAGATAAGTTTCAAAGAGAAAGGATCCCGCTGGATCTTCGTACAAGAGACGTGGGGCAGCCACGCCCGCGGCGGCCAAACGCCGCAACACCTCGGCCTGGTAGGAGATCCTGTGCATTCGGTGCGGTTGATCCTCGAGCTTCTTCTTCGGGCATCGCCAGACCACGGTGGTGTTCTGCAGATCTGCCGAGTCTCCAGAAACATCCTTGGCGGCAAGCAAAGTGACGGCAAAGACGAGGTTATCGCACCCCTTGGACATATCCTTGATGTCAAGGATGGCGCTTTCATCGCGAACGTGAGGGAAGGCGGCCATCGTGGCAGAGACAATCGACCTCATCTCTGGCCTCTCCGAGTCGGATTGAGAGGTCGCCATTGGACCTCTTAGGTCTTTTGAAAAAGAGGACTCGAACAACTCGGCTGCGGCTGTCCGACGAGCGACTGCATGCCATCACGCGAACACAGGGATGAAAACAGGCCAATGAGGCAACGACCCTGTACTTGCCGAAAAGGACCTCCAAGTGAAAGGTTTTCCTTTTGGGCGCTTTCTTGCAATCGGCAAAACCTGAAAAATCCCAAGGGTAAAGGGTCGGGTGTGAGCCAAGTGAGAGACACAGAAGGACACGCTGAAGAAGTCGGCTGCAATGGGCCTGCAACTGTCCAAGGCAGAAACGTCTCAAGGGTAGAAATTCCCCCTACTCCAAATACCCGCTGTTTTGTGGGTATCATCCCAGCCATGGAAAAACAGGGTTACTTGAAAAACCACGGTATTTGGAGTGGGGGGAAAGGCCCCGGCAAAGGCCAAGCACATGAAACCAAATGAACGTTTGCATCTTTAAGGCCCTGGTTTCATCATCTCTTAGATCTTAGATGAAAGAAAGAGTTGCTCACAGGTCAGGAACCAAGCCAGGAACATCCACCCCAATGATGCGCAAGCTTTTCAATACCGAGCTTGCTGGCACCTCGCTCTGATCCTGGCTATTCTGAAATTACGAATGCCAGTCTGGAAGTAGTAAAACCCCACCCAATTCGATCGCGCTAAACAGCCTTTCTTTGGTAGGCGGCTACCTCCTCCAAACGAACCTGAGCCCCCAAACGGCCTCCCCTTTTGTCTGCCTGTTCACCACTTCGCCACTTGAACAAATAATTCATTCCCACTTCTTCATGGCTCATTTCGGCCGCCAAACAAAAAAAACAAACACACGCAAATCGCCTGATATCCAGAACAAAAACACAAACACCGCCTCGGATCCGTTGGAGTTCCAAGAAAAACACCGCCGCTCACATCGCGCATCCTCGAGGACCCGCTTCGAGGCACGGACGGTCCGATTCGAATCCCAGGCCTCGGACTCCGCCGCGGCCACGGCGGCCGCCGCCGCGGTGAACTTCCGGGAGCTGGGCCGCGCGCGAGACGAAAATCGGCCGCTGGTTGGGCGGTTTCCCATTTGCCCTACAAGAACCCCAGAGTTCAAATCTCCAAGAGCCAAGCACCAATTAAGTCTAGGTTCTTGAGTAGAGGCTTGTTAGAACAAGGGTACCAACTCTTTTCTGTAGTCTATTTTAGTAGGGGAACCCTCCCAAAAAAGGCTGGGGACCCAGCTGGAAGTTGCGTTTTGTGCCACAACCGCCAAATTTTGCGGAAGCCTAAGTTCCTTTGCCCAGGGTTCAAACGAAACAAATGGGGTTCAAAAGAAAGCACCTTCAAATTTTCATGATTGAAGAACACCCTGAAAGTGCATGTCAATCTGTACGTACTGAAACTTAGCAACCGCTCGAAGGGATCCGCACACCATCTTTGTCTGTGTGCGTGCCCCTCTGTGTCTCTGAGACTTCCTCCGTGCTTTTTTGCTGGCGTTGTTGGGCAAATGTAGACTTCAACCTCCTGCAAGCATTCCTGAAAGGCCATGTTAGGAAAGCCTGGCAAAGGGCTGGAAGGAGGGAGGCCTGCAAAGGGGTGGGGGTCCAATGCACACAAATAGCTGCACACCCGCCCACAGGCCTGATCTGGAAGAAACTTTGGTAAGGATGCAGGGTTTACCTTGCCAGCTTTGCCTTGGGGCAGCTATGCGAATTCATCTGCTAAGCACTCAGGTACGACTGGATGTCCCCTTCAAAAGTTGCAATCCACTGGTCTCTCTTGGAACGATCGCCACTTTTGGAGGCAACCCAAAACTCAAATGGCTCGGACACCCGGGCTGTGGCTCTGAATGTACCCCTACAGCTGCCCACCTGGCCTCACCCGCGGTTGCGACCGGTCTGCGCCTGTCAACAGGCGCGTCCAAGCCCCCCAAGCCCCTGCGAGCGCTGCCTGCACATGGGGCAGTTGCCCCAAGCACCCGGAAACACAAGGTCCATCTTCCGGGCCCATGTCCCAAAAGGGGGAAACCAAACAACTCCATCAGGCAGAAAAAAACAAACAAAGCCCCCCCCTACCCTGGTAGGCTAGTGGCTTTTGCAGCTGCAGCTGAGTCTCTACCCTCTATGATAGCACGGTCGTGTGTTGGTTGTTATGTCATTAACGAAAGGGTAGCTGGCAACCTTGCAACTCTTGCAACTAACCAAGATATGGCCAACCTGAGCATGCAACATTCCAAAGAAACTTTGAGACACACAGACTGGAGCAAGCATGATCTCGAATTGGTTTCAAGGTGCCAGAGAAGAGGTAAGAAAAAGTAAAACTAATAAATTCGGATCACATGTTGGCAAGATGCAGAACTAGACTTGGATGTGTCTTCTGATTAAACGAGCCACGGGAGACAGACGCAGAGCATATTTGGTAGGGCCCAGCCCCGGACCTGACAGCAAAAAACAGCTGGGCTTCCATTGTACCTTGGTTTTGGGGTCATAGGGGACCCCCGCAGTGGCGGATTTCCTTTTGGTTTCCCTCTGAATACCAGCTAAAAGGGGGTCGACCAGTTTGCAAAACTCACCATAGGTCTCTTTACTCATCACCTCCAAACGCAATTAAGATGGGCCTGACAAGTGATATCGATGTTCAAGCCAAGTAGGTCTACCTACCGCAATGATCAAAGAAGAGATCATGTTGGATCTCATTGACCAAACCCAGAATGGGTACCAACTCCAACAAAGACGCGTTTTTGTTAAGCCACAGTTGCCAACAGTCATTTTGTTAGTTGCTCATACTCAGTTGCCAAAAGGACCTGGGACTAAAAGTTTAACCTTTTGGGGCAATGACTAAATATGGACCAAAACAGGAAAACCAAAAGGTCAAAAGGTTGGCTTTGGGCAACTGAGCATAGTATCAGTATGTTGGGCCAAAGTGATCCGACCCCTCTGCAAAAAATCAGGAGTTCATTTTGCTTTGGACAGGATGCCCAGTGACTCTGGTAACACGGAACCTGTCTTGCGGTGAGTCAACCATCTTCGTGGGGAACCCACTAAACCAAAACGGAGTCCGAGGCTGCCGCAGAAAATAGACTGGGTCTGATGGCAGGCTTCCTTAAAACGGAACCTGTGTGGCTGTCCAACATCCTGATTCTTTCCACAACCTGCCCGCTGAACCAAATGAGTATAGGCTGACTTCAGTAGATTGCCCCAAGGTCCGAGCTGTTTGCTTGATCTTCCTAAGTGCAAATCTCGGCTCCCAGCACAAAGACAATGCATGTTTCTCGAGATTCTGATCATTTGGGTTCAGCATCTTGACATGTCAACATTCGGGATCTTGTCATCTTAATTGGGGGGCCCTGTCATCTTGATTGCCTGGATCGCCAGTTGCGGCCTTCTTTTTCCAAAAACTTCCCCCCCAAAACCGATCGCAACAGCGACTGAAAAAAGCGACCGCAACTTGGCTTTCCAGGTGAGGGACCCGGTCATCCAACTTGGGCTCGGTTGCGAAATCTGCTCCCCTGCTAAAGGTGACTAACTTTTAATAATTTAATACGGAAAACCAATTCATTCGTTGGCAACAAGTTATTCAGTCCTCACATCCCTTGGCAAAATGCACCAAAGTTTAGTACTTGACCCAAAGAATGCGCAAACCAGTGCACCAACTTCTTGCGCCAAGGCTGCGGGAAACGGACACGGACACGGACACGGATGGTACCACCGCTTCCTGAGCCGCCCCGCGGTCTCCCCGCAGCGCGAGCTCGGACGGGCAGACCTTTGCGCGGGTCGGCCGTCGGCCGAAAGGACTCAAATGGAAAAGCCCAGTGGGACCTTTGCCCCGAAAAAATTGGACCAACAGGGGGACTAGGTCCTCCACTAGAGAGGTTAGAATAAGGGTGCCGTTTCTTTTTTCTGTGGTCTATTTGAGTTGGGGAACCCTCCCCCCACAAAAGTTACGGTACAAGGGCACGATCCTGGGGGACTAGGGGAAACCAAAAGGTAAGAAGGTGGTTGGCTTTGGACAATTGAGCAAATGGGGAAGCCCTTTGAAAAGACCAAAAGGGCTTTAATTTCTGGGTGGACCCTAAGGTTGGCTTCCTTTTGGTTTTACTAAATACACCAACCCAAAGGAGGCCCATTTTCAGAAGCTCCAGGAAACCTTCTACTTTTCCGCAAGCACACTGCAAGCTGGCGCTGAGGAAACCAAAATGTAAAATTCATTACAAGAGGAGGATCTAGGGAACCCTGTTTCTAGCGGGGGGGGGGGGGGGAAATCCGGGTGGGTCGAATTGGCCGTCAAGGCTACCCATCTTGGGCAAAACCACCGGAAACGCCCGTTTTGGGGGTGCAAAGCCCCTCCCATATTTGGAATCACATTCCCATGTGGGGTCCTCCAGATTTGAGAGGATAGAATAAGGGTACCACCTTTTCGTCTAATTTAGTAGGGGAACCCTCCCAACCAAAAAAGAACGGGGTGAGAAAGGGCACTGGGCCCTTAGGGTAAAGCAACCCTCCCGGATTGAAGTCTTTACCATCATGTTGGGCAACGATGTCTGCGATACTCCCTGGCCCGACCCAGGCTAGTAAGCCATTTGCTGAAGTCCGGAGATTTCCCTCCCAAAAACCAACAGGGCCACAGCTGGACACCGAAAAACTCAGTTGCCCAAAGGACCTGGGACTAAAAGGTTAACCTTTTGGGGCAATGACTAAATATGGACCAACACAGGACAACCAAAAGGTCAAAAGGTTGGCTTTGGGCAACTGAGAAAAGGATGAAAGGGCACTACTGGGAGACCTAGACATGGAGCCCGGCTTTCAGAAAAATGCGGAAAGTCCGCCTGGCATCACATGTCGCGAACCCCGCCGCTGGGGATCGGACTCGTTTCCCTCGAGTTGCTTCAAGAACCAAGCTACAGGAACCCACGGAGCGAGCCCGGCGCTTGTGCTGAACCACACCATGCCCACAAAAATCAGCGCACTAATATATGGGTTGCTCAAAAGGTCCCATACATATACATGGGATGACCATTTGTGTTGGCAAACCACTCAAAAGATTTGATATCTCCGTGGGAAACGTTAGCCATGGTCATTTGGGGGGCCGAACAGAAATTTGGCCAACCCCCATATGCCGTTGCCGCTCTGGACACGGCGAACGCTGGTTCCTTAGGGGCCCCTTTCTGTGCCCCTTGTCATTTTTTCGTCCGGAAAGGGACCCCATGGGCAACCCCAAGTGGAAACTCACGCAGCAGACAGCCGGAAAAAAAAAATGCCACGGCCAGACCTCATTCAGCCTTACAAACGCTTTGTCTAAATTTCGCTTTGAATATTCCAAGTAAGGTCTTTCGACATGCCTAAACCTCCCAATCTGAGAGATAAATTCCACTGCCGAACAAACACCCGCGCAGGGGGAAATGCCCAATCCAACCACTGAAATGGGTTCTCAAATGGGTGGTCCAACGACTAAAATGGGTGGTGCATTCACCTACCAACCAACATGGGCTCCCATTGGTGTTGACCCACAGCCGTAATAAATCCATTGATACTGTGAATGGACAAAATCCTGCGCCAGCTGAGAAACCCTGGAGTGATTCGATTCCCCTGTCAATATGGGTGTAAACATCCCAATCCAACCACTAAAATAGGTTCAACTAGGTTCCAAATTGGGTGGTGAGTTCAGCTACCAACCAACAAACGGTTTCCCGAAACGGTTTTGACCAACCGCCTGAGGCGGGCACTGCCACAATCAAGCTGGGCAGCTCCCGGACCGGCGCTGGCAGCTCCAGCTGAAGCTCCTAGCTCACATCTGTGACTCGGTAGGCGGAGAAAAACCCGTGAAACCTCGAAGTCGAAGATAGCCACAAAGGTGATGATTTTACACCCAATAAACCGGGGAAGTAGAGGGACCCCATAGGAACCCCCTTTGGGATTCCAGAGCAAAAGAATGAAAACATGCATGTTGCATCTAGACTTGGGCATCTAAAGCGTTTCCCGGCAAAGAGCTCTCTCACCGGGCTGCAAGGACCTGTATTCAAACCATCGCCCAAATCGGCGAAGAAAGCTTTACGTAGGCCTCTGAAATGGTCCAAATCCGAAAAAGTAATCATAGGCCACTGTTAGAAGCCAATCCACGGCCAAAAAGTAATCCACGTCTTCTCTTGGAGGAACCCACTAGAAGCCACGGGAGAAGGCGAGTCCATAAGTTTGAAAACATAAGTCTTTGTTGAGTGCGTCTCAAAAAAGTTGAATGGGTCTACCAGGACCGGTTTCGTTGTGGCTTCCCGGTACATAAATTTGACAGCTGTACATATCAACAATCATGTGTTGCTTTTTTTTTAAAAAAAAAAATAGGATTTCAAAAAAGACAGGTGTCCGCCATTGGAGAACCCCCATCGGAACACGACACCTTGGGCTCGCTCCCGCTCCCTTCGACTGCTCCTTCACACCTGCAGGATGTAGTGCCGTGGCCAACGGATCGCTGCTTGGCCAGTGGCTGTAGACGCGCACCTCAGCGGAGCATGGTTCGAAGGTGATGTACACTTTACATACGCACACACACCCACACACCCTCACACGTAAGCTATGTATGTATGTATGTATGTATGTATGTATGTATGTATGTATGTATGTATGTATGTATGTATGTATGTATGTATGTATGTATGTATGTATGTATGTATGTATGTATGTATGTATGTATGTATGTATGTATGTGTGTATGTATGTATGTACATGTGTATAAAACTATGTATATATTGTATATATATATATATATATATATTAACACATCTTTGAGAGGCACTTGCTCTACGCACTGGCCACGTGCTTGCGCCCAAACGCGCGTACGAGTCCCTTCCTCGCTGGCCCTTCGCTGAGCACCAGGACATCCGTCCCCGCCTCCGGGCCCCTTCCACCAGATTCATATGGGTGTGGCTCAAAAATAGGAATCGGTCCAAAATGGCTTGCCCCGGTAAATGGCAAGACCCCAGCTGGTGAATTGTGAGCCACCCCCATATCCTCATAAATCATGAAGGGCTTCGCAGAGTTGCGGAAACGTTTTTTTGTGTGTCAACTTTTTGGGGCCATACAAAAGGATCAGTAAAGGAGAAACTAAGAGGCAGAAAGCTCGATTCACCCTGCCCAGTGAGTCCTTTTTTTGGGGGGGATCTAGGGGAGGGGTTGGGGGAAGAGGGACGAGCGGCAAGGATACAAGTTGATCAGTCGCCTCGTTTTCACTTCCCAGGCTCAGTTCCTGCTTTTTTTGGACACACAAGGCATGGCATAGTTTCTTATACCCTCTTTGGCTTACATGGCCTTGCCAGTTTCTGGCTGACCTTGCCTCTGCCAAACTTCAGTTCCTGCTTTTCATGGCAAACAACGCAATGGTCTGAGGTTCGCCCGGTCTCAACATGTTGAACAACGCCTTGTTCAAGCAGGGCTATTCAAGCCAAGGCCTGGACATCCAAATGGCTGTGGGTCAAAACCAAAGGTACCCCTGGTAAACATCAAAATAGGTGGCAAATGGATGCTCATCCATCCCAAAATGGAGCCATAGGTTATGACCCATGGCCAAATATAAATCCATTACTTGTGGCTTCATTTCCTGAAATGGTTCATGACCATCTCGACCAACCGCAAAGGGTATTTTTTTGACATTTTGACCCCGGCACAGTTGGGTGGTTCTTTATTGTGGGCAAAAAAAGATGAGCCTTCGAATATGGCCAAAATCAAGGGGCACTGGAGACTCCAGGAGACTCTATATAAACATGTATACTATACAACTGAAACGCACGCAGGCCGTTTCCGCCTTGGCTTCCATTCCAACCCCAAACAGGGTAGCTCAAAAAGACACACCAACGTCGCTTCATCGAGGTCCATGGATAGTTTGTTCAACTTATGTTAGTTGTGCTTGGCCTATTCAATCGCGTTGGCACCCACTTACCATAAACAGGAGAAACCTATTCAACTGGGCTTCCCACTTGCCACAGACAGGAGAACGCCATTCAACTGGTTGGCTCCTACGTTTCATAGATAGGATAATTCAATTGGGTGGCTCGCACTTTTCATACACTTGATTATGTCCTCCAGTGGAGAGGTTAGAATAAGGGTACCATTTCCTTTTTTCCTGTCTATTCTAGTTAGGGGAACCGAATCTCCCCAAAAAAACGAAACGGTAAAAAAGGGCACGATCCTGGGGGACCTTTGTTGAGAAACAAACACCACCACGACACGCAGACCTGCCACCCACCAACGGCGCGTGCCAGGATCCGCGCCAAGCGGATGGCCGCTGCCCGGCGCAGCTGCAGTGAGGGCCCTGGAAGAGAGTGGGTATTCAAAGAAAGCCCCGCTTTTTTCTCTTTTTTTTTGGAACACCCTTGTGGTTGTGGTTAGTAACTAGTTGTGGTTGTGGTTGGTTGTGGTTGTGGTTGGTTGTGGTTGTGGTTGGTTGCGGTTGTGGTTGGTTCCGGGTTCTTGGTTTGTTCCTGTAATTGCCTGAAGGCTTCCAAGAACACCACCAGCGTTCTTGGCTTCTTTTTTTGGCTTGTTTGGTTGGTTGCTTCAAGGCTTCCAAGAACACCACAAGGGTTCCTTGCTTTCTGTTTGGTTTGCTTGTTCACAAGGGTTCCTTGGTTCTTGTTTGGCTTGTTTGGTTGGTGGCCTGCTTGCTTGCTTCTTCAACCAAATGCACTGCCTGCTACTGGCTCTCAGGTCACACAAATCCAGGGGAACATGACAAACACCCAGGGTCATTCAGGGGGTTAGGCATCAGGGGGGATTCAGCAAGCGGAGAGGCTGGAAACCTTTGGAGCAAGTTTCTGAACCATCCAATTGTTTGGCTTTCCCATGAAATAAACGTAACGATTCCCTGTCCCCTCATGGCTTCTTTTCGATCAAAGGTCCTAATTGCGCTGCAACTCTTTCTACCACTTCTGTCAGCTGCGTGGCACGCCAGCTGAGCCTCACTCACCCTGGTTTGTTGGATTTGACCCATCCTCTTTTGGTTTCTGGGACAAATGCTAATGAGTCAACATTCCCGAAAAGGCGAAACCTGACATATTCCCTGGCTTCCGGGGAAGCGGAACCATGAGATAGTTTGCGGGCCGAAACGGGCATGCAATATATCAAAGGACTGGGCCCAAACTGGTAAGCCCTCCAACTGGTGGTTTCCTTCATGGAAACACCTAAATGGTTCATTCCCACATTTCCTATGGCACCAAGGAGATGTTCAATCTAGAAACCCTCCCTCCACTCGCGGGGAAGCTGAGAGGAAGGCTAAAGGGTTGCCAGACTTTCCTTGAAACGAGAGGCAGAGAATGAGAAATGGAATGACCCTGAGAAAGTCCATCCCTATCCCCCCAAACCGGCTCATTCTCACCCGGAAACTCTGTCATTCCCTGCTAAGCAGCAAGTTCAAACAAACTCGTGTCTATTAAAAAAGAAAGAAAGAACATACATATATATATATATATGTATGTCAAGATATATGCACCCGGAAACTTGGCCATTTCCTACCTAAGCTTCTTCAGAGCCTTCGCCAAACCCCAGCACGGGCCCGCCTTGGAACCCGCGAAGCTGGAAGAAGTCCCAGCCAGGCTCTGGCCTGACCAACGAGATCAGCCCAAAACCTGGGAGAGGTGGGGGGATTGGGGGGATTGGATCCTGGGGAAAATTTGCGGCGGGTCACAAATGAGTAGAGAAGCCCCGTTTTGGACTTGTCGTAAATGAATTGACACAAGGACCAAAACCTGTTCCCTGGTGGCTCAGACACCCAAATATGTAGTTGTCTGGCCTCCATTTCCATGACCATTTGAAAGGGTCCCAGGTTTCGTTTAGGAACATCAACGGTAGTGATTCGGCGCCACCCACTTCTGCTTTTCATTCCACTCTCAACAAGTACAAACATGACGTACAGCAACTGACAAAGCGCTGGTGTTCTGTGTTTGGGAGACTTTGGTGGATTCCCAGCGGCCCCCTCGCCCTAACTCGGCTGTTTAACATGGGAAGTCATCCATTCGATTTTCCATGCTCACTCAGTAGGATTTCCTTTCAAATCGGTCGCCAGTCAAAATGCTTGAGGTTGCAATTTAATCCAACACCCTTGGACATTGGTTGAGATGCAAACAAGCAACAAGAACAACTCTGGGCCCGTTTTCAGATCCCCCGCGAAAAGTTTAACTTTTATTGGGCTAAATGGAAACTACCACTAAACGCTCAAAGGCTAAGGAACCGGATGGCTGGGAGCCGCCCGCTCCAGACTCGGACATTGAGAAAATGTTTGGAACGATTGATGGCCCCTTGAAGCACGTCAAGCTACCAGGGGGGTTGCAATGAAACAAAAACACCACTTTAGGAGGTCCGATCAAAACCAAACAGGAACTTCACAGATGTGGGTGGGGTGCCCTTTTTGGTGGCTGGTTTACAGGGGCACAAAAGGACCCCCGCCAATTTTGAGGGTTCCCTGCTTGAGACAAACCCCCCTTCCAGGGTTTCGGGTTGGAGCAACCGCTTCGGGCTTCCAAAGATGCAACAGGTGGCCTGAAAAAGAAGGACCCCCCGCTCACCAGAAATGGTGGCTGCTTGTTGGTGTCCTTTTCAAACTCAGCAGACAAGGGTAGCCTCAAACACAAACCGATCCCTCTGGCCCTGGGTCAAAATCCCGTACCGCCAGTGAACATCCCAATCCCAACTAAAATAGGTTCCACAATGGGTGGTGAATTCACCTACCAACCAAAACGGGATCCCATTGATTTTGACAACCACAGCCATATCACAACCATTTAGCCTATCACATATTTTCAGTAGTGAAATCGATTCCCTTTAAAACCAACAGGGGGAAATCAAACATATTCTTAACCAAATATTTAATGCTTGAGCCACGTGGATTCACCGCAATCGCCATCGAGGCGCTCCGCCGGAGCGCGGCTCACGCCGTCCTCGCCCTCCTGACGAGAAACGTCTCTCGCCGAGTGCTGCCCAGCAGCTAGTTGAGGGTACCTCCAATCCTCCTTGCCTTCGGGGAAGCAGTGAGCAAGAAGCGTTTCACTGGCGGGTTGCTCTGTTTCTCTGAGCAAAAGGTCTGAACTTTTTGTACCAGTCTCCATGACCCTAACAAAAATGGGGTCATTACCCAAAATTGTTGGGGTCATTGACCCATTTTTAAAGGGGCAGAAGGAGACATTAAAAGGGTCATGGACACTCCAGGTACCTCCTCAAACCAAACCAAAAGCCACCGAATGTCCTCGCGCCAGGTGGCCCCATCGTAGAAGGCACACCTCGGCTTCCGGACTTTGACGGCATTTGCGGCTTGGGTCCGGACCGGCAGGTTTCGCCCTTACAAAAGCCAAACTGAAGGGGTGGCATGACAAGAATCCAACCAAACCGGGTGGCTTGCCCCTTGATTTTCCATTGAAGCAAGGCCCTGCTTGCGTGCTCCCATCGAACACCATCCCTTGATCCGCTTCGAAACTGCCCCTAAATGAGCGACTGACACTTGAAACATCTTAAAAACTCATAGCATTCAATTGTGTGAATGGGTTCTAGGAGGTAAATCCATTGCTGACATCTCTTCCCCCCGGCACCGCGTTAAATAAAGGATGGTTTCTTTGCCCGACATTGGCTGCGACCTGGGCTTTACCGAAGCATGCCATCGGCGCCATGCCGATGCACAGGATGTTCCTTTGAACGATGACAGCTCCGCAGTGAGCAAGCTGTGTCCAAAGTCCGAGAAGAAGGGAATGGCGCACTGCAGCGCTCTCCTGATCCACTCTTGCAAACTTGATGGATTCCCAAGGACAGGCACTCCTCATGACCTTGAAATTGCCCTGATGTTGTCGCTTTGGGGATGACTTTTCTGATTCTTGCCAGCTTCGGCCCTTCTCGTTTTCCATGCGTCGCAAAGACTGTCAAAACGATAACTACCTTCATCCAAACACATGCGCTCTGTTTTGATATATATTTTTTCACCCCCTCGCACTTGGGCGGCTCTCTCTGTTTGGTTGAAGCCCCATGAACGGCTTTGGTTTCCTTTGGGTCGCTCTGCCAAAAACCACCAGCCGGCATCTGAGGCTTCGGCCCACAGCTTGTCGCCGTCACCTGCACAGGCGCACGCGATCCGACGAAAAATGGGCAACACGGAGGAAAAAAGCCACCTGGAGTCGCCAGGACCCTGAAATTCATGGGGTCTTTACCCAAAATAATGGGGTCATTCACCTTTTTAAGGGTCATGGAGACTCCAGGAAGTTTGAGTGCTGTGTCTCTTGGGGTCGGGACTTCGCCTTTTTTGCGCTTGGTATAACAAAACTCCCTCGCTTCTTCCATGCTTTGTTGTTGATGTTGTTTCATGTTGAAACTGAAAGCCTGGGAGGATTTGAGAGAATCGTGGAAAGCAAGATACATTCACTCGTCCGGTCAAGAATCTAAGAAGCGAAGCCGCCAAACAGAAGGGATTTCGAGGTTGCCACTGAAGGGCAAAGAAGGGCCTCACACTTGTCACTTTGAACAAGGATGCCCAGCCCCCGGAAAGTCGGTGGATGGTTTAAAAGAACAACGTTTTGGTCGAGTCGGGGCAGGTTCCAAAGGCCGCCGTTCGGCCGGATCTTTTTCCTTGACTAGGTCCTCCAGTAGAGAGCTTAGAATTAGGGTACCCTTTTTTCTGTAGTCGATTTTAGTAGGGGAACCCTCCCCCAAAAAAGGGTAAAAGGCTACTGCGGGACCTAGTTGAAAACCGGAGGGATGCAAGTCGCACCTTTGAGCTGAGGAGCGAGCTTCAACCCGCAGTTTGATCAAACTTTGGTTGGGCACACTCTGCCACCCAACAACTCCAAATCTCTAAGCCCCAACTGAAGTGTCTCACAATGCTGGCCCTATTCTGAGAAACCTGTGCAAGAGGCTGCAGGTTGGCAAGCTCCAAGATTCCAATCTGGAAAATCTTGGAAGATGATTTGCACCAACATGGCCCACACCAGGACCCAGCTGAAATTCGTTCCCGCCCCGAAGAAAAAGAGAAGGAAGAGCAACAAAACGCTGACAACAAAGGGGCGCGGATTCGTCAGATCCAAGGCAACAAAAACACCCAACACCTTCAGGTCTTTGGCTCCACCCTTGCGAAGGTATAGTGCGCAAACTCCTTGGTCTGTCCACTTTCGGTTCCTCTGGCCAAGTAGTCGGGACGCCCGCAAGCCTCGCTTGGGAGTTGGACCTTGCGCATTGAAATGGAACCATCTTTCGATGCTAGGATGCTTCGGTTTTGCCGTTTCTGATAGGATGTTTTATTCTATGGATGTGGCTTGGCCAGAGACCTTCTTCATCCTGCTTAGAAAGCAAGACCGTCAGGCTTTGGACTATGCGGATCACCCAACAGTTCGCTATAGCTTGCGCATGTCTACGAACCCCCATCTCATGTCGCTGGATCTGCGTAGGCACATCATATTATCATATTTGTGAACTCCAATCGAGCTACCCAGAATCATGAGCGGAAGAGGCAACATTTTTGAACTGCCCGACTAACCCCAACACTTGTTCTGAGAAACGCTGAAAATACACCCGCTTTAGGGGCAGTACCACATGTCACCAAACGTGGATCGCTGGCTTTTTCTCCCGGCCGGCCCTTTTGGCTTTGTCTCAACCTTGGGGAAACCCTCCAAATAGGTGCCTCCTTTTGGCTTCCGTCTAAATCAACCCCAAGGGCACACTCAACAAACAACACAACAAATTGTCATGACCCCGGTCGCTCCCGCCTCAACCATTGCCAGCCATCCGGTGGCTTCAGTGGCGGTTGCTTCACCTATGGCTACTATACACGTATTCGTTTTGTCAAAGATATCGCCCAAGCTCAACATGCCCCCAAAAAATCGCCCATGGGCACTTGACTTTTCCACCCTTAAGTTCTCTGCCTGAAACGTCCCAGTTGTTGCGCCGGGAAGCACACATGCTCAACCCACACGATAAGAAGTTACGAGCAAGACAGCCACAGTAACCTCCTCTGCGTTCACTTGCGGGTGCTGGGTAAGGGACTGAGTCAGACTGATACTATTATGGGAACCAGCTACATAAATTTCAACGGGACATTTGTCACATATCCAGCCAAAAAAAAGGATTGAAAAGGTACTGGCTGGCGTGGTTAGCGCCCCTGCGTTTCTGGAACGTCTTCAAGAAGTGGGCGCGCCTGAAACACTGCCCTGCGTGCGCAAAGCAACGAATTTCACGCTTCGTCCAGTATGCGCAAGGCTTCGTGCTCGTTTTAGCCTCTCGCTTTATCGAAACACTCACTTATAGTGTCCGAAGCTGTTTCTGACAAGAAAGCACCACCCTTGCTGCAGAAGCGCAGTCCGTTCCGAGGAAAGCCCTCACCAGCCACAATGAATAGATCGGCTTCTGATGGACCATGCGGCCTGCAAAAGGGGCCGAAACTGGAGCTTTCAGTCCAGTGACACCTTCAAGATCTTCCAACGGCGCAGGCGAAAAACTTCCTGTGCCTTCTTTGCTTTTTGTGATTTGTTTCCTTCGTCTTTGTGGCATCCTTTTTGGATTCCTTGTGGAACCCTTTCTGCTCTTCGCTTTGGCATGCGGCTTGGCTTCCGGCACAGCTTTCGGATTCGATTTTCAAAAAAGCCCAGCTGGCTCAGTGGTCACTTTCCAGGGATCCTTCTTTCTACAAAAACCTTCAGGAACCCAGGGAAACGGCTGGTTATTAAAAATAACGATGGTTGAAAATAATGGGGAATCAACCCCGAGAATCATCTGTTCCTCCTTGTCGCTTGGTTTCCTTCCACAGGAGAAGAACTACAGACCACAAGGCTTCAAGATAAGCATCTTCGTTGTCATCTGCGCACTTGCGACTGCAGGTCACATATACGTATATATGTATATATATATATTGTTTCTCCTTGCTTTTGGGTTCTCACCATCACCGCCAAAGAGAGCAAGGGTAATACCTATGAAAGCGTTTGATTGCTTTGCCATACCAATATGCTGAGGCTTGTGGTGTTCTGGGACTTCGTCACTGGAAGACCCTTGATTCGGTCTGGGGTGTAAAATGTAGCTGCTGCTTTCCTGGACCCGCAAGGGACTTTATCTGCCTTTGACCCATAAAAAAGGAATACAAAGGCAGACATAAGGGGTCCTTTGGGGGTCCAGGTTGGTGGCAGCCACTACTTTCTCTCGTTCACTGTCTAGTCGCTGATGCGGTCGAGCTCGTTCGTGCGATGTGCGGGGGGCAAAATGTAAGGCGCGTGGTTCAAAACCTCCTGGACCCCAAAGGACCCCTTATTGCTGCCTTTGTACCCTTTGATTTGGGTCAAAGGCAGAAAAAAGGGGTCCTTTCTGGGTCCAGGCTGGGACAAACAACTCAATCATTGGGATAGGCGTTGCCTTCCAAGAATCACTTTGAACTGGGTAACCGCTCTTCTCGCCGTACTTTTTCACAGCAGCAACACCAACATGGCAAAGCTGGGTCAACCGGTATTCAACCACATCCTGGAGTCTCCATGACCCTTGAATGATGGGGGCATTACCCAAGATTTTGGGGTCATTGACCCATTTTTCAAGGGGCAGAAGGAGACTCCAGGATGTTGCAAGGATCCATGGAGAAGAACATGCTGGACCAATTCCTTTTCGCAGCTTAGAGTTCCTCATGACCTTCACGGCCTTCGTTGGAGCCTTCATAGACTTTATTGGCACCGTCATGGCTTTCATGGGCTGAAACGCGGGAGGCGCAGCATGTGTGCATGTGTTTACCGGCGGCCACGTGCGAAAAAAAAGCGCAACACGTGAGGGCTGGTTAGCAGTATCAGTAGCGAACACGATTTCGGATTTCCTGGTACAAAGTCCCGCTGGGACTAAAAGCAGATCGATACCAGCCCATCGCTTTACTTACCCCTTAAAACTCCAAGCCCTGGGGAAGTTAATCTTTTACAGACATATTGCCCATGTTACCCAACAAGTGAAAAAGTTGTTCTTTTTAAGATGCAAGTTTGAAGCGCTTTCGAACACCTGCGAGAAAGCTGGGCTCGAACGGTTTCCGTGGGCCTCAAACCATAACCAATCCTGGCCTGGGAAGCATTTTTGTGAGCAAGAAGCGATTCACTGGCCAGTTGCTCTTGCCCGAGCAAAAGGTCTGAACTGTTTGTACCTGGAGTCTCCATGACTCTTTAAACATGAGTCAATGACCCCAAAATCTTGGGTAATGACCCCATTGTTTAAGGGTCATGGAGACTCCAGGTAGGTGTAAAAGCCATGTTGCATCCAAAAAGTATCCTCGGCGATTCGGTCCCAAAGACCAGCCATTCCTAGCTTTCTTGTGATGCGGGAGGGTCGACCTTGACCAGTCCTGGGGAGTTGGAAGGGTTGCCGTGCTTGGAAGGGTTGATGTGACATCACCCATCCTTGGCCAATGGGAACACCAAACATGATATTCAATTCCGTGTCGTATTTACTCAAGAGTAAAATATAAACTAATATTGGAGGAGACCCCATCATACGTTCGTGTTGAGCCGCTTTCTGAAAAGAAGGCCCTGAAGAGATAGGGGGAAAGGGCACAGCTCAGATTTCCCCTTCCAAGCATCACTGTGCCACCCTCCAGAGGGGAACACGGAGCCTCTGTGGGAAGGTACAATATGCAAACCCCAAAGGGAGGCCTTTTGAAGATGGCAAGGTCCTTAAGGTGATACCAAAGTGAACCATGCTGATCTCTACTTTCTCGCATATTAAAGGGAAGCCCTTGCAAAAACCCACTCTCTAGGAAAAAGCAACCGAAATGAGAAAAGGTAAGCAACTGTTTTGGGGGGTCCCCTGTTTTTCGCTCATGTTAAAAAGGGCTTCACATCTAGCCCAACACCTTCGAAGGTTGCTTTTGTCCGACCCGCAGACGTGACGAATGCCCAAGCAGCCAACAAAGTGGTCGCTGAGCCATGCAACAAATCCGTCCTACGGTGGGCCTGCGGCACACTGTTGCCATTTCTAGGATCCCACCGATTCGCGGACACACGAGCAGGTGCGAGATCGAGCAAGACATGAAGAGTCACAAAGGTCTCCGCGAAAAAGTCGGAGGCTCTTGCTCAGGTCGCATCAAAGACCAGCCATGCCTAGCTTTCTCTTGTGTGGGAGGGTCGACCTTGACCAATTTTGTTTGGTTGCTCTACGGGTTGATTCGACATTCTCATCGCCCATCCTTGACCCAACCCTGGGTACACCAAAAATGCTATTCTCCGATTTGGTTTCATGTTTGGTCAACATGAACATATATAACAATATTGGAGGAGACCCCACCCAACCAATCGCTCGCCGAGCCGATTAAAAAAAGTTGTCCTACGGTGGGACTGCTGCCGCACACGGTTTTAGGATCCCACCAATTCGCGGACACACAAGAAGGTGCGGAGTGCATCGAGCAAGAGTCACAAAGGCCTCCGCGAAAAAGTCGGAGGCTCTTGCTCATGACACATCAAAGACCAGCCATGCCCAGCTTTCTCTGGTGTGGGAGGGTCGGCCTTGACGAGTCCCGTTTGGTTGCTTACATGCAGTTGAAAGGTTTGCCGTGCTACGGATTGATTCGACATTGTCATCGCCCATCCTTGACCCAACCCTGGGTACACCAAAAATGATATTCTACGATTTGGTTTCATGTTTGGTCAACATGAACATATATAACAATATTGGAGGAGACCCCACCCAACCATCGCTCGCCGAGCCGATTCAAAAAAGATGTCGTCCTGTGGGACTGCTGCGGCTCACCATTACCATTTCTAGGATCCCACCATTTCGCGGACACACAAAAAGGTGCGAAGTGCATCGAGCAAGAGTCACCAAGGTGTCCGAGAAAAAGTCGGAGGCTCTTGCTCATGTCACATCAAAGACCCGCCGTGCCTAGCTTTCTCTTGTGTGGGAGGGTCGACCTTGACCAGTCACGTTTGGTTGCTCACATTGGGTTGGAAGGCTTGCTGCGCTAAGAGTTGATCCGACGTTCTCATCGCCCATAGCCAACAAATCGCTCGCCGAGCCGAGTTATAAAACATTTCCTACGGTGCGACTCCTGTGGCACACGGTTGCCATTTCTAGGATCCCACCAATTCGCGGACACACAAGAAGGTGCAGAGTGCATCGAGCAAGAGTCACAAAGGTCTCCGCGAAAAAGTCGGAGGCTCTTGCTCATGTCACGTTAAAGACCAGCCATGCCTAGCTTTCTCTTGTGTGGGAGGGTCGGCCTTGACGAGTCCCGTTTGGCTGCATATGGAGTTGAAAGGTTTGCCGTGCTACGGATTGGTTCGACATTCTCATCGCCCATCCTTGACCCAACTCTGGGTACAGCAAACATAATATTCTCGGATTCTGTTTCATGGTTGGTCAACACGAGCATCACAATATAATATTGGAGGAGACCATAGCCAACAAATCGCTCGCCGAGCCGAGTTATAAAACATTTCCTACGGTGCGACTCCTGTGGCACACGGTTGCCATTTCTAGGATCCCACCAATTCGCGGACACACACGAAGGTGCGGAGTGCATCGAGCAAGAGATACAAAGGTCTCCGCGAAAAAGTCGGAGGCTCTTGCTCTTGTCACATTAAAGACCAGCCATGCCTAGCTTTCTCTTGTGTGGGAGGGTCGGCCTTGACGAGTCCCGTTTGGTTGCTCACATGGAGTTGAAAGGTTTGCCGTGCTACGGGTTGATTCGACATTCTCATCGCCCATCCTTGACCCAACCCTGGGTACAGCAAGCATAATATTCTCCGATTTGGTTTCATGTTTGGTCAACACAAACATATCAATATAATATTGGAGGAGACCATAGCCAACAAATCGCTCGCCGAGCCAATTCAATTAAATGTTGTCGTAAACTGTGGGACTGCCGCAGCGCACTATTACCATTTCTAGGATCCCACCGATTCGCGTATACATGAGAAGCTGCTGAGTGCATCGAGCAAGACATGAAGGGTCACAAAGGTCTCTCTCACAAAATCTTGCCGCGAGCGCCATAGCAATGATTTCTCACCTTCTGCGTGGACTCGCAAACAGAGTTGCAAGACTTTTTTGACTATGATCTGGACCCAAAACGTCAAGTCCACTATGATGTGAAGCGAGAACTATACAAAAAGACAAACTCCAGGCCTCGAAAAGCTGCGGCGCTCACAAGCAAGCAATGAACCTGAACCCCAATGCCGGCAACTCAACCAATGGGTGAACCCCCGGCCAACCAGACCAAGAGTGACAGTGACCTCTGATCTTACTGGCTGCTCCGACTTTTCTCAGGCTGGAAAGCCGTTTGACGTTCGATCCATTGGGAGTGTCGCTTCGGTCACTGGGTTTGAAAAAGTTCCGAGCCGAAAAGCTCGGATTCGCTTCCAGCGCAGGCCTCCAACAATCCGGAGGCGCGCAGCTCAGCGATGCCAGCCCATAAGTCTCTGACCCCATCCTGCTCGCCTTGCACCTGGGCCATATCGAACTGGGCCCCAAAACGTTGCTGAGCAACCAGAAAATCAACTGCCCAGAGTCCCCATGACCCTTGAAAAATGGGGTCATTACCCAAACTTGTGATGTCATGACCCCATTTTCTAGGGGTTGTGAAGACTCCAGGTGGTGAGTTTGAACCAAGGCTCTGTCCAAGCTACGCCTTGGCCGGACCCGAAAAACTCCATGTGAACCATGGTCAAATTCAATCCAAGTCCAAGGATTGTCGAAATCAAAAAAAAACTCCAATCTCCGACAAAATCGATCACTGGGCCAATTCCAAGGGGGTGCAGTCAATTCGATGTTCCAACACCCCTATCATGAACGGGGCCGAATCCTTTGGTACAGAGAAGGATCCTACGGATTGACTTTGAAGAGCCCAAGCTCCAACATCTCACTTCAAGAGTGGACAGGCCAAAACAGCAACCAAACCTTTTACTTTCCACTAACATGGTCCAGACCCAACACTAGGTCCTCCAGTAGAGAGGTTAGAATAATTTGGTACCAACTGTTTTTTTCTGTAGTCTATATTAGTAGGGGAACCCTTCCCCAAAACAGAAACGGTGAAAGGGCACCTAGATGGGGGAGATAGCAAAAGTGTCCAGTCCAACTCATGGAAGCCAAGTCCAGCGTTTGAGTCCAAGCTCCTCACTGCCTACCTGTTGGTTTTGGGTAACCCTACGCTTTTCAGGTCACCCAGATCCAGATCCATGTGGGCTGGGGTGCCCGGAGTCTCCTTCTGACCCTTAAAAAATGGGTCAATGACCCCAAAATCTTGGGTGACCGTACTTGAAGGGTCATGGAGACTCCAGGTACTTGTGGATTGGCCAGACAAATGTCCCACTTCCTGTGGATTGGCCAGAAACAAGTCGCAACTTGGAACTGGTTGTTTCCCAACTTGGTCTTCCCAGCAAGCGAGCCTCACCGTTCGGAGTCCAAACCTTGAGATTCTGGCATAAGCCCAAAGAGAAAGTCCCCAAATCCTAAAACACTGTCCTACAGAATGCGCAACTCATGCCCAGTACCCAGATTGCGAAACCTCCATTTGCTTAAGCCCCCTCGAAATAAGTTCCCAGTAAAACCAACAAGAGAAACACATGATTCAAAAAACAACTTATGCAAATTAAATGGAAAGCATGGAAGCCATTGAAGCGAATGTTCACATGGCGTACTGCACTCGCAAGGTGTGAGGCTTCCAGGATTCCATGCTTGGTGGCAGAGGTTATTTAGGAGACCCTGTGGTGGACCTTCGTGTGGGGGTAGCCCCGTGCAAAGGTTGTCTAAATCCCGGTCTCCGACTGGTTGCCATTTGGTGTCCACTCCGATGTTTGTCCCGGTGTGCTGCTGGGTGAGGTGAGTCGCAATCAAAACCTGGTACTAAAATGGTCTACCCAGAACCACGTACAGGATTAAGAAGGCGGTCGCAGCTATTTCTGGTTGGGATCGTCCCTTACTAAACTTCATCTACCCGGGTTTTCATTGTGGCTCAGGTGTTTTGGTGTCCAGTCGCTGTCCAGTCGGTGTCCAGTCTGACAAGGCCCAGTTGTGATGACCTCTGGGGAGTTGCGCCGACAGAAGTGAGCCGCAGTTGCACGGCAGCTCCCGAAATAAATTTCGCACCACCTAAGAAACCCTGGTTTCTGGTGATTCCCCTGTAAGTACCAGCAACATTCCTCAGTCAACTCCCTGTGTTGAAGTGCCCGTCTCAAATTCACGTAAAGGCTGTCCAGGTTTTGCTTGTGGGTTAGTTGAGTCAACTGTCAAGGTGTGTCAGTGCTGAGGCGATTTGGGGTGGATCTTGCGGGAAACTCAATGAAAAACACAAAACACTTGGGGGTTCCGACTCCTGCTTTCAGACATGACCACAACTCCACTCGTCAACTCAGACTTCAGACTCGGGCCGGCACCAGCAATGCTAACAAGGATGACAGCGGGAAATGCTTCAGCGCCGCCGTTAGACGCTGGCACTTCCGGGTGTTGGTCTCCTCCTGAGAGATGCTAATCAAGGACCAAGTCGTCCGCGGAAGATGCTCAGTGCTCATGCTTCCCTTCCCCACCTAAAGAACTGGCAAGGACCTTCCCCAGCAAAAGGTCCTTAGACCTTTTTAAGGTTTATGGAAAAGCCATTGTTTCCCAAAGGTCTAAGGGGCGACTCGGTCACACCAAAGACCGGCCACGGAAACTTCCCAACATGAAACTTGGTGCCAACACCAACTCACGATTTGTTCGGGCTCCCGCAAGAGAGTTGAACGACTAAACTTCAAGACGCAAGCACAGATTCAAGCAAAGTGCGAAAATTGTGAAGCTGCTTTGGCAAAGCAAAAACACGAACTGTAACCCATGCATTAATGACATGCATTAGTACACATCCTTTTCCACAATCGGAATACTACCCATGCTAGAGATGTCGTGCATGTGAACTTTCCCTCACAAAACAATGCATTGTTTCCAGGGCATGTGCCTGTACCGTTTCTCTTAGCTCTTAACTTCCATTTGCTCGAAACATGCCATAACCATTTCTCGTTAAAAGGAATAAACACCAATCACTCGCCTGAAGCACACGGACAGAAGAGAGCATGAAACTCGCCATCTGTTCAGAGGGCTCCAGGACGCCCCTTTCACCACCATTGTTTCCCGTTCAGGATTGTCATCATTTAAATAAGGTCAACAAATCTTTTAATCGGGGTTGAACCACAGTGTCATAAAGCTCATACTGTTGACAGCAACTCTATCTTCCTCATTCCTAGTATCCCCTGCCCGTATAAAGGACACCTAGAGTCCACTTTGCAACCTGTCTGCTCAGCGGATTTTTCTCTCGGGATCTCTGCAGAAGAGCCAAGTGGGTGTGTCTCCCTTTTAGGGGGTTCACCTACTGGGTCCTCCAGTAGAGAGGTTAGAGTAAGCCTACCCGATTTTCTTTCTGTCGTCTGTTTTAGGGGAACCCTCCCCCAAAAAAGAAACGGTAAAAGGGCACCTAGCTGGGGGACCTAGTTGGGTGTCCCCTTGGGTGTCCCTCCCCCCCCCTTCTCACCTTCTCGCGCGCAGAAACGGGCCAGAGTGTTTTTCGAGGCGCCGAGTCGGGCGTGAGGTTCATGGAGCTCTGCAGCACAGCCATGAACTTGGCCCCGAAGTCTGGGCCCACCGCGTCGCAGCGGAGTTTCATGGCCTCGCAACATCGTTTTTCCCTGTCCAGCATGGAACCCACAAAAAGAGCAGCCCCTTGGAGAGAAGAACATGGCAAACCCAGGGCCTGAAGTCAGTCAGGTTCCATGTTGGAAGGGTAGTGACTATATACTGTTTGCGTTGGTTGGTGGAGGAGGTGTCAAACATATGGCCAGTTTTGGACCCTGTTGCAGTCGGTACGTGCCGCGTTTGAAGGGGATTCTAACATTCCCCCCTAAGCGGGAAATACGCATTTTCTCCGACACTTGAAGGTGCAGCCAAGGGAAGAGCATGGTGGTGCTTTCGCACGCTTGGCAGCAAAGGATACTACAAGAGCCTCCAAAAGAAATATATTAGAAACCCCAACATGTGATTCGGCATTGGAAGGAACTTTGCCCTTCCAAAATCTGGATGGTAGAATTGAATGTCCCGTGGAATGGGTTCTAACAAACGGGGTTCCTTTCGGGTGCTACACAAATGATTGGTAAAAGCGATCGGAACCCTTTTAGGGTCCCCTGATATAGGAACAGAACTAATTAATACGGGGCTATGGGATAATTACGTCAAAGACATAGTAGGGAACCGCCTGGCAGTTTCACAAGCCAGTGGCTGTCAACTTTAATCCAATACCAACAGGGGGTCAGGGTTCAAAAAAACACGTCAAAACACATGTCGGGCGTGTTCTTGGCAACGAAGACGTTGAAGTCCGGGCACAGGTTCCCCGCCTGGAGGAGCCACCTGTTCCGGGCGTCTGCGGGCAGGCCTCAGGGAAACAGTTACTTCCCACACCTTGCGGCAAATCCGACTCGGCATGGTCTGCCTGGAGTTTTCCTTCTGCCCCTTCAAAAATGGGCCAATGACCCCAACATGTTGGGTACCCATAATGTCGCCATTCTTGAAAGGTCATGGAGACTCCAGGGGTGTGAGTTTTGGTTTGGGGACTCTTTGGTGGACATCATGTCGATGGCGATTGTGTTCACATTGAAATTCAGAGCCACGTGTGGGCTAGAGGGGTAAGCAATTAGCCTCCACAGGGATTCAAATCCTAGCTGAACCGCACAGGCGGAATGGGCACAGGAGAAGAGGGATCTGAACCCAAAGTCTCTCAGTCCACAAGAGCAGGGCAATTGCAATGGCTCCAAAATCAGGACCAAGGCCAGGGTTATTGCACCCAAACACAATATGCGTGTGGCTTTTTTCAAGAGATTAACAAACAACATGTTGGTGGCTTGAAAGGGAAACCAACAGGACAAGCACCAGTTTTTGGGGGTCCGTCCGATTCCCAACAAACGACACAACCATATCTTCAGATCCTGTTCAGAACATGTTTCGGGTGTGGTGAGTTTTTCGAGGCGATTTTACCAAAAATAAACCACAAACCACCATCTCTTTCCCTCTTTCCCCCCGAACCCCCCTACTCCCTGGTTTCTCGACCTCGGTGCCATGAAACGGGATTTCCATGGTTTTGGTTGGCTTCGGAAACCGGAGGCACTCAAAAAGAACATGCCCAACAAACGCTTCCCAAAAGCACCCCTTCCCAAAAGCGGCTTGGACAAAGGGAATTCCACCAGTCGCCAGTAGCCAATGTATATCTGTGCGCGCGTGCGGGTGTGCGTTAAAATAGGGGACCCCCGAAAATGGTGGCTTTCCTCTTGGATTCCTTTAAAACCCACCAAAACGAGGTACCCTGAAGAGAAAGCCGACCCATTTTCCTGGGAGAAAGATTCCCTCGCCTTTCAATTTCTCCCTGTTCCGCTTGTCCAAGTGAGCTTTTCGGACACCATGCTCACCATGACAGAAGTGACCTCAGCTCGTCAGCCGTGAGGCATCGAGGCGTTGAGTGAATGGGACGGGAACACTGAGAACCACCTGGAGTCTCCATGACCCTTACAAAATGGTGGGTCATTACTCAAAATGTTGCGGTCATTGACCCATTTTTGAAGGTTCATGGAGACTCCATGCACTACAGGGTTCATTTAAGTAGCAACACAAATTCTAAGACTCCCAGGTCTCCCCTGCCCTTTTGACAACTTCAAGCAAGGACACAACTTGTGATGGTTTGTTTGTCTCCAATCCCCTGGGTACATCCGGGATATAAACCCAAAGTGGAAGCCAAAGAGCAACCACACCAGACACATGAACAAATCAAAGGGGAACCAAAAGGAGAAACGAGGCCAAAAGGATTTGTCCCGCAAGAAGAACAAAAAAACAACAACACCAAACACCAGCAAGCACACGGACAATTCCATCAGTTCTGCCGTTTTCGGCCGGTTCTGGGTAGATCGCTCTCGTTTTGGTCAGCACTGGGCTGGCCAACGGGGCCTAGCAAGGCTTAAGTAGATCCGCGAGATTGAAGAAACATTCCAAAATCTGGGCTGCCCGTTTTCAGATCCCCCGCTAAACGTTTAACTAACTTTGAGTGGGTTAAATTCGGAAACTGCCACTCAACTCTAAAAGGCTAAGGAAGCGGATGGCTGGGAGCCCCCCTCTAACCCCGCCCCTAACCCCCCCCCCTAAAAAAGCAATTCTAAACCAGTGACCTGAAGCCCACGGCCACACCTATCCGAGGTGCAGGAGTCGCCATTGGTGCAGCTCTTCCTGGAGAAGAACCTCGGCTTCTCAGAACTCCGGGTGCTTGGATCTAAGTTAGTAAGTAAGTTATAAGCAAGTAAGTTAGTACGTTATAAGAAAGTAAGTTAGTAAGTTATAAGTAAGTAAGTAAGTAAGTTACCTCCAACTTAGTAAGTCTCAGATGCCCAGTGGATCTCCATGGGGAAAAAAAGGATCGGCAGGATGGAGTTTAAAGGGGAACTGTGACCCAAAAAAAGGAGAGAGCAAAGCACCACTGGGCAACTGGGAAGTTATAAGCACGGTTATGAGGGGACCAACCCCCGGTTGCCCTAGTTGCAACAACGGTTTTAACCTACTTAAGGGTTGAACATCCTAGTTCGATGAATCCCACAACTCGGGCTCTACGAGCACCCGGAGTTGATTTTGGGACCCTGGACCAGCCTTTTGGGAGTGAAACAACCTCAGTTCCCGCAAGGCTAGAGTCTAAAGACCCAGCAAGTGTTCTGGGCAACTAAACAGGCTACAAGTTTTAATGGGAATAGGGTCCCTGATTGGGGTTGTCTTCCAATAGGAACCCCGTAAAATGGCTTCAGTTTCTCTGGAAGGCTTCCCTTGAAAACCAAGGGGCGGAGACCCTCAAACAAAGCCCACACCCCATGGTCATGCAAATCTTGGGGCAAGAACCGCCAGAGGGGCTGATAGCCTCAAGGTATCTCACCTGGTGGTCAAAAAATGACCTTTGGCAAGGCGCAAGCAGGACCTCGCGCAGAGCTCCGGGTGTCCCAAAGATCCAGGGTTCGAGTAGCTCCGGCACACGTCGCCCAGCTGCGGCGGTTCAACCGCCTCTTGGGCAGCACTAGCCTCACCTCAGGTACCAGAAACCTGGGGCACCCTTTGTTGTGTGTGCGTGTGTGTCTGTTTAGAGGGACACCACAAGAAACAGCTCTTTTGTGCGGACTGGTTGCGGAGCTCCCCCAAGTCAGAATTTGAATGTTAGTATCCAGGTGACTGTTTGACCCCCCCAAATCAGATGGATACCCCCTCCAGGTAGGTGGTTTTCTTGTGGCTTCTTTTAAAACCATCCAAAAAGGGGTCCCCCATTTTGAGACATCCCCACTTGTCGGCAAGCCGCTGTTCACTGGGTGACAAAAAATATATCTATCAACCCGTGAGTCTAGCTTCTTTTCCGCGAAACACATCTCGGAGGTTGTGGGGTTCCTCTTGTTTGGCTGAATATTCAAGAGCAAAAGGAAATCTCAACCGACCGAATGACCACCCGTAAAACTGCACCCATATTTTAGCAGCAATTCTTTCCAGAGAACCCTACTAGTCAGAGGACTCGCACAGAAAATGATGTTGTTACTAAACAAAAACAACACCCCTGAGTACAGCGTGAATCCAGGATGAATAAGCCCCTGATAATAAGCCCCTAATTGATTTTGATTGGGGGGTTCCCTTTTAGGGGGGATCCCGACCATTCATGAACCTGGTTTATTCCCCCCCCAAAAAAAAGGATTATGTCCTCACTGAATGAGAGGAATGATTCGATTCCCTCCCACCAAATAACAACATCCTTAAAGAAGGAACCACCCTGATTTGCAGGGTCCTAGTGTGCATGGACAAATTCCATTTCGCACCGTTCAGAAACCCTGGAATGATTCGGTCCCAAAGCAAATGCCAACCAATGCTTTCGTTCACCATGGTTTCATTTCGTGTGCGTTCATGGAAAAGCGCGTCACCATCCACAGTTGGTCCAAAGCAGGGTCCCACTTTTTGACGACAGGCTAGACTTAAACGCAAGGGTTCATTCCCCCCAACAGGAGTAAGATCTGTTTTCATCAAACAAATATCGGTCCAAGTTGCTGCAGCTTGGGCATCGCGCCAGCCGAGTCCTTGAGCTGCTCGGACTTTTCGGGACACTTTGAGCGCTCCTCGGGCGAAGGATGGGGAGAAATACCCCCCGCCCCCGTGGTCCTCTGTCCACTTGCATGGAACCCTGTTACTTTTTGATGATGCTCTTCTGTAACTTAATGTGTAACCTCAAACCGGGGTCTCAAAGAAGATTCCGGATAGAGCTGATATGCAGAGGGGAAATGGATTGAGCAGTAGCCATGAGACATTGGTTGTGAATGGTTCGAGTCATAAACCCAAGCATCACCAGCGGGATTGAGCTTTTGGAATGGCTTTGGGGTTGGTTTGAGGAGGATTAGGGTCGAAGGATTTTCCACCACTCGTACAGCCTCATCAACACTCACGGCATCGCCAGCGTGTTGTGTTCAGGGTCGATACATGGTCGATCAAGGGTTTGGTCAGGATAGGTTGTGGGCAGGCAGCCAAACAAGCAAAACACACACATACATGTACATATATATATATATATATGTACACACACACATTTGAGAAGCAACCAACCCTGAACTAGCCTAAACCTAAACGAAGCCTAACTCCAACCAGCCCAGGGAGTAGGAGGGACCAAATATGTGCGCATGTACACATATCTGGTCAACCCGATGATCCCGGTTAATCAAAAGGCTGACCCGCAAATGACCATAGGTCACTTTTCCCATGGAGCGGGAAATATTGTCTTTTGTTCTTGACTTTCCCCAATGGTCGTCCCATGTAAAGGACCTTTTGATCAACCCAGACACGAAACAATATATATATATGTATAAAAAGTATATTTATATATGGGCATGTCTAGTTTTAGGGAACCCCACAATTGTGGGTTTACCCGTGGTTCTCCCTGAAAGCCGCAAAAAACACAAAAAAAAACAAAAAACGAAAAAGACCCAACCAAAACGGTACGTCTCTGCATAGGGAAACTCAACAAACAGGCAATGGTCCAAAGGGGACCCCTTAACACAAGACACAATGTCAATTCATAATACCGTGGATGGACAAAATCCTAAGAAACCCTGGAGTGATGATTCCCCTGTAAACCAACAATGGTTTTCCATGCTTTCCAAGTGGTGTGTTTCATGGATTTCGTCCACAGCATGGCCTACTTAAAGGGGCGATCGGGTACCTAGTGGTTTGTGAGCCTGGGTTATAGTTCATTTTGAATACGTTGGTTAGTGAGCCTGGGTTACAGTTCACTTTGAATACTTCACTTAGCTTTTGGGTGGACGTACCTGGGTTATAGCTACTTCAACTTGAAATTTCCCAACCATCCACCGTAGTGTTTGACTCCAACACCAAGACTTCACCGTTGCCTCTCGAGCCGAGGCTCTGCGCGTCACTCTGTGCAGCAGCCTAACGTGGTCCGCGTGGCTTGGGTGCGGCTCTCGTGTTTTTTTTTTCTTTGATTTTTTTTTCTGGATGATACTGTAGGGTCCTTTTTTGGAGGTGACTTTTGGATGACACTCTTCTGCAAAACGACATGAAACAAGATTGCCTGGGAGCAACACCCCTTTGGCGAAGATCAAAATAGACGGACACTGGAGTAAACTTTCTCATTCTCTGCAAGGATCCTCTTTCCAGAAGAAAACACCAAACCTCCGGCGAAAACGTCTTGTTTTTGAACATAATGATGGTTGATCAGCATGGGGAACCCAAGGTGGCTTGTTTGAGATTGATTGAAAAAAAGGAAGCCACCTATGCTGGACCCTTCCTTCCTTTGAAGACACACCCATGCGTTACTTAGACTATCTGGTCAGCAACTTTGATAGAGCCCTGAGATCACCAGAAAAGGGTAGAACGTCGGTGCGGTTTCCTTTTGGTTTCTGCAATCTGAGCAGCCACTCAGGCTCACCAAGTTGTTTAGCGGCGCACTGTGTCCCTTTTTGTCCCAGGTTCCCACCATTGTGACCAACCCAAGAAAAGGGCAGGGACTTCTTCGTACTGGGCCAATATTTCTATCAAAGTCACCCACTAAGTGGTAGGTTAAAGGGAAACTACCCAAGAACAACATAAAAATAATGACCAGAGCCAGAGGCATGCCAGGGGAATGGCCCTCTGTACCAGGGAACCATTGCCCTGGTGTGAAGAATTCGCCATCGGGGGTGGGGGGGGGGTTGACTGCGTTGAATTCCGTGCAAACACCTGGGTGGTGATCTCAACTGTGTAGGCGCACTGGGTTTTGGCAGCGAGTTCCTTCGAGTACCTATGGCTGTATTGAAGCCTGCTACTTGGGCGTGGGTCAAAATGAAACCACTAGGGTAGGGGACCGCAGGTTTTGGTCCATGTTGCTACTTACCAGGGCAACCCATTGTGGGGTTTTGATCCCCGCAGCCATTTCAATTTCCTGAAGCCTGCTAGCCCTGAAACTCAGAAGCCAAAGCTCCAGCGAGGCTGAACGACGAGAAACCCCACCGCCGGCCTGGGTCCGGTTACTCCCGGCTGACAGCTGCAAAGCGGCCTCGATCTGCCGAAGGTCCTCCCCCGTCTGCTGCTCCTGAACCAGCTCCGTATGGGTGTTCCCACAAAGGATGTGGGACAAATAGTGAGTCTTCCAGTGCGTTTTGGTGCCAGGATAATCGTTGGATCAATGAAATGTGCAGGTAGGTTCGTTTAATTCTAACACAGGGCTCGTTGATTCATAGGGGTTGTCCCCTTCAGGCAGTCCGGCTCACGCGTGGAGGGACAAAACAGGTGGTGTATCAAGCAGCATAAATAGTCACAAGCTTTCATCATCTCAACTGTTGCGAAGTGGATGCTTTTGCTGCCACATATGAACTGTTGAGGTTATAAAGGCCTTCTATATAACCCACATTAAACCAGGTAGAACGATCTACTGAAATGGAGGTGGCATGAACATGGATGGCGAATGAAAGCTTATTGGCCCTGTGGACGCTTAGCCATATGAAGATGTCTCAGCATGAGGGACCCCACCAAAACTATGGTTTCCTTTTTGCTTTCCTGAAAAACAACCTCGGACTTCCTTGCAACAAAAAAAACAAACGATCCGAATGCGGGCAATGAGCGCAGCCCGAGGCTGCCGATGCTTGGAAGCAACCCGCGACCCAACGATGTGACGAACAGCAAGCTCGAACCTTGAGACAGCTTCAGAACGAGCACCCAACTTCCCGCTCTTGGTGTAAATGGTCACACCAAGGACCTTACAATGCCAGAGCCAACGAAGGTTGGCCCGCCAGCCGGCTCTGGACTAAGAAATTCAACAAATAGAAATAATCCAGCCCCACACGGGCGCCAAAGCATCAATGCCAAGGATTGAACAGCAATCCCCTTGCCGGTCCACCTCAAGACAAGAAGCGCTGAGTGGGGAATATGCACTTTTGCCAGAGACGGGCACCCCCCTCATCCAAGCCAAGAGCAACAAACAGGTCGGCAAGAAGCGGGGCATACAGGAGGTCGAACGTTGACTTGTCCAAGGAAACGCCAGAAAACAATTGCTGATCGCCTTCAGCAACAGTGTCCTTGCTTCAGAAAACGCAACTGGTAACTCCACGAGGCCAGCCTCAGCATGTTGGAAAAGCTGACCAAGAAGCGTTGGGGCAAAAGATGGGGCAGCCCTCGGCGTCGGTGATGACGTGCGGCCGGCCGGCTGCATGAGAGTACGCAGTCGCGCGAAAGCCGCCCGGCCGCGGTGGGAAATTTGTATCTTCCCCCAAGCGCTTGCGCATCTCACGAGCAGCCATGGGTTGCCAACGATCCGCAACAACCTTGACCAGAGCCTGCAAAGCTCATTCTGGAGTTCTGGAGCCTGGGGCGGAAGTCCTGGACGCAACCAGCCGGGAGCTACGCCCAGTGACATCAACATCCGCCGAGGGAGCTCGCTGCAGAAGCTCAGAGAGCGGGAGGGAGGCTGGGCCCGGCCTCTTCCCACGCCAGCGTCTCAAGGATCTCTTCCGCCCAGCCGCTTCAAAGCTCCTCCCAGCCCTAGGTCCGCAAGCGCCAGCGAAGTGCCACTGAGCAGGGCTATCGAAGCTGACGGCCGCATGGAGATTCAGGGGATGGATCAACCCACTCGCACCGGGCTGAGCTAAGGAACAGAGCGCTGCCGTCTTCCGACCAATGCAGTCAGTGGGCATGTTGGGGCGGTGGGGCGTTGACCCCAAGAGCTTGTTATAACTCAGGCATCAACCTTTCACACTTGATGGAAATTCACGAAGGGGTGTGGTCATTGGCGAAACACAAAGGGACTATCTCCATGGTTTCGCCTTGTGTTTCTATGAAACAACCAGAAACAAAGGGAACTTAGGTGTTCGGCCAAGAAAGTTGTTAAACTAAGTCTAAACTGCGTAGAAGCCCCCAGTACAGTTAGCCTTGTTTGGCCATGTCCCTTTTTTAGTGGGGATTCATCATTTCTGGAAGAGAACACCTCCTCTTCTTGGTTGCTTTTGACCCTGCAAAAAGTTCAACTTTTTGGGGGGTTAGTGGAAAATACCTTTATTTCCCAAAAAGCTAAAGTCTAAATATCCAACACAATAGCAGTCCAGTATTTATAGAACAGGTTCTACTTAGATCCGCGGTCAACATTTCCCTCAAAACGCCGCGTCCTGAATCTGTCGGACTGGAAGAGTCCGCGCGTTGGCCTTGGCCGAGCAAAAAGAACGGACACGAAGGAGGAACCAAAGCAGAATAATATCTAAAACGGTTGTTCTGTTCTTTTCGTGTCTCTACAAACCATGTGCGGTACGCAATACTACGTGTGTATATATATATATATCAGACAATTTGACCCATAGTTTGCTGAATATTCAAAATCGGTTTGCAGGCCCCAGCAACGGAAGAACAGACCCAGGTTCCGGGGTGGTCTATGAGTTAGATTTTACCCCGGAGAACTACTTTTCTCCAAGACACCCACAGAAAACTCCACGAGTTTGCCAACTAGCCGACGTACTTTGCGAACTTCTCGATGTTGGTGTTCCTCTGAGCTGAAACGACATCAAACCGGAAGCATGCGAAACTTGTTTGACCCCCTCCCGAGTGGATGATTGGCTTTGGCTTCCCAGATCTCCTTATCAACTTTGGAGTGGGAAACCCAAAGCTCTAACCGACAGGACAGCTTCGATTTATTTTCGGTGTGCGACACAATTTTTAAAGGTCAGGCAGACTCCAAATTTTGCAACTAAATGTAAGCATGGTTGGCATTGGTGGTTTGGATTAGGATTTGAACCCCTGGTTCTTGTAGACGGTAAAATGGAAAACCACCCAATGAAAACCTCCGAACCACCAATCCAAACCGTAGAAGTTGATGCAATCAGGATAGAACAATTTGCGGACTACATGCCTGTCTGTGGTTGTGCTTCTGTATCTGTTTGTCCCCAAAACTGAGCCTTACCTCCCTATGGCGGAGGAACCCGGCCTGAGGCCATGAAATACTTATTTTTTAGAAACACAAATAACAAATGTTTTCATGTGTATGTATCTATATATATATATATCATATGTGTCCTGGGGCGGGAAAATACGGCGTCAGATCCCGACAGTGCTTCGGGCCACTAAGCCGTTAGCGGCTCCCCATGCGGAAGTCGCCGCCGTTTCCGCGCGCTGCTGCAAGCAGGACACGTAGTCATGGCCAGCCTGGCAGCGACAAACTGCGGTTCTTCTCGGATGCCCAGTGGCCACGGGAAAACAAGGACGCCCTTCTTTGTTGGTTGAGATTCAAAAGCGGAACCCATTCTTCCCCCCCCAAAAAAAATGCACCGCTGCGCAACAAACGTGGCTAAAGATTGGCCCAAGCACGTTGCCAGTCACCTCAATGTCCTTTTGGCCGTTTTAGTTTGAACCAAACTTTCATCATCCAGTCACACCAATTCACAGACTGAACATAAGATAACCTTCTGAACAAAAAATCATTGGCATCCCACCCACCCCGGAACGTGATGTCGATATACTTTGGGTGTGTCTCTTTTGAGGGACCCCCAAGAGTTGTGTCCCTTTACTTTCCTGACAAAACCAAGCCCTGAAAAGGGTCGCCTCAAAAAAAAGCACACCCATTTGCCCAAGAAACGGCCCCTGCTTTGACACTCATCCACACACACACACAAAATAGCCCCTCTTCTGACGCTCATCCATGTACAAAACGGTAGACCCAACTCCGCCTCAAAGAACTCCAGGGAAAACCGCCTGCTGCACGGCTCACTCCTTAGTCGCTAGGTAGCTAAGCCAAACAATTCGGGTGCCTTAAGGCCCAGTTCGCCCAGTGCTTGCGGAATCCGCCAAGGAACTCTCCAGTGTTCTGCTTCAGGCATGGTATCACCATCCATTCCTCTCGTTCAGGGGAGCTGCAAAGGGTCAGCCCTCCAAAGGGGTGCGGACTGGGATACTGCGCTAACTTCCCATCTCTGGGCTGTTCAAAACTCAGCGTTGGCCAATCCACAATTTCCATAATCCCTATTGTACAACCACTACCAACAAAAACAAGGACCCCTTTCGTAACCCAAGCTAAGGATTGCGAATTGCCTTGGAAACAGTCCTTGGGGTTGGTCCGGTCCGGTTCCAAAGGCCATATGGTCGTTTGAACACAACCCCAAGGACCGGTCCCGGTTGACAGTCCTGTTTAACTTCATCCTTTTCGATACGGTCCGGTCCTTGGGGTTTGTGCCACAGCTGGGATGTTGGCCCCGTCAATGTGTTTGGCGACTTGCGGCTTCCCCTTTGGTGCCCAATCAAAACGCATCCTAAAACATGGTCTCCTGGAGTCTCCCTTGACACGTCACCCAACAGGAAGATCACGTTAAATTGCCCAAGGTGACGGTCAAACCCCGAAGATGGACCTGTTCAAAGCACCAAAACAGGGTGCCCTCAAGCACGGCAAACCCACTTCTTGTTCGGCGAAGTTGGTGTGAATGGCAGCCATACATAGGTGTCCTGTTAGGGGAAATAGCAAAATAGATGGCCCTGGTAGATGATTAAGCCACCTGGTAAACCAGGGCCATCTATTTTCTGGCAAAACAACCAAAAAGGACACCTATGCAGCCATAACCTCCAGTTTCAGTCCCCGTTCCGTAGAGTTCACCTTGTTAGTGGGTTCTACCCCCAGGTGGCCAACCGCGAAACCTAACTTGGCGAATCAAACATGCAAAGTTCGCACCTCTCAAAACACAGGCACGAACATCTGGATTCTCCTTCTGACCCTTCAAAAATGGGATGATGACCAACCATTATTTTTTGGTTAATGACCAACCATTTTTATCTTGAGTCAAAAGGAGACTCCTCTTGATCACCCCGAAGAAACTATTTGATAACAGCCTCCCGCAAAAAAACAGAAGTTTGGGGGTAGAACCCCACCAAGGCCAGCGGAAGGCTTCCGGGAACCAACTCATACGCCACCCACTTCTGTCAAGGGCTCAAAGATCTCTGCCGGGCGCAGGGCTGCGTCATCCCCTCCGTCTCCTCAGTTCTGAACCGAATTTCGCGGCCCAACATCCAAAGGCCCAAGAAAAGAAATCAGGGCCCACAATGCAACATGTAAGGCTGTACCGCCTTGCAATGAGAAATCAGGGTACATCATTCCAGGTCTGGTACGGAAACAGCAAGTAACATGAAACCCACATACTCAAACTCATGAGAAAACACTTGATCTCGGGGCAGTCTCCATAGGGTAGTCCGAGGGTCCTCTTGGACAAGCAAAAAGGGGCAACCAGCTAACAACATATAGATGTACTTGTGGTCTCCGCGGCACGGCGTGAGCAGTGCCGGTGGTTTAAACCATCGCCCGGTGAACAGATAAAAGTGAAACCTTGACCTTGACCAGGTCCGGCAGCAGAGAGGTTCGAAAAAGGCTACCCTTTTTTCTCTGTAGTCTATTTGAGTAGGGGAACCCTCCCCCAAAAAAGGGCAAAAGGGCACTACTGGGGGACCGAGTTAAAGCAAAACGGCGATTGAAGTCTGGCGATGGCTCCTTCCCTGTGTTGATAAAGGTGCTGCGCAGCGCGAGGGTCGTTTCCTGCGCCGACGGGAGAGCTCCGGAGACCCCGCCACAAGCATTTTTGAGCCAAACAAAGGTCCCAGGGCCCCTTATGGGAGGTGTCCCGTTGCCTCTGAAACAAGGTAAAAGGGCCCCCTTAGAAGACACACAAGTGACACAGACGTTCTTGGAACGGACAATTGAAGGATACCTCACTTCCTGAGTAGTTTCGCCAGAATGAGTAGTCGAACTTCTTGCTTGCCACAAAATGGACTTCTAAAAAAGTGGCTAAAGTGCGAAACGGAACCCAGGAAGTGAGACACTCTTGTGGTTGTGTCAGTTTGAGTCGATGGGCTCCCTGCCGAGAGGGCGACCGGCTTGATTCCGAAGCACCCAACACATAGTTCCGAGGCTCCACAAACGAACTGAACATGTAAAACTAGACACCTAGGCAAAACAGATCCCACCAATTATATGTATTGCACCTAACATATACATATATATATATATACATATATAAATATACATAGGTACTTGTGTTTGTATCTCATGTCTGCTTGCTTCCGGGACTTTGCAACCATTCCTCCGTGCCTGGCCTTGTTTCCGTCGCTCAGGGACATGGGTCTTGTGCACGCGCGTGGGGCGTGGCGGGACCTGCCACACGACTCGCTCCGGGCTGCCGCGGCCTTTGGCCTTGAGAAGGATATCCGCGGCGATGTCGGCAGAATGGCCACAGGTCAATGTCCAGATCGGTTTCCCCCCGTGAACATCCCAATCCCCACTAACATAGGTTCTAAAATGGGTGGTGAATTCACCTACCCCAAAATGGTACCATTGGTTTTGACCCGCAGCCGAATGATCCCCTTGGCCGACCCAAAAGTAAAACCCTGCGGAGAATCCCGGTGGGGGTTCATGTCCGTGTGGATGATCCACTGCGATGTGTGTAGTGCTTGGGTGTGCGTTGCCAAGTTAAGTGGTTAGCCACCTGGGCCATGACCCACCAATGGGGTTAACCCATGGGCTAAAACCGTTGTGGCCCCTCATCTTGCGATTTGTGCCAGGAAATCCCTGAGCAATGGAATGACCCCGATTTAAACCATATGCTTTGTTTCAGAATCCCAAAAAGGCACATCATCATCCTGCAACCCGAAAAAAAAAAGGGACCTGACTAACGCAGGGCGGGGGGCGTTCCCCCTTTAGGGAAACTGAATATGTTAGGGCTTCCCACGACTAGGATTAATCCGAAGGCACCACTAATTGGGAGACAACCCCAATTTTAATCAATCAGGGCTTCCACCTAGTCTGGGTTCTCTTTAGCCAGAGGTTTGGGGGTATCCACTATACAGGAGTTGCAATCTCCTGTACCTTTATTTGAATGCGCCTGCAAGAGTGAGGGTGAGTCTTGGCCAAGTAGGCAACTCGCGCCAGGTACCTCTGTTGAAGCCACCAGAAACTTTGTGGTCGGGAAATGCAGAGTCTGTGATACTGGAAGGCAATCCTAGTGACAATCTCTTCACGTGATCACCCAATTCCCTCACGATGGACATTTTGCATGGGGCTTTGGCTGAAGTTGCACCACCAACCAAGTTCCATAGGAATCATTGGCTCGCAGACGGAACAATTGGCACTCTCTTGCAGCGTGCCTTTTGAACATCCCCCTCCTCAAAACACCCTGAAGTCCGTTGAGTTGGGTCTATCAGGGTGGCCGCAAACAAGTTGAGCAAATCGAATTCAAGGGACCCCAGAAGTATATCCCTTTGAGAAGCCCCAGAACTCCTCTTGGGACCCAGCCTTTGGGGGTCAAAAGGCAAACCCGTGATGTCAGATTCAAAAGGTTGGCTCAAATCTTGACCATCGGACTGGTTGAAACAGGTGGGGGTTCACTGGGTTGCAGATTGTGCCTGGTAACAAGGGACACTTTGCTGGACATTTGCGTGGGGTTCATGAACCAGCCACTGAGGTGGGTCACAAAAACAGATTCCGCTGCATACATGGGGTTGCTCCCAGCGCGCACGCGCAAAAGCTGGATCACAATTGTAGGTTTTGTGGCATCGCCACTCTCAAATGCCCAGTGGCCAGGGGAAAGAGGGGGCATCCGCTTTCGGTAGGTTGAGTTTAAAGGGGAACCCTTACCAAAAAAAACAGGAGAAAAGGGCGCCACTGGGCAACTGCACACTTGTCTCCAAAAGGTTCTCTCGGGGTGATTCGACCGAGACCAGCCATGCCACCCAGTTTCCGGGCAATCGATTGCACGGGTCGTGTCTCGATACGCCCTTCCATATTGGATGAAATTCCGGTTGCAAGGTGGTGTGGGGCACCAAACATGTTCCTAATGACCATGTACCTGGGCCACGTCACAGGGTCAACTATTGACTCTGGGTTCCAGCGAGGCTCCCTCTCACATGACGCCTCGCAGGATCAACTACAAGGTTTGCATGAAGCTTTTGAAGGCTTCATGTTAGACTAGGCGACATGCCGAATTTGGATCCTGGGGTACATGGCCACACCAACTCAACCCCCTTCTGGCACCGCCCTTTTTTCTCGACAGGCCCCAACCGCCGATCAACGAGTGCCATCCAAGGCATCCAATTAATTAGTCCAGACCTCCATTGCCATGAACCTTGGGTGGCTGGTACCTGCAAAAAGTTTGGCTTTTCGACTCGCGGGCAAGATACATATTTTCACGATCCAGCCGAGCAGCCAAGGATCAACCTGTTCTCAGTTGCTTTCTGCTCCCCTGCTAAAAGTTTAACTTTTAGTGGTTTAGTGGAAAACCCCATTAGTTGGCAAAAAGTTAAAGTCCTAACAGCCAAGCAAAGTGCGCCAAAGTGCTTACACTGCTCGGTCAATCGGTTTGCCTTGCCTTGCTCTGGCCGGTTGGGGTCGTTGGGGTTGAAATCATCGGCTCTCTCAACGCCTCACTGGGAGAGAAGAAAAAACAATCAGAAACGAAGAGACACACAACGCTCAACGAAAATTCACAGGAAACAGGGCCAGTGAAACTCCTTTTTTGGAATCCTTTGATGAACGGGGATTCATGTCCAGCAACCACTTTTTCAGGGTCGGCTCTTCCCTGAGAAAACAGGTCTAACTCAAGTAGGCTGCATGGAAAGGCCTTCTGTTTCCAAAGACTCAGATGCTTTCTGCTCCCCTGCTAACAGTTTAACTGTCCGTGGTTTAATGAAAACCCCATTAGTTGGCAAAAAGTTAGAGTCCTAACATCCAAGCAACATGCACCGGTTTAAAAGGCTAAGGTCACAGACCAGCCGTGTACAATGCGCCCAATCTGGAGTTGTCTGGGTGCATGCCCAATCTGGACCTCAAGATTCGCGGCCCGCCTTCACATGCCGAGATTTCAAGCATTCATGGAGTAAACTTCAACCGACCCTTTCAAAGTTCAGAGGTCATCTGCATTGTCCAGCCATTTTGGAGGTGCCCTTGAGGACCCACATCACAAAAAAACGGCTCAAGTGGCCGATTCGATGGAGCTGATAAGGCCAACCCCGGACCAAGAGGACGCCCCCCCCATCTTGTTACCTTCGATAAGATACCCAAAACAACCCTTGGCAAGGGCTGTCAGGGATCCTTACACTACACACCTGAACATTGCAACTTGTATATGGTGGTTTCCAACTTTATTTTGGTGTTGAAAAAGCAACATGTTTCAACTGGGTATACTATACATGTATCTTTTAAGGAGCCCTGCATCATTTCAGCCATACTCTCCAATAAGTCCTTCAGGAATCCTTCTCAGAAAAGGCATCCAACCCCCAGCGGATGCAGAACATGGGGAATCAATCAGTAGAAATCGCTTCTTGGGTGGATTGGCCTAAAAAAGTCCAAACTTCTAACTGATCAAGGGAATGTCCAAACCCAAGAAGTGGCCAAAGTCCATAAACTCAGGGAGTAAGATCCTTCGATGTTTTCCTTAAGAGAATTAATCTATAGATTCAGATACTATGCCATAATATGTTGTGTGCATTCCTCCACAATGAACCTTTCCATTTCTATCTCACACCCAACTCTTCTTCCTCTCTCCATTTTATGTTTTGATTCATATAATGTTCTGCCTGTAGAATTTTTGACACCCTTTCCATCTTCAATATCATAATATAAACAATCAACATAGCATTAACAACACGCTACAAGCAAGACACACAGAGACATGAATCTGATAAGACAAAACATGTATTCTTTCTTCGAAGCCATTCCTCTTACTCTCAAATGAACACGAACTCTTGGTGTCTTTATCATTCCTCATACCTTCCTTTCTTCACTGTCTAGGTCCTCCAGTAGAAAGTTTAGAGTAAGGGTACCCCTTCTTCTGTAGTCTATCTTGGTAGGGGAACTCTCCCCCAAAAAAGAATAAAAGGGCACTACAGCAGGACCTAGCTCTAATATCTGTCTTTAGGAGAATTGTATCCCATCTGTTCATCTTCCTTCTCGTTCCCTTGTCCAACCAGATCCCAGCTGCCAGGCCAACCATGTTATATCCTAGCGTGTCATTCGCGAGTCTCACGCTTGTATCGCTGTCTCTTCCTGTTTGCCTATCTACCCTTCATGCCAACGAACAATCCTATTAATACGATCTCGTCTTTTGGACAGAAAAAAAACAAAAAAAAAAAAACAACAACAACCAGAAGCTGATCCCCCTTTTGTTTACGGAACAGAAAGCAACGGTTTACGGTTTAACGATACTGAACAGAAACAGAAAAGCAATGGCTTGGGATCGGCGCAACGGAAGCTGATTCCCTGGCTCTAAAGTTCCAAGCTCGAGACGCCTTCAGACGGTTCAAACATCTGTCTTGCAACCGGTGACTCGGCAAAAACGAAGCCCATGTCGGCGGATGGAATGACTCGTCCGGAACCCAAGAAAGAGAGATCGAAGCGCCCCGGAATCAAAGCCGAGACTCTGAAGGTTCAAGCTCCAAAGGGGTTTGTATCAAAAAGGTGAATCTCCTTTGTGTTGGTATTTCATGGGAAACCCACCAGAAACCCACAGCATTCTAGGGCCCCTATTTTGAGAAACACCCGCTCAGGTGCATCACGAATTAGGAATTCTCCCCGGATGGGTACCGGGCTCAGAGGCTTGGCCTGTCGAAGGCGCCACAGTCCAAAGTGCCTATGTGAGTTACCCTGGCCCACTGGCGGCACGCTGACAACACAGATTCCAGTTTATACATATATATATATATATATACCCCCCCCCCCCCCATATGGTATGGGTCCCCCAGGACCCCCCCCCCAGCCCAAGCCCCCGGATCCTGTCACCTACGGTCCCACCCCCTGAACTCGCACCCCAACACCCCGGCACCCCCACCCCCAGGACAAGCCAACCCGCAACCAACCATAAACCAACCCTAAACTTTCCCTAAACGAACCGTAAACACCCTCCAAACCAAACCCTAAACCGTAGACCTCTAAACCTAAACCAACCCTAAATCAACATAAGCCAACCGTCAACTAACCCTAAACCAACCCTAAACTAACCCCAAATGCACCCTAAACCAATCCCTAAACAATAAACCCTAAACCTAAGCCAACCCTAAACCAACCCTAAACCAACCCTAAACTAACCCTAAACCAACCCAAAATACACCCTAAACCAAACCCGAAACCGTAAACCTAAACCAACCCTAAACCAACCCTAAACCACCCTAAATCAACATAAACCAACCCTAAACTAACCCTAAATACACCCTAAATATACCCTAAACCAATTCCAAACCCTAAACCACCACAACCCAACCACAGGACCACAACCACAGGGGGGGGTACTTGTCTGACCCATGACCATTGGTGGGGGGGCGGGGGGGGCTGGCAACGCTGTACCATATATATATATGTATATATATATATATGTATATATATATATGTATATATGGCTGTGGCTCAAAACTCAACAGGAGGGGCAAACACAGCCAAGTATGATATATTGGTCCACCCTGAAAAAATAAGCTCAGGTGATATCCCCAACAGCATGCGGTGCTCCTTTTCGTGCTCGCACCACCCCGCAGCCCTCGCAGAACCTCGTGGAACCCTGGTGGAACCCTGCTGGAACCCTGGTGGAACCCTGGTGGAACCCTAGTGGAACCTTACCTCAGGGCCGCCCCGGACCACCCCGGAGCCTATCTGGGCTGAGACCCCAAAGCTTTCAGCTGTTGGGGAAAAAGAGAGCATCATTTTGGCGAAGAACCATTCATGGTCACGCTTCCGTAGACCGTCTGGTTGTTGTCTAAAACCCTACTTGGATGTTCGTTGCCAAGTTAGCAAGTGATTGGCCACCCGGGTCATAACTCGCCAATAACAAGGCTAACTCCACTAAACGGGGGACTTCTAAGCAGGTTGTAACTTGGGTTGTTGACAACCTACTAAGTTGGCAACAACCCCCCAAGTAGCAAAGAGTCCATTGGCCACGCCAAATCCCACAAAGGGTTTCTGGGATTGACTCTCTGGCTGCCCGACATCGAGCCTCAAACCTGACGCCCTTACCGTGTCACCCCGTGAAAGCAGATTTGACAAAGAAGAGTGGACCGGGACCAAGCAGTGCTGGTGTGGGGCTTGGTTTTGTGTCCATGATGCCACTGGCGCGACCAAAGGTCGAGGAAGCGTGGGCATTGGTCGTCGTCGACTGGCAGGTATGGACAGGCATCGCCGCAGTTGATGGCCTTGCACGTCTGGAAGATGGGAACTTTGGCTTGGAGAGACTTGACAGGTGATTGGATGAAGTCGGCCCAGCCGCTGAAGGAGTCTTTAAAAACGATCTTGATGGTCTGGGTTGGCGTGGCTTCTACGGCAAGCGGTGCGCGCCTGGAAAACCCGTGGCTTCGTCCGTTGGAGTCACATGCCCTGGATTTGGCCGATATAGGAGGGCTGAAAAAAGAGGTGGGCGAGTCTTTGTTTGGGGTGGCTTTAAAGGGGAGTGGAAGGAACACGCTTCCAAAACACAAAGACGAGCCCAGCCAACTTGGGAAGATGATCTTCAACGGCAGTATGTTGAATAACCAAGGTGAGCCCTCGCAAAGCTTTTTCTTTGTTGGCTCTTGCCAAGGGAACCCGAAATAAGCGACCATAAAAGGGGGAGGGTCCCACACTACGGAACCACACATGCGCGCCCTCACGCACACACACTCACTGGACTTCAAACATTTCACACCAGTTCCTCTTCCCTCCGCGCGACTTGGAAATCAAAGAGAGTTCGTGTCACAAAGCCCCCAAAAGCGCGGGGTTTTCCGCTAACCCTTTAACCAAACCCAACAAGCGTGGCCATCAAACAAAGGCACACCCGTATTGCCCCCTCAATCCGGTTCTACAAAGCCAAATGGATGGGAATCTTGTCATCATGGGACCGGGCCCCTCAGTTAAAGCAGCCCTCTTGAGCAGGATTATGGTCCTGATCCCGGAAAGCCTCCCTTGCTCGCTTGCAATACTTGAGTGAATGGGCCAGACCAAAACTAAACTTCTAAACATGAGTATAGTTGGGCCCGGTTACAGAATGTATGTTTTCTTGTTTGCTTCACTTTGCACTGGAAAAATGTGAAATCTATCCGAAGTCTAGCCCAGCAAGCTTCTTGTTGACCAGATTCCCCTTCCCCCCAATCGGAGCCGAATTGGTGGTTTGTAGGTGTTCTGGACAATGCCATTCAAGCTCAAGAGCCAGTGACCGGCTCAAGTCCAAATCCAAACCAATGCTAATGAGAATGGATGTGTCTTAAAAATAGGGGACCCCAACATAAATAGCTTCCTTGTGAGTTCCCCTCCAAAAATACAAACCCGAATGGGTCTTTCTGCAAAGCACCAAAGTCCAGAAACCCGGTTCCCGAGAGAAACTTGCAGTCACCGCATTTTTCGAGCAAGCCCGGCGCACCAAGAATGGAACCAGAAACTGGCAAGCCCAACAACGGGCACCATGCTTTCAAACCAAACATGTGTTACTCCCAGTCTCATGGCTCAAGAAACCCGGTCACATTATTGTTGCACCGGGTTCTCTCAAAGGTTCCCACAATTGTTTCACCCTGAAGTTCTGACTCATGCCCCTTTCAGCATCTTCCCCCGAACCATTTTTTTGGGGGGTCATAACTAAAAACTCTCATCCCATGCGCTTCGCAGACTCCAGGAACCCGACAACTGCTCGCGCAACTTGCGGCGCGGTTCCGCAAGCCATGGTTCCGCCAGCCTTTTCAGCACAGGTCCTGGGAGACCCAACAGCTCACTCCCTAAAAGTCAACCTTCCAACAAGCCAAGGGCTTGCAGACCAAGAGGTCAAACTTTGTTTGCTGTTAGGTCTGGTCAAGGTGCCTCCGAACTTTGGTGCTTGCTGTTGGTTACACGAGAGCAGTCTGCCAGAATCTGTCTTGCAAGTTTCTGGGGACCAATCGCAAACCGCTTTCTGGGAGTCCCGATGTCTCAGCTAGGTCCAGTAGAGAGGTTAGAATAAGGGTACCCGATTCTTTTCTGTAGTCTATTTTAGCAGGGGAACCCTCCTAAAAAAAAGAGTATAAGGGCACCACTGGGGGACCTAGTCGGAGATTCTCTGAATGCCAGGGGATTCGAACTGAGACCCTGGGCTCATAGATGCGCGGTCAGGACACTGCCTCTGGCACCAATTGCTCGGACCGGTTGGTTCCCTTTTCACAGAGCCCGGACATGGACGGTGTTGGTTTCCCATTAGTCGCCAAACATGGACTTTCTTAAAGAAGCGCCCAAACAAATAATGCTTCGCTTTAGGCTTCCAGGACAAACATGGGCGTGTGTGAGGGTCCCTTTCTCAGGTTGGTTTTACTAGAAACCAAACGGACAATTCTCATAGGTGGTTCCCTATTTTGACACACCCCCAAATGCTCGAAAAAGACACCCTAGGCCAATTTCTGCACCCCAATTTGCAACTCCTCCTCATCCGTCTCCGTGTCAACGCCTGGCATGGAGGCAAAGCTGGACAGAGGATTCTCATTTCTGATCGAGTGGAGGCGAAGAAAGGCAAACAAACTGTGTGTTTGGTCCAATCCCAAAAAGTGACTACAGTCCGAAACGGAACTCTTGTGGCGGTTAAGGGGAACATGGGCATTCTGGTCTGGAATGGGGACCCAAGCCCTCTTCAGGCGTTATCAAACCTCGCAATCGCGACCATTTGAGAAACAAAGACCGCTACTCCAAGGAGAAACTTGAAGACACGTGCGGGCATAAGCACTTATAAAGGCTGCCCCCCATGTTCATTGGAGAAGGACAACCAACATTTCATGCTAGTACTACTGAGCAAATAATGAACTAGAAGAACAAAGAAACCGGGATCACATCAAAAGTCACTACAATTAATGCTGTTCATGATAGCCATGATAATCATAGTCATGATGTTAACTGCAACCATAAAGAAGGCACACTCAGCCAGAAAAAGCGAATACAAGTACAGTACACTGTAATGCACATGACATGAGAATAGCCCATAATAATAACATGACGATATGTTGTCCCTAAATAATCATATGATGATTATCACCCCATACCACCACAAAACTCGAACTTGGAAACCAACCCAAAGGACTCAAATACCTTGAGGGGTCAAAGTACAGCCTTGCCCGCCCATTTTCCAAAAAACTGCAAGCGGAAATGCCCTCAAAACTTTACCAGGTTTACTTTCCTTCCAGGGTCAGCGGGCATCTTGGGATTTCCCTGGTCTGCTTGCGTGCGCAGTCCGAAGCGCGCAGCCTTACAAAAGATAGCGCCTGCACAGCGAAACAGCGCAGGCGCATCTCAAAAGCTGCGATGCACGCAAAAGGACAATAAACACGTCTCGAGCTTCTCCCGACAGCGCAGCAACTTTTTCCCCTCACGGGGGCATCCACCACATCGACGCATCCAAAAATGCCGAGCCCTAGACCCCTATGCAGCCACTCAGTGGCACCCCTGGTTGTCCCTGTGGCTTTCCTTTCAAACCACACAAAACCCTAGGTGTCCTTTTAGGGCAAATACATGCCCTGTTAGACGAAACCACCAGCCAAACCAGAAAAATCACCATCTATTCGACCAGAACCAGCAAGGACAATGCACAAAACGGGGTGAAGCCTCAAACGACGAGCCCTCCCCTTGGGGTGTTTTGTCGGGTCGGGGGCCCGAAGAAGGCCGACGCGAGGATCGCGAGGCGCGAGGTGCGGCTTCGCGCCGAGGCGCGCGCCTGCCAGCTCCGCCTGGTACCTCCGTTCGCTCTCCTCCACCGCCGCCAGCTGCAGCTGAAGCCTCTGGGAACGCGAGCGCGAAGCCCCAGAGTTGGGATGGTCTTTGGCCCTTTCTGGGTGGTTTGAAGAGAAAGCCAGCAGGGAAACCGCTGGTTTTTTAAAAGCCAGTTTTGGAGAAAGCCCGAAGCCTTCCTGGACCCCCAAAGGAACGATTCCTGATTTCTGCATTTGTAGCCCTTTTTTATGGGTCATTTCGGCAGAAAAAAAGGAATCAGTCCTTGGGGGGCCGGGCTGTCTTTTGGGTGGTTTGAAGAGAAAACCAAAAGGGAAGCCACAATTTAGTGGGTGCTGTAGCAAAGATAAACGCACATGGGTCTAAAGGAGCCCAGTTGATTAAGCAACCCTATGTAAGTCGAGGGTATGCAACTGGTACGTACCATTGACCAAGAACTCAGAAACAATGATAAAGAGCGGGGTGCCCATTTTACAAACACAGCTTGACTTGCCGGAACACCCCCTATAGTAAATTCACCAGGCTAGGCTGGTTCCAGGCTCTATATTGCCCCGGTTTCAAGGCTTAATCCATAGCTTGGAGAAAATGACATTCAGGTGCCATTTGGTATCGAGCCGGCAGCCTGCAACTGGAAATTAATCCTAATGGGGAACCACCTCACAAGTGGTTGGCGGACATGAATCTCACCTAAATGATGTCCACAGAGTCCCCTATTCAAAAATCACAGCCAACTGATGTATTTGCGGTTTCCATGTGACAAAGCCCTTCATCACAGGTTTGCTCATAATTGATATGTGGCCCCAGAATGGCAAATAGGCCAACCCCTTTCTGAGATGCCAAAGTTGGTTGATTCGTATCCCTGGCGGGTTCCCTTGCCATGACACAACTTGTCCCTGAATCAAGTGTCCACAACCATCAACCACTAGGAACGGGTCAAAAGAAAACATGCTCGAGCACGTGTTTCAGCATGTTCAGCACCCCCGCTTTTTTTTGTGGAAGGGTTGTTAAAATTGAGGGCCGTCGTTTAGCGTTCGGGAAGCCATTTCGCCCGTGCTGTGCAGTCCTTTTGGAAAAGCAAAACGTAGTGACCCAACGATTGAACTGCTCACTTCCTGAGTGGATTCGCCAAACAAGTCCAAACTTCTCGGCCGCTAAAATGGCCCAACTCCCCGACAAGAGTGACACCAGTGCACATTAGTATTTCCTTGGGCAGTCACCATGCAACAAATCACGGATCACTGCGTTGCTCCCGCCGGCCGAACGAGCAACATGTCGAGTCTCACCCTTTGTCTCACTTCATGAGTGGATTGGCAAACAAAACAAGCTTGTTGTTGACTACTAAAAGGGTCTTCCCAAAAAGTTTAAGGTCCACAAGCTCGGGGAGTGAGTTGTAAGGCTAGTTCGGAGCCGACTTGGTAAACCCGAAAGGTCCATTTGCACGGGGTCCGAGTCCGATTCGGGCACCTCGGGCGCTAGGATCCAAAAGAGGGCCATAGTCTTGATCAACATAAGACTTCGTGGTGCGCTTGGATCCGTTTCAAGCATTTAAACTTTGGGTGGGATATGTCATAGATGGATAACGGCCTTGCTTTTTGTGATTTTCCCCCATGCTTCCCCTTTAAACCAATCCCAAAAAGGTTGCCGAGCCTGGCAAAACGTCAGCCCCAACTCCCGTCTAGTGGACTTTAAACTTTCTTGTTTTGGACCGTTTTAGTGGCAACATGAGAAGTTTGGTTACTTTTTTTCGGCCAGTCTACTCAAGAAGCCAGTATTGCTGCAACATTGGAGCGCGGGGCAAAGCGAACAGCGACCGCTCAGATACCCAAATGCCTTTCGGCCAATGCCCGCAGACTTCGATTCTCCTCTTGCAGCTCCCACGCCTGCGGCTCCGGACCCGCAAAGGTCTGAGAGAACAACGACTAAACCAATTGATACAGAAAAACCGGTTGAAGCCCGGACTTCACCAAACGAAGAGCAAACCGGGGAATGGGTTGAAACCCGCTACTCTTCAGGAGCACTTTGTGTCGCTCACTTGGCGTCTTGGACTTGAGCTCCGACTGGAGGCACAAAGCCAAAGCCGGGAGGCACCGAAGCCGTATCTCGTCAGCAGATTCTCAAGAACATGGGTTTTTTTCTTTCCAAAGGCTAGACCGTTAGACCCCCCCAAAAAAAAATGTTGGTGGTCTCAGGTCTCCTTTTTGGGTTTCTCTTCAAAACCACTAAAAACAACATACCCACACAGGACCGAGTTCGCAGGTTGCAACTCCTGGGAACCAAGCGGTTACCTTCCTCATTGGTTTCACTCAGGACATGGTCACATGGGTGGTTTCACTCAGACCATGTGCAATCCTACGCCAACCATACGGCCCGGAAAGCAGAAGGTAAGCTTTGGCAGCTTCGGCTCTCAATTCCTCCCCTGCAAATCATTGCGGTCTGTTTCCAAGGAGCTTCTTCTAAAGATAATTCTGCTTCTAACATTCCATAAACACAATAATTGGCCAGGAAATTGCTCCAATCTGCGCAAATGGAGGTGGCTGTTTTGCGGGCACCCTTTTTGGGGGGGCTGAAAGGGACACCAAGGGGACACCACCGTTTTTGTGAGTCCCCCAAAAAGAGACACACCCGAGTCAGTTTTCAAAGAAGAAGCTCACATTGGTATCAGAGGCTGAGCCGAAGATCAAGGATTCCATAGGTCAATCAGCTTCCCCATAGTTGGTGGTTTGAGGCATGGTTCTAGGGGTACCTTCCCCATTCTTTCTAGGGATCCTTCTTTCTAGAACACCTCCAGAAACCCAGGAAAAAACGGCAGGTTTTTCAAAAGAACGATGGTTGAAAAAAATGGGGAATCAACCCCTAGAATGGTGGGGGTTGGAGGTTAGGGGGCGGTTTTCCTTCCAACCTCCACAAGAACCAGCAATTCAAATCCAAATCCAAACCAACAATTCAATCCAAACCTCCAACTAAGGGTTGCCTGAATCAACGCACGATGCAGACAAAAAAGCCTCAGGATGCAGTCAACACTTCCCTCAGTCTGTTGCCAAACACTTCCAAGTTGACAACTGTCTGCCAATGTTTGTGAGCGGGGGGGGGGGGGTGCATGTGCCCTTTAAAATTTTGCTCTAAAATTGCTCGAAAGGAAGCTATAGATTCCCCATGCTGAAAGAGGGTGCTGAACACTTCCCATTGGCATGTGAGCAACACACTTTGATTTTTGCATCAACCAACTAACAGCGAAGAGGACCAACAAACAAAAACACATGCGAACTGGAAAGAAAAAAAGCCGCGTGGCTCCAAACTGTCCCTACGCTTAAAGGACATTAATCGGAAAGGACCCGTCTTGGGAAACAAGATCAGTGACGGCCTTGTCCCATCGGTCCTCTTTGCTACACTCTTCAGCCCACCTGGGTGTCAAAAGGGCATTGCATTGCAACTTTCCCAGCAAAACACACACGCACACACACACACACACATCTCTGACTCACTGGCAACCACTGGCAACAGACACACCTTTGACTCACTTTGGGCATGTCGGAAAGAAAGCCGAAAGGGACCCCTATTGTTGGGAAATTGTTGCTTTCCCAAAATAATCATCCATATCCTCCTTATCCACCTCGGCTTTTGCATCCCGACCAAGACCAAGTTTGATTCTGGTCCATAGCAACACTTCACATTTGCCGAATCTTGAGATGTACACCAATTTCAGACGAAGCCTCTTTGGGCGTGTCTGAAAATCAGGGACCCCAAAAAACGTCGGCTTCCTTCTTGGTTTCCTTGTAAACCAAACCCAAACCAAATACAACAAAGGATACTCCCCAAAAGAGGCCAACCCCTTTGGCTGATCAATGGACTCCCCTTCGCACATCGAATCGGGCACATGACAGCCGTCGAACAGGCTACAGGCTATGGATTTGATCTGCCCAGACTTATCATTTTTCGCTTGACTTGGATGGCCCAATTGAGAAGCCGCATCGTTTTAAAAGTTGCACTCCTCCACCCACTTTTCGCCAGGTTCAAATCCGGGAGGTCCACATGGGTGGGGGAGAGCGGTGTCAAAATTGTGGGCCCGTGTTGGCATCCTCTTAAAAACTGGAAATTCCATGCTCCACTCCCCTGGGCAAATTTGAATCGGAAAAAATGTCAATCTAGGGCTACCTTCCCCATTCTTTCCAGGAATCCTTCTTTCTACAAAACCTCCAGAAACCCAGGGAAAACGGATCCAGCTTTTGGAAAGAACGATGGTGGAACAGAATGGACAAGGAATCAACCCCTACCCAGCGACTCCTAGTAACCTGTATAGCTAGTAACTGGCCGTTGGCGACTTTGGAACCAGGCTTGGTTCCCAAAAAAAGTGGGAACCAGGTTCCTGTCTAACGGTTTTAACGGTTCCGGGCCTCGAACCAGCGGTCAGTTACCAATATGGCAGGTAACCAAGCTGGTTCCGCACATGGAGGTAACTGGAAGCACTGGGCTAGAGTGAACCTAAAAGGCTGAAAGCGGGTCCGGTTCTGATTTGAGCCACACCCTTGAGACCGAGTTCCCAATGAACAGGCGGCACCTGTGCGTTGGGGTCCAACATGCCCACTTCCTGACTGGATCGGCCCAACAATGTAACCAAGCTTCGTATCTACCGCTAAGAGGGTCTTCCCCCAAAAATTAAACTCAAGGAACCTGGGGAGTGAGGTTGCTAAAACTTAAACTTCGCGTGGTTGACATGGTCACTCAAATGGGTGTGTTTCAGATTAGGGGTGTCCGGATTTCGGTCTTCCCTTTAAGACTCACCCCACCTCCCTCCAAACCCCAAACGTCCCTAAGGAACTCTAGGGCGTTGCCCTCAATGCCGAGGTGCTGTGCCTTGGAAGCTGATGAAAACGATTGGCTAAGGTCCTGGGTCGGCGGGGATGAGGCCACAGGCAGTCAAAAGGCTGAAGGTAGACTTTGTCTTGGCAAAGTGGAAACCAAAAGGAAACCAACTGCTTTATAGGGTATTATTTTGAACACCCCTCCCTGTTTCCCACGCACATTTGTCCTGCGCCACGGTTCTGCCACACAAAGTCATGTATCCACCGAGTTGTCCGTGCGAGTAAGCGCACAATGCCCTAGTCAAAGCGGGGCATTGGATCACCCTTGGTCCTTTCAATGATGGGATCCCCAAAGAAAAACAACTTCATGCGGCTTTTAAGTACCCAGACGGGATTCGGTGGGATCCCTCAATTCATCTGCTTTGTGCCCAACCCCAGTCTCATTATCTCACTTGAGTGCATCTGGCCAAGTCTAAACTGGTGGTTTAAATGGCTCGGAAGTCCAGAAACTTGGGGTGTCTGCTGGTTGAAGGTCCCGCCAAAGGTCGAATCCCAATGACGAAACAGGGCCCAAGCAGGTCTGAGGTTTGAAGAAGTCCCATGTTTTCTCGATCTGCTTGAGAGTTTGCCTGGGCCCTTGGCAACCTCCATATATGCAGTCTTGATTGCTTTTGTTGGTGACATGGTTCAACAACACATATTTGAAGGCACAATCTCAGCTCAAACCTTGGAAGGATGACTAAGATCTTGCCATCTACACAGACAGTCGTGCACAGCTGTGTTGGAGTAGAATTACGTCGTATGTTGGATAGATGTAGGTAGGCAAGCAGGTGGGCTGGCAGGAAGGTAGGCAATATACCAAACCCTGGATGAAGGTGACATGAGGAAGAGCACACAGTGAGCACACAGAAATCCCAAGAGCAATCAATGGGGGTAAGGGGAGGGAAGGAAACGAGAGCACAGGAAGAACATATTCACATGCTGCATGCTGCCGAGTGACTGATCTTGCCTTGCCCCTCGCCGGCCTGAACGCACACAGCTGCGATGATGCAGTAAACTACCGGTAACCGTCCGTCCGTCCATGCGTCTGTCTGTCCGTCCCATCCAGTCATCCATCCGTCCGCCCGCCCGTCCTGCCCCCAACAAGAAGACTAAGGTTTACATCTAGGTCCTCCAGTAGAGAGGTTAGAATAAGGGTACCCTCCCCCAAAACGGGGTAAAAGGGCACTACTGGGGGACCTAGACATGCTCAACCGTTTTTAATAAACCTTACAATACAGCATGTGTCAATTGAGCGGTGCTCCTTTTCCCCCCTCAGCAAACGGTTTAACCTTTTGCAGGTTTTGTGGAAAGACCATCTGTTTCGCACCAGGTCTCAGCGATTCGGTCACACCCAGCAGTCCCAATGCTTCTGAACTCATCCCTGTCCTGGCCTGCGAGGCTCGGCTTTGGCTTGGGCCCTGGCAAAGCGACCGAAGTGCAGCTTCCAATTGATCGAACGAGTTCTGGTCTGGCTATACATTGAGTTTCCTCCCCTTCAGGACCTCCCCCAAGAAAGAGAGAAATCAAGAAGATGCGCATATATACATTGCAGGTGCTTTGAGTCGAAATCGCAACATTCAAAAGATTGCTTGCCCCTTCCGGCGAAAACAGGAATGTATGACACATGCGTGTGGACGCGTGTAACATATATGTATATATATATATATAATATGTATATACACACATGCGTCATAAATTTGGCTTGCAGCGAGCATGTTCCTTGGCTTGCCCGATTTCCTCAGGGTATTTCATTGTTCAGCTTCTCCCTAGGAGGTTTGGATGGGTGGAGAGCGGATTCCCATTCACCCTCTACCAGAAGGATCCAAACCACTACTCCAACTACAGGGCTCCCTATATTTCCCCTTAAAACATCACCCCCAACAAGGTATACTCACCTTTCATGGACCAAAAAGGTCTCACTTCCCAAGTTGATTGGCCAAAAAAAGTCTGAACTTTTTATTTACCACTAAAATGGTCTTTCCAAAAAGTTTAAAGTCCATCACCTCATCAAGTGAGAGGTGATGTTTAAAACCACCAAAAAAGGGACATCTAGGGACCCCTGAACTCGGTGGCCGGAATTGTCCATTTGCAGTTGGACTAATGGAGCTCCCGTGAAACATGCTGCCAAGTTCAAACGCGAGCATTCGTCTAGCCGGACTGACTGACCTGGGGAAACACATGCTACCCCGTAACAACAAGATACAAGCGGGTTGTAACAAAGGTTGCCAACAACTTATCAACCTGGCGCATCGCAGACCCAAGTGCTGCAAGTGAATCATCAAAACGTGGAACACGGTTTTGTAGAAGAGAGAAACATTTTTGTTTGATTCATGTTGTAAGAGTGTAGACGAATACTTCCCTTTGTTGTTTTTGCCCCCTGGAAACTATTCAAAAAAATCCAGTAGTGAAATCGATTCCCTTTGAAACCAAGGGGCTCCATATTTGAAAATATGGCCATGGGTCAAAATCCAAATCGCACCCCCAGTGAACATCCCGATCCCCACGAAAATAGGTTCTAAAATGGGTGGTGAATTCACCTAGCCCAAAATGGTGCCATTGGTTTTGACCCTCAGCCATACATCGTTGAACGAACTCAATGCCCCGCGTACTCAGCCCCAGACGGCCTTGGGCGAGCCGCCTTCGCCGGACTCCGCGCCTGGCTGACCACATCCCTCCGCACCGTTTCTGGGAAAGTCGGATTCCCCACACCCGGGGGCCAGGGGACGCGAATAAAAACCGGGGTGGACGTTTTGTTTCTTTATCGGGGGTTGACTGATAAATTAGTCGCCCTGACAAATAAACCGGGGTTGACTAATGAACACGTTGTTTGAGTAGAGTTGGGCAAGGGGTACAGGAAATCATGACATCTCCTCAACTGGTGTTTTAAAGGTTTGGGCGTAGCTTCCCATCTACAAGAACCAAGGGTTCAAATCGTGATGAGAGTTAGGCAACCAGTTGTAGAACTGGGCTGTCCTCAGATCCCCCGCAAAAAGTTTAACTATTAGTGGGTTAAACAAAAGCTACCTCTAAACACCAAAAGGCTAAAAAGCTAAGAGGATGGCTGGGAGCCACCAAGAGAACGTAGATGTTATGGTTTGCTTCACTTTGAGTCACTTCTGAACGGTGGCGCAGCGGATTTTGCAACCATCAGTGGCAGTGGCAGACTGCGGCCTTGGGACGTCAGGCCCGCTTAACTTCCTGCAGGTTTCTTAGATTCCGGAGGTCGGTACTTCAGTTCGTAAAGGTTTCAGAGCCTCAAGCTTGATCAACGTTCAACCGCAAAGGGATTTCAATCTTCTACTTTAGTCAAAACATACAACGATTTCAGGAGAGCCTCAAGCTTGATCAACGTTCAACTTCAAACCAAGGACTTGAATCGTCTGTTTGTTCATCATAGTCAAGGGAAGCAAATGCAACATGGTCCAACATGGTGGCCTAGTCAAGGTGTACCTCGGTGTCTGCGAACCGTATATTGCAAGAGGCTTGTACATGCCTACCTTTGGTGCACCTGAACAATCCCTTTAACCAAAAAGGTGCTGGGGCAAGTTCACGGTTCCTGCTTTTCATGGGAAATCACATTTTTGTTGGGGCCATTGCTTGGTAAAGCAGGGTTCTGGTTTGGACCCATTTTCCTCTCAAGGGTGCCAACAAGGACGGAA